CAAGCTCCCAAATTCCCAAGCGCCCGAATTCCCAAGCTCCCAAATTCCCAAGCTTCCAAATTCCCAAGCGCCCGAATTCCCAAGCTTCCAAATTCCCAAGCGCCCAAATTCCCAAGCGCCCGAATTCCCAAGCTCCCGAATTCCCAAGCACCCAAATTCCCAAGCGCCCAAATTCCCAAGCGCCCGAATACCCAAGCGCCCGAATTCCCAAGCGCCCAAATTCCTAAGCGCCCAAACTCCCAAGCTCCCAAACTCCCAAGCTCCCCAACTCCCAAGTCCCCAAACTCCCAAGTCCCCAAACTCCCAAGTCCCCAAACTCCGAAGTCCCCTCCTCTTCAGGATGTCGAAGATCCTCGCCGTAAACATCTGGGAATGAATTACCAGCCAACCTGGGTCAGCTGCATCGATCACCATTGGACCATTAGACCGATTAGCTCCTTAGGATCAATACTGGTGCAACTTTAGCAACCTCCTATTCTTCAACATCCCGGTAACGCTTGATCAATAACAAATTTTTAATCGCAATTAGAAAAATTCACTCGTTTCACCGTCTTTCAGTATCGCAGTCCTGGGAGGGAAAAGCGTCGCAGGAAGTTGAACGAGCAAAGGACGAGTGACGTAACAGCGTTGGTCGATCGATCACGTCGACGGCTGATCGATGTCCGGTTTGCCGGATCTCTTCGTTTCCCGTGGCGGCGAAAAAATCGGGTGATCGATGAAGACGGGAATAAAAGTCGCGATAACTGTGGGCAGGAAGGATAACCGGTGAAAAAGCGTGGCTCGAAACGCGACGACAATAAAAGGAGAACTGGATAAATAATGTATCCGCGGTATAATCTGTGGCGGAGGCTCTCCTTTTGTCGTTCGATGCCGAGAAAGGAGCAGTAGGTCAACCGTGGCCAGCTGTTTTTCTTGCTGGCCTGTGGGACAAATAGAAGCCCTGACCTCCTCCAATTCCGTATCAAACGCGGTCAACGTTGACGTCTTACCTCGCTTCGTCGTAGTACTACGTTTTTACTGTCAATGAACGCCCGAAACTCTTGTCGGTCTTTTTAAAACTGTACCGAACACTTCGTGGTATTACCTCACGTAGTACTACGGTTATATAGTACTACGCTTTTACTGTCTATACTCGAAAATCTTGTCGGTTTTAGCAGTAAAATTGTACTCAACTTGCGACGCTTTGTAATATCTCACGTAGTAATACGTTTATGTCACGTAGTAGTACGTTTGTGGCACGTAGTAACTGAACGACGCTCGAAAATCTTGTCGGTCTTTCCACTACAATTGTACTCAACCAGTGACACTTTGTTATATTACCGCACGTAGTAATACGTTTATGTCACGTAGTACTACGTTCATGGCACGTAGTACTACGTTCATGGCACGTAGTAACTGATCAACGCTCGAAACTCTTGTCGGTCTTACCACTACAATTGTACTCAACCAGCGACACTTTGTAATATTACCGAGCGTAGTAATACGTTTATGTCACGTAGTAATACGTTAATGTCACGCAATACTATGTAGTCATGTACATTCTGGTAATATCACCAATCAGGGTCTCAGTCGACTCACTTGTAATTTCTTGTCGAAAGAGGTAGACGTTGATAGAGCACTTCACGTAGTACTACGTCCCTTCTGTATGATAACTTTCTCGTGTACTGTGTGATTGTACAACGTAGTACTTTGGTAACATTTGTTAGCACAGAACCTTTGTCGATTCTCTTATGGACATTCCTCAAATGAAAATGCAAAAAAAAGTCATTGATAATTTATTACAATTATAGCGTTTTACGTAGTACTACGTCCTTCTTGCGAGATGTATAGAACACGCGTCCTAAGTTCTCACACAGTGCGTTTTATACCCCACGTGTATTCGAAGCTCTCAAAATGTTACATCACTGACTGTATCATTATAACAGAGTTAAGATCTCAGAACGTAGTTCTACGTTCCTCTTCCGCGAAACACAAGCTATCTCAGCGCATCTGAAATTTAACAATTCACTTCCTTTTACCGATCGTTCCTAAATGAGACGTCTACCGAACATTTGATTTACTGCGAATTCTTAAATCCATCACGCACAATTACGAATTACACGCTTCGAGAAAATTGTTCACCGACTATCATTACAGCGTTAATCGTTCGAGCAATTATATAGATATCGTAAAACGCCAGATACCATAAGGCGACAAAATATAACGTTTCATGTTGCGTATAAAATAACGTTAACCTTCAACTGGTAGCCATTTTGTCATACTAAGCGCGTGGCAGATATGTACATAAATACATAGGTAAATGAGCCGAGTCAAAAAACATTATGTTATCACTTAATTCGAAAAAGATTTACTTGTTTAATTCTGAAATTACAATTTTATGTAAAATTACTTAAAATTTATATAGTTAGGTTATCAGTTAAGTTATGTCTGTCCTATTTTTAACCAATGAAAAGTATCTGAAACACTCGACAAAGTTTGTAAGAAAACGTCGAAGCCTGTAATTCTGTTGAGGGATAATTTTAAGGTTAGGAAACGCTTCAGCTATCGAGGGTGCTCGAACGGGCAAAAATTGGCTCCGTTTGAAAAATTCGTAGCATCGCTGGATTTATGATCGACTCGTTCTACTCGCGCTTTTGCTCGCGGAGAAACAGTTGCGGGTAAAAAACGGATCGATCGTTCGAGCCTCTCGAGAAGCAGAGGATCCAGGACGGAGAAACGTGTCAAGAACGGAAAAAAACGAAAAGCGTTTCGAAAGGCCTAATAGAGGCTCGCGCAGTAGATTAATTGCCTGGCATGTTAATTGATCCGTCGGGATTGATCAAACTGGGACGCAAAAAGAACGAGCAGGATCCAAATTCGTAGGACGACCTCGAAAGCTTGGAAAAATAAACGCGACCTTAGCATTCTTGCAGATTTTTCAGCAAACGTATAAACACAGATCTCTTCGACTTGCGATTATCTTTTTTTCGGACTTCTTTTCACGTATGATGTAAAGGAATCACGGAGATTGCAGGAGGTTTGTGATTCAAAATTACTGGCTTTTCGTTCGGAATGAGGTGCACTTTGCAATCTGGGTTTTTCTTGGTTAAAAGGAAATGTAGGGGGAGGAGCCGCCCGCCATTTGCTTTCGGTCTTGAGAGAGCCATTTTCTTTTAACCGAATCTTCTCCGATTGTGCAGCCAAGAGAAAATCTGCTTTCCCTAGGTAACGTTGCTTTCAGGGATTTTCAAACATTTGTAAACTAAAAAGAATTTGGGGATTCTACTATTTAGCAATTTGGATATTTACAAACTTGTCAGTTTGAGAATTTGCAAAGTTGAGCACCTCAAAATCTAATAATTTATCAATTTAAAGATTCAGTTTGTAAAGTAGCCTATGCTATACTGATAATACCCAGAATCTCCTGTTTAGAAATTAAAATTAAAATCGAGTATTACATAAATAAATTCAGTTTCAGATTCATGGCCGCGAGGTAAACGAAGAAAACAACGTTTTGGTGTCCCGCTGTTCATCACGAAAGGAGATAAAAAAGACACCGATGAAGAAATAAAAATGGCAGTATCCACGTGGCGAGTGACGTCAACTGAATAAAGTAAGTACCTAAACAAAAATTACGCACAATAAATCTCTATATTTTCCATAGGAAAACAAATCAAAATATTTTATTCTTTATGTACAATACGTGATCCGTTTCAACGAATAGAAATTATGTTTACACATTCGTTTCAGATGTTCGTGGGAAGAATAGGAGAAAAACGTAATATTTTCAAGGAAGAACCGAAGTCATTCATCCTCGGTGACGTAAACTGAACGTTGCTCAAAAACGTGAATTAATCATGGCGAGAACGCGGCTGTCCCCTAGCAAGGACCGTCGTGGACGAATGTCAGATCTGTGAACAGAAGAATTAGCTAGTTAGTACCGCAAAGAAACGTATCAGGTTTTCATGGTTTTATCACAAATCTCAACTTTTTTACTATTTCAGGAAGTTCGTGGACTATTTTGTGGAAAGTTTGTAAACGGTTTTAACCACTGGGGGAGGAATTTGTCATGGTTAACCTCTTTCTGGGGATCAGTGTTATTCTTTTGCAACTGGAGATGTTGAATTTCACATTTGAATTCTTTTTCTTTTTAGGGATTTAGTTCTACATTTTTATGAAATTATGATTTGTACAGTTGCATGCTGCAGTGGATTCTTTTTGGGAACAGTGAAAAATTGGTGAGTTTTTTATTGTTGAATTACAAGCTTCTTGAGTTCCTATATTTCTGGATTCTCAAGCTTTCAAATACCTAAGCTCCAAAGTTGCCAAGTCCCCAAATTCCTAGCGCTTCAAATTCCCAAGTCCCCAAATTCCTAGCTCCCCAAATTCCCAACGCTCCAAATTCCCAAGCTCCCAAATTCCCAATTTCCCATACTCTTAAGTCCCCAAATTCCTAAGCTTCCAAATTCCCACGCTCCCAAATTCCCAAGTCCCCAAATTCTCAAGCTTCCAAATTCCCAAGCTTCCAAATTGTCAAGCTTCCAAATTCCCAAGACCCCAAATTCCCAAGCTCCCAAATTCTCAAGCTCTCAAATTCCCAACTTCCCAAATTCCCAAGCTCCCAAATTCCCAACTCTCCAAATTCCCAACTCTCCAAATTCCCAAGTCTCCAAATTCCCAAGCTCCCAAATTCTCAAGCTTCCAAATTCCCAAGACCCCAAATTCCCAAGCTTCCAAATTCCCACGCTCCCAAATTTCCAAGTCCCCAAATTCTCAAGCTCCCAAATTCCCAAGCTTCCAAATTCCCAAGTCCCCAAATTCCCAAGTCCCCAAATTCCCAAGTCCCCAAATTCCCAAGTCCCCAAATTCCCAAGTCCCCAAATTCCCAAGTCCCCAAATTCCCAAGTCCCCAAATTCCCAAGTCCCCAAATTCCCAAGTCCCCAAATTCCCAAGTCCCCAAATTCCCAAGTCCCCAAATTCCCAAGTCCCCAAATTCCCAAGTCCCCAAATTCCCAAGTCCCCAAATTCCCAAGTCCCCAAATTCCCAAGTCCCCAAATTCCCAAGTCCCCAAATTCCCAAGTCCCCAAATTCCCAAGTCCCCAAATTCCCAAGTCCCCAAATTCCCAAGTCCCCAAATTCCCAAGTCCCCAAATTCCCAAGTCCCCAAATTCCCAAGTCCCCAAATTCCCAAGTCCCCAAATTCCCAAGTCCCCAAATTCCCAAGTCCCCAAATTCCCAAGTCCCCAAATTCCCAAGTCCCCAAATTCCCAAGTCCCCAAATTCCCAAGTCCCCAAATTCCCAAGTCCCCAAATTCCCAAGTCCCCAAATTCCCAAGTCCCCAAATTCCCAAGTCCCCAAATTCCCAAGTCCCCAAATTCCCAAGTCCCCAAATTCCCAAGTCCCCAAATTCCCAAGTCCCCAAATTCCCAAGTCCCCAAATTCCCAAGTCCCCAAATTCCCAAGTCCCCAAATTCCCAAGTCCCCAAATTCCCAAGTCCCCAAATTCCCAAGTCCCCAAATTCCCAAGTCCCCAAATTCCCAAGTCCCCAAATTCCCAATCTCCCAAATTCTCACGTTCCCAAATTTCCAATCTCTCAAATTCTCAAGCCCCCAAATTCTCAACTCTGCAAATTCTCACGTCCCCAAATTCCCAAGTCCCCAAATTCCCAAGTCCCCAAATTCCCAACTCCCCAAATTCCCAACTCCCCAAATTCCCAAGCTCCCAAATTCTCAACTCCCCAAATTCCCAAGTCCCCAAATTCCCAGCTCCCCAAATTCCCAAGTAAGTATCAAAATTGTTTATTATCTAAAGAGACAGAATTGTAACACTACTGTCATTTGCAGGGAATGCCTTACGTTTCTCTGGGAACCTGAGTTGCGCGCACCAGAGGGCTTCAGGACTGACGTAAGAGTAGTTGTCGCTTCCGCATACAGGGAAACGAAGGTTCTCTTCCGGTATAGAGCCGCAGGGATTGTCGTCAGGTCCGGAGCACGGTCCAGAATGTCTCTCGACTAGATCTGTCAGGAAAAAAACGCTCGTAAATCCTTTATTCTTTAATTTAGAAAACCTAGACAGGTCACTATCAAGTGACCTCCGGTAATAAATTCCTGGCTTTGACAAAATGTTTCCAGAAACAAATATCAAGATTCAATGGAGCATACGAAATGGCTTCTGATGTCTTGGAAGATGAAAAATGCAGTGTGTTCCTGAATAAATCCTTTCTAAATATCTCTTTGCAAATCTGTAAACAAACAGATTATTCAAAGATTTACGTCAGTCATCTATGACAACTGACATTTTAATTTTATTATTGAACAAAGTCCATTGAATCTTTTGATACTGCTTTAAGTAATTCCTAACTGTAAAAAGTTAATGTTAAATCGTAACCTTTACTTGCTTAACAATTGAATGAATCCTGAATAAGTCTATGAATAACGTGACAGCCGAAGATAAAGTATCGCTGACAACTATTCGAATATAGTCAATATGTCGAATAAAATCCTCGAGATGTCTAAGATAGCCCGATAAGGCTTTTACCAACTGACGCTAACATTTGTTTCGTCTGGTGTAGCATTGCAGGTGATGAGTACTTTGGTAGGTGACGCCATCGCTTCCGCAAACCTCGTCCTCCGGGGTGAAGGCCGTGCTGTTCTCTGAGGTCGTATCGAGCTCGAGCTGAGCACAAGATTGCTGTGTTCTCGTACCACACTCGTCATCGGATACCAACCGCTTCATATCTGCGGAAATAGATAACTTATCTAGGATGATTCGTGCCAGGATATTCAAGCTGAGATGTTTAGCTCAGTGAGGATGATACCGGTAAGAACATTTCACTCGCAGATATAGGTCTATTGACAATGCCAGAGTTAAGATGCTTGATGTTAACAGGTGTGATGATATGAAAGCTAGGAAGTGGAGGATATACACTTTCAAATACGGAAGCTGAAATATTGAATGCTAGGAAGTGTGTAATCTAGAATGCTGTTTACTAGCAAAAAGGAGGATATCTAATACTATCTAAAAGAAAACCTGGAACACCTGATACCTACCAGCTATGTAGCACAGGAATTCGAATGGGTTGGAGTACGTCTGTCCATCGGAGGCGCATACAGGATTCCATTCGTACCTGGTCTTGGCAATTTCACAGACTTTATCGCTGTTTCCATAAACTTTGTAAACGTCCCATGTGGTACAACCTCCGTCGTGCAGAATCCTCAAGTCTGAAACAAGCGAATTCCATTTAAGGATCGTCTTTCTAATTGTACCCACGCTGAAATTGCAACGGAGGCGACTTTCCTTTCCTGAAACGTACAATTTGATTCGTTATACAACGTTAGGATCGCGTGTCGCGGCTGGAAAGTTGACGAGTAATTCGTGTTGTTCGATTGCGGGAGAACGTAACCATTAAGCTTTACATAATTTTTCTTGCAATCGCTTACCACTGTTATGCCGTTGCAAACACTTGAGCTGCGCCGCGTTCTGATAGGTCAATCCGTTGCTGCCGCAAACGGGATTGTTCCCGTAAAAGGCCATCCCGTGTCTGTAACAGTGATCCAAATTCTCGCAGGCATTCTCGGACGAAACCGTGACATCTGAAACAAAGGTACAACTTTAGATGTCCGAATCGTTCATTCAGTGAAGTCCGCTGAAGTAGTTTCGGTATTTAATTCACGGTGGTACAACTCCTAAAATATTAACCAAAAGATAGAAAGGGCTCTGTGCCATTGTTGGACGGCTCGTATGAAACGTAACAATACCCATGGACATTAACGCGCAACAACGAAACTTGTCTGAGTTTGCCAGGCTGGAATTTCGGTCAGCTCGCGGCTGGGCCAACTAAATTCTCCTACGGCTCGCTACGCTATGCGGCCAACTTTTGCCAACTTTAATCCGTATTAACGGCACGGTGAATATGCAGCTGCCGTGCTCCTCAATCGAGGGATTTGTCGTACTTACTCTGTGAACGCTTGTAATTAACGCACAAAAGTGATTCCAAATTCGTGTAAGTGTTACCGTCCGATCCGCACACTGGTTTATAGTACAGATTCGCCTTACAGTATTCGTCAGCGTGCATGCATGGCCCAGAATGCATTGTTGCCACTAGAAATAAATTTTGGTTAATTATGGCTATTACTAAGAATGTAAAATAACTTTTATCAAGCTCTATGATTTATTATACAGTCATAACAATTTTATGTCTTTAAATTCCTTACCATTACGGAAGGTTCTATAGTTCACGCAATCCAGGTACACGCTATTGGCATAAGTGTTGCCGTCGCTGCCACAGATTTGGCCACCATAAAGGTCCGGTTTCTGGAAGATCTCGCAGTCCTGATAAAATATCATTTTATCCACCCATGAAAGTGAATATCCAATTCCGAAACAGCATAGGACTCCTGTAAATCAGTATTAATTCTACTAAGTGTCATGAAAGTAACTTTTATTCGATAATAACATTACCGAGAAGAAACAAGGTGTGCCTCATGATGACTCTTTGTGGCATTCTTTGAACATTCCTTGGACTGAACGCTTTTTATACTAAATGTTACATGTATACGTTTACGTTAACATGATTGTGAAGATTGCTTTTATATTTTGAGAGATTGTTCGGACACGCAATATTTCCTGTTTCTTTTATACTCATTATCGGGAACGTGTTGTTTTCATCAAAATATTCCCGCCAAATCGCGGAGAAATGCTGTTGCAGTTATCTTATCACAGACGTGATATAAACTGATATATCGACGTTAAAACTTATCTTACTAAGGAAATTTACATTTGAGTTTGGATTCTTAATCAAAGCAAGGAAACAAACTGTTTGCCATGCTTATGTCATTCCCTGTATCACCGACGAGATACACTATAGTGCACCAATTGTTCTGAACATATAATCTATATTCTTGGACCCACAAAATGTATTTTAAGCAGTGTAAGATCAATATTAATAAGTATATAATAAATAAATAACATATTAATCAATAGAATTAGTGTTAATTGCATTTTAAAAAAAATGGAAATAGTGGCGCCATCTCTCCGGCCAACGGGGTGAACTACACACTTTTGAAACAGCAGCTTCGTTAGTTCCCATCTTCCGCCATTAGATGGCGCCACCTAAAAAGGCCCACTTTCTTTTTACCCTCTGCAGAAAATAAAAATTTACTTTTTACGTTCCCTATGATTTATGCTACGACTAAATAATGATTACAATATAAATAAATTATTGAGCGAGCTACTCTGTGAACGCTTGTAATTAACGCACAAAAGTGATTCCAAATTCGTGTAAGTGTTACCGTCCGATCCGCACACTGGTTTATAGTACAGATTCGCCTTACAGTATTCGTCAGCGTGCATGCATGGCCCAGAATGCATTGTTGCCACTAGAAATAAATTTTGGTTAATTATGGCTATTACTAAGAATGTAAAATAACTTTTATCAAGCTCTATGATTTATTATACAGTCATAACAATTTTATGTCTTTAAATTCCTTACCATTACGGAAGGTTCTATAGTTCACGCAATCCAGGTACACGCTATTGGCATAAGTGTTGCCGTCGCTGCCACAGATTTGGCCACCATAAAGGTCCGGTTTCTGGAAGATCTCGCAGTCCTGATAAAATATCATTTTATCCACCCATGAAAGTGAATATCCAATTCCGAAACAGCATAGGACTCCTGTAAATCAGTATTAATTCTACTAAGTGTCATGAAAGTAACTTTTATTCGATAATAACATTACCGAGAAGAAACAAGGTGTGCCTCATGATGACTCTTTGTGGCATTCTTTGAACATTCCTTGGACTGAACGCTTTTTATACTAAATGTTACATGTATACGTTTACGTTAACATGATTGTGAAGATTGCTTTTATATTTTGAGAGATTGTTCGGACACGCAATATTTCCTGTTTCTTTTATACTCATTATCGGGAACGTGTTGTTTTCATCAAAATATTCCCGCCAAATCGCGGAGAAATGCTGTTGCAGTTATCTTATCACAGACGTGATATAAACTGATATATCGACGTTAAAACTTATCTTACTAAGGAAATTTACATTTGAGTTTGGATTCTTAATCAAAGCAAGGAAACAAACTGTTTGCCATGCTTATGTCATTCCCTGTATCACCGACGAGATACACTATAGTGCACCAATTGTTCTGAACATATAATCTATATTCTTGGACCCACAAAATGTATTTTAAGCAGTGTAAGATCAATATTAATAAGTATATAATAAATAAATAACATATTAATCAATAGAATTAGTGTTAATTGCATTTTAAAAAAAATGGAAATAGTGGCGCCATCTCTCCGGCCAACGGGGTGAACTACACACTTTTGAAACAGCAGCTTCGTTAGTTCCCATCTTCCGCCATTAGATGGCGCCACCTAAAAAGGCCCACTTTCTTTTTACCCTCTGCAGAAAATAAAAATTTACTTTTTACGTTCCCTATGATTTATGCTACGACTAAATAATGATTACAATATAAATAAATTATTGAGCGAGCGAGCGAAGCTCTTATATTTGACTTTGCAACTTCTTTGTCCGCGTTTTTCTTTTGCACCACTCAACCAATTCAACCGGATGACACGGTTGACTATTTTTACTTTTGCGTGAAATTTACTCGCTCGCTCAACATTGTTAGGTTAGGCGCGGAGCGCCTCAGTCAAACAGACCTAGTATAATGTCGATAATAATAATTACTTATCCATTGGTTACTGTTATCGACAGCAGATAAAACTTTTATTACCAACAAAAGCTAACACACTCCTACCATCTATATCATCAGAACGTATTAAACGTGCTTCACATATATATACATTTCTGAATTTCTGCCATTGAAATTATTATAGACTCGAATCACAGTAATCACGATTGTAACAGTGAGAGCAAGAGATACGTCGGATAATATTTATTTTATCGGTATTTCAGCAATGAGCATCTGATGCAGGCGGACGCCATTTTCGCTACGAGCATCGGCCACGTCCTAACTTGATGGCAGGAGATTCGGATCTGTTAGTGTCTACATCGTTAAGCTTAAGAATTCTTGTACACTGTGAATATACATTCTATAGGAAATAATGGTAGGTATTTTTAAAATAAAGGAAACGATATGTAAATTTTATGTCACCGGTAAACACCTGTAGACACTTGCTTATTGACACTACAGCCGTGCTTACTTCTTTGACACGTCAAAATATCCACTCCCCTATATTAAACAACAATGATTTCCCCACGGCATGTCATTTTTTCCTCCAGTTTTTCATCAGAATATCTTACCATCATTTTCAACGTGTATATCAAGCATTCAATAAAGTCATTGCATATTTCATTCAGTTATGAACCTCGTTTCGAATTTCAATAAAATTGAATATATGAAATGGTAACAGATTAGTGAATCTAATTTTACTTTCTGCCATGATGATTGAACATTATGCATCTTGTTCTAAGGATATAAACTTACATTTTTATTTTTTTATTATAGCCACTCAGGTTAGATATCAAGCGAAAGCTGACCGCAAGGTCAGACAGAGTGAAGAGCGTTGATCTTCACCCAACTGAACCATGGATGCTCTGTTCGTTGTACCAAGGGAATGTTAATATTTGGAATCATGAAACTCAGATGTTGGTTAAAACGTTTGAAGTGTGCGACTTGCCAGTTCGTACAGCCAAATTTGTGCCACGTAAAAATTGGGTTGTCACTGGTTCCGATGACATGCATATAAGAGTATTTAATTACAATACTTTGGAGAGGGTGCACGCTTTTGAAGCACACAGTGATTATGTCAGATGTATTGCTGTACACCCAACACAGCCATTTATATTAACTAGTAGTGGTATGTGTTAACCTGTTTATCTATTGTTTAATAATATTTTTGTGCTTTAATTAATGTCTTTGTCTATTTAGATGATATGTTAATTAAATTATGGAACTGGGAAAAGGCCTGGATAGGGCAGCAAGTATTTGAAGGTCATACTCATTATGTTATGCAAATTGTGTTTAATCCAAAGGATAATAATACATTTGCTAGCGCTTCATTGGACAGAACTGTAAAAGTATGGCAACTTGGATCTTCTACTGCCAATTTCACACTGGAAGGCCATGAAAAGGGTGCTAATTGCGTTGACTACTATCATGGTGGTGACAAACCATATTTAATATCAGGAGCAGACGACAAATATGTTAAAATATGGGATTATCAGAATAAGACTTGTGTACAGACTTTGGAAGGACACACGCAGAATATTTCAGCAGTTTGCTTCCATCCAGAATTACCTATTATACTTACTGGTTCTGAGGATGGTACTGTAAGAATATGGCATGCAGGAACATACAGACTAGAATCATCTCTGAACTATGGTTTTGAGAGAGTGTGGACAATTGCCTGTATGCGAGGTTCAAACAATGTAGCAATTGGTTATGATGAGGGCAGTGTTATGGTAAAAGTTGGAAGAGAAGAGCCTGCTGTTTCTATGGATTCTTTGGGTGGCAAAATTGTGTGGGCAAAACACAGCGAAATACAGCAAGTAAACTTAAAAGCCCTAGGAGAAGAAGCACAAGATGGAGAAAGACTCCCATTGGCAGTGAAAGACATGGGTGCCTGTGAAATTTATCCACAGACTATTCAGCACAATCCAAATGGAAGATTTTTGGTGGTTTGTGGAGATGGAGAATATATTATTTACACCTCCATGGCACTAAGAAACAAAGCATTCGGACAAGCATCAGAATTTGTATGGGCTGCTGATTCAAGTCAGTATGCTGTCAGAGAAAGTAACACTACTGTAAAAGTTTTTAAGAACTTCAAAGAGAAGAAGAGCTTTAAACCCGAATTTGGCGCTGATGGTAATTATAATGATGATTATTCAATAGATAACATATATGTACATCGTTTATTTATATTGTTTTATTGTATAGGTATCTTTGGTGGATTTTTATTGGGCGTTTCATCTGGATCTGGCCTATCTTTCTTCGATTGGGATACATTAAAATTGGTTCGCCGTATAGACATTCAACCTACTCATGTTTACTGGGCCGAGAACGCTTCTTTGGTAACATTAGCCACGTCCGATCAATATTTCATTTTAAAGTATCATTCTGATGCTGTCGTGTATGCTCCTGAAAATTCAGAAGACATTGAAGAGGCTTTCGAGGTAGGTCATTTGCATTTTCAAGTGCAATAACGAGAAAAGAAATTTTCTACAACGTGCGACGCATTTTAGATGGTTGCAGAAATGAGCGAGGTTGTGAAAACTGGTCTCTGGGTGGGTGACTGTTTCATTTACACGAACAGCGTCAACCGGGTAAACTACTTCGTCGGTGGAGAAGTTGTGACTGTCTCACATTTGGATAGACCGATGTATCTTCTCGGATATGTTCCTAGGGACAATAGATTGTACTTATGCGATAAAGAATTATCAGTCGTGTCATATTCGTTATTACTTTCTGTACTGGAATATCAAACAGCCGTTATGCGAAAAGATTTCGAAACAGCGGACAGAGTACTGCCTACAGTTCCAAAGGAACATCGAACACGGGTTGCACACTTTTTAGAAAAACAGGTTTGTATTTTTGAACAATATCGTTTGTAGGAGATTTAAGAAGGTTATTATTTAAAGCGTAAATATTTCAGGGTTTCAAAGAACAAGCGTTAGCAGTTTCCACAGACCCGGAACACAGGTTTGAACTGGCTCTGGCGTTAGGAGATCTCGTTACAGCGCACTCGCTCGCTAAAGAAGCCAACAGTCAACAAAAATGGCGACAATTAGCGTCACTTGCCACTCAGAAGGGTAAATTGTGCTTGGCACAAGAATGTTTGCATCAAGCACAAGACTTCGGAGGACTTCTACTGCTCGCAACCAGCACCGGTAACGCAAATATGATTCAGAAACTCGGTGCGGATGCCAACGAAACCGGCAAGAACAACATTTCTTTCTTGTCGTACTTCATTCTCGGAGATGTGGATAAATGTTTAGACATTCTTATAAAAACGGATAGAATTCCTGAAGCTGCGTTCTTCGCCAGAACATATGCACCAAGTAAAATTTCATCGATCGTCAAACTGTGGAAAGAAAAGTTATCCACGGTGAGCGAGAAGGCTGGACAAAGCTTGGCCGATCCTGAACAGTACGAAAATCTGTTCCCTGGCTACAGGGAATCGTTGAAAGTCGAACAATTTCTTAGAGAACAAAGCAAACAGAAAATTCCTGCCTCTGCGTTCCCAAACGTGCAAGTAAGAGCACATTCATATTATTCTGTTTGAATTTCGCACCATTCGACACATCGAATTGTTTTGTTTCTCGATAGTTCGCTATTGGAATTTATCGATCGTTCGATCAATCGAAATTTGAATTTATTCGTATTCGATCTATCGTATTAACGGTTATATATGGTTGACAAGAAAGTGATGTTTTAATAATGATATATTTATTTTGTTATAGTCCAATGTTGACCGAAAACCAATCGAGGAAATGTTAGCTGCAGAAGAAGCGAATCAATTCACGTATAAACCAGGCACAACTACCAACGGTGAATTCGAAGTGCCATCGACCGAAGGTTTGACGAATAGGTTACAAGATCTGGATATTAGTAAAGTAATTCCACCATCCGCTGAAAAATCAAGCGTTCCTGAAAAAGCTGCAAAGCCTAGCAGCAACTCCAGGCCGCTCACCGTGGACGAAGACGATTTGGACCTCGATTTCGAAATTGACGAAACCATAGATACTACAGTAAGCCCGTCGTCCATTCCTTCGAATACTTTTTCGTTTGTACTCTCTCGTTTTGTGTGAATTTCGTGCCTCATTTTTGCCTTTTTTTCCATGCAACCTTATGCATGCTGCCTGACATAAGTACTTCTGAAACTGAAAGTAAGTCTGTGACGTGTGAACATGTGATGTCAATTCATTTTATAACCTAACAATTCCGTCGATCGTTTCGAGACAGACACGATCGAATATCAATCGGAATAACAAAATCGTAAGTATATAAGTAAAACGATAGGTGAATCGAGGTCAAGAGGAAGAGAAAGAGAAGAAGGGAGGAAGGCGAACGAGCAGGGTGCAACTAGACGATGCCTTAATGCCCTTAAAATACGGTCGCGTAATTCTAGCCGGGTATTACATTACCAAAACAGTCTGAAGCCGAGCGTAACGCACACACACGTGCCTCACGCGTGTGTGTACGGCTTTATATCGATCTTGACTGTTGTGTGTGAACACGTCCTGTCGAGCAAAACGAAGTGGTCATTAAATAGAACAGAAAAAGATGAAACACTGCTTTGTTAAACCAGGAAAATCAAAAAAGATAAAAAGGGATATTGTCTATACAAGTTGAAGGAAGCTGTAGTGATGTCTGTCATAGAAATGACTATGAAATTAATAAGAAAAAGCTTTAGGCTGTAAAACTAATGTTTGTAGAGGGGATTCGGAAGCTTAAGGTTTGTTGACTTCACGCCAGTCACGGTTCATTTTCTTTACAGCCTTATTGCCATAACATTTGTGCACGGAACCCTCTGTATCCCACTTGGTATAGCCTTTCCTTCGTTTATCTATTGTATTACACTTTCTAGATAAAAATTGACTAATCGTAAGGTATATTGAGTTCTAGCAATACTATGTTCTAGGCATATTGGAATCTAGAGATCCGTGAATATAGGAATGTGAGATTAATGTGCATGTTTGCTTTTATAAATCAAAGACTAATGTAATAGTTGTTACATTGTGCATCAACATGTTGATAGAATTAGTAAAAATATATGAAGTATTGAAACAAAAGTTAACACTACATTTTGTGTTTCAGGGTGTAAGTCTCGACGACGACCTTCTTGAAGAGGATTAGCCGTTCGATTGGAAGGCATCAGCTTGTACGTTGTACGTGCAATTTCCATTCTCCTTCCGTCAGTCATTCCCCGTGTGTCGACCAGAAGTCGTTTAGAATCAAGTATTAAGAAAACGTTGAAGGACATTTTTGTGCGCGAGTGTTTTTATCAACGCATACGATCACAGATACAGTACATCCTGTGCACGTGGATTTTACCCGTGTACCGAAGATTAAATATATTGTTAATATAAAGGAATAATCAAATAGGCTTTAGTCTGTATTATACCTCCCTGAACCACCATCCTGCTTTTCAGGTACCTTCTTTTATATGTTACTTTTTTCTGTCAATATTTTCAATCATTTTCAATGATCGCATTACTTTGTATACTGATAATCTCATTATTAACAAGATAGAATAACAAATTAATTTGCACCATTTTATTTTACAGTCTAATTTTTATTTGACTTTCTAAAGATATAGGTTGATTGTTTATATAAGGACCTAGTCCGAATAAAAATAAACTACGTACGAGGGAGTTTAGTATTTTATTGATAAGCTGATGTAACCTCGTCCACAATTTTTCTACGTATCGAACAGGAGATCCTTTCCTCCGGAAGAGCCGAAAATAATCCGAACGCTTAATAAGCCGCGGAACACGTTGCACTCTGGTTCCTTGAAACCCGAATAGTCGTCGATTTTCATGCACGCGTACGTGTCGTGAGGCACCTCAGAAACAGAAGGACGTACCGTTAAGACGTTCGGTACGTGCCCATTGGTTTCCAAGCACATGTGCTCGAACACGGTACGCACTATCGTATTGCATCTATATTATTAATATACACACTACTCGTAGCTGTTCAGTGGTGCTTTAATTCTGCTTATTCTTCTAAAATACTGCCCTGTTTGCAGATCCTGAGTATCAACGTTGTCAATGCCTGAAGAAGCTTTAAAACCTACAAAGTTTAACGTGTCTATGCATTGTTCATAAGTCGCACAGATGTTCGCAAAAAGAATAGGTCACAGTTTTGCCTAATTTTCCTGAACTATTATTTACAAAGATATTTCATTGGTTTACAAACATGTTGGATTGAATATCAAACATGATCTTCGCTACCGTGTGACCTTTTCTTGTCAGAATGTTCCTGCCTCTCGCAAGTTTATATTTATCTGCCTGGAATTGTCTCTTCTTTTTTACATCATTCAGAACAGATTGAAGAATCGCGTGTCATGATAACAAGAGACGACCACGTGGATGGATTAATTGCGTGTAAATTTACGTAGAAATCGGTGCACCGGTGTGGAGGCTGAAAAAAGACGAAAGAGGAGTAGGTGGAGACTGAGAAAGACGAGCAGGCGACGAGGGAATACACAGGCGAAAAGATAGCAGCGCGCATCGTCTCGAAAATAGAAACGGCTTCGTTGACACTCTGCTACAAATTGTCCGCGTCGTTATGCTCTTTGTAAAAGCCACGCGCTCTTTCTTTTGCTCTTGGTGGCCAACCGCCGCGAATACTTTACAATTTTCGCGTTCATGTGTGGCCCTATCTTTGCTATTTCGATTAGAAAAAGAAATTAAACTTACTGCAACACATTCTGTAAATATGTAGAAGCAGAAAAAGTAGCTGCCTCAAGATTTCAAATGTAAAATCAGAGAATAGGTTTATTACTACATACTTGATTTATTGCTTTGGTTGTTTTAAGCAGTGCGTAAACATTTGAGAGATTTACAAGAAACAGCTGTTTTCAACTTTATTTTTAATGATTAGATACTCTTTTAAAATATGCGCTAATTATTAATATCAATTTTAGAAAATAAATGTTACCATGAACTTCTGTTCTGTTACACTTGTTTCGTTACTTTCTTGAAGTAATATATTTTAATATTTTAAAGTTGAAGCTTTATTTTTAATGTTCACACGCTGTTAAGACAAGTGCAATTATTTGAATTTGCAAAATAAGAGCAGAAAATTGACTACCATAAATTTGAAGCAGTACAAACGTTTGCTAAAATTTACAAGTTACAGCTGTTACCTTTTTTATGCTTAATGATTAAGTACACTAGTAAAATTAGTTATTAATTCAGTGAGGTAGGATGATAGGGAGTTAGAATATAATTAACTGATTTTAGGTGACGCCTCGAGAAGTAAATGGACTGCGTAACACTGATTCTCTTTTCCGACGCGGCGTCTCCGACAATTTATTGCCGTCCGTTCCACGCGAGGATTACCAGAACTCGGTCGAACGATATCTGACACACTCTCCCTCGTTTCGTCCAGTTAAATCCACTCTAACGACCGGGTAAACGAGCCGAGTAATTCTTAAGGTGGAGCCAAATATAGATAAGAAAAAATCGTTCCAATAAGATTTAACCGGCCTCTCATAGAAAAAGAAACTCTTATACAATCTTTCATTTACTTTTAATCAATGTTTTTGATCAATATTCTTCTGATAATTTTTTACTTTGAACAACTAATAAGAGCACAAAAATATTACATCTAGTATTAAATATATGGACTCTATGCTGAAGCATGATGATAACATGAAGCAATAATAAAATGAAGACATTTGAAAAAAAAGTGTGAGGTATTCACTTTATTTTAGTTTTCTTAATTGTCTCTATTTCATTTTTTAAAAAAAGTAGTACTTGCTTTCCTTTATTTCCAGTGCTTTACTTCCTGACCTCAAGTTCCTATAGCTGAAGAATGCTCAGGAATGTTCTGTATGGATGTTAGTGAATGGATTATGCGTATCAGGAAAGGCGTGGAAGGATCAAGTAATGTACTAAACGAGACGTACCAACGCACATGTATGGCAGAGACTGTGAAGCTGCTAATAGTCGCCTAAATGGTCGACACGCTTGCTCTGGCTGTCGCTATATGTCACCTCCGCCCTCTATTTACACGCCACGACGATGCACGTGCGTGTGAATCTCGTCGCGACGGAACCGAAGGAATTCTCCGTCAACCTTTTTATTTGACTTCATAGCTAGCAAAGTCTTTTATAAACAATGATTTAATGTACGTGGACGTTGAACCGCGATATAATTTTCCAAATTCTGACAATGAGAGTAGAAACAATAGGGTCACGTTTCGTTGTAAAATATTGCACCTACATCTTTGTAACTCGAGCCACGAGGAAACACCGAATAATTTACCTGACTTTCGGTGGATTCGTTCCAGGCTGTGGTCGGTCCCGATGATTAACGTCTGTGTTTGCTTATCGAAACTGTTCAAGTAAAACGAACAGTATCTGACGTTTATGTTTGGTGTAGCCTCCACCGTCGCGCAAAACAAACCGGAGAGATTCGATAATCGCTGTTGAGAATCTTAGGCATCGGTTTCAGTTTTGATAAACTTGAATATGTAAAACTATTATGAAAAATTAAATTGCACTAATGTTGAAAGATCAATACTACAATATAATCTTTTGAAGTCAGTATATAATATAGAGTAGGGTCAAAAAAGGAAGGTCGGTAATCGTCCTATAGGAGTCGACTACTCCCTTCTTGCTCCATAAATACAGACTTACCTGTCCCATGCGACCAATGGTATCTCAAGGCCCGCTGTCTATCCCTACGCTCATCTTCCAGAGGAAGTCAATATTTTTACCTGCCTATGACAACCAATGAGAGTGCAAGGATGTTGCTAGACCCTCCCAGCTACAGAGAATCTTGTTGCTAAAACATGGCTGTGTTTCTACAACACAGAATGAAAAGATCTGTGGAGAGTGTAAGGTACTCCAATTTGTCTTAATTGTCTATGATGATAAATTCTTTATGATTTATTATACGTTCTGTTTTAGATAAATCTTTGAAACAAAATAATTATAAGTTAGAAGTATATGCAATAAAAAGTGGACAAGGAAGTTTGCAAGTTAAAAATGATTAAAAGAATCCATATTAATTTCTGTCCATCTCATTCATACCGGCCCGTCAATGTTTGAAACAATACATGAAGAATAAATATAAGTTAGAAGAAGTATATGCAATAAAAAGTGGATAAGGAAGTTTGCAAGTTAAAAATGATTAAAAGAATCCATATTAATTTCTGTCCATTCCATTCATACCAGCCCGTTCTTTTCCAGACCCATCGACCACGCAAGATTTATTTCAAGCCTAAACGTTAGAAGGGACGTGCTCGCGCGATCGATTTCCAGACGAAAAATAAAGTGCACGTGCTATTCCTGCGCTGATGCACGTACGGTGTTGACGCGGTGCACGGCGAACCTCTCTTTTACGGGGAATATTAAAGCTCGCTCGAGCGGACCGTGTTTGTAAAACATTATCGTTTTCATAAACATCGCCATTGCTGGCCATTGGCTACTTTTCCCTTTGCTTCTCTCCTATCGTTCTTTTTCACCGGATATTCTCAGCCAGAGGCTCTCCTGAATCACCGGTTCAACTGGTAGTAATGGTTCTTTCCTCTTTTAATTCAACTGTTATATTCGAAATATAATATTAGAGTATAGCTTTGAATTTTAGGGAAACGCTCGTTGCACGGATTTAATTTGAAACTCAAGAATTAATCTTCAAGTCTAATTATACTTCCAACCCATTTGTGAAAGGTAAATAACATCTCCCTTCGATAAGCGTTAAATAATAGAGATTTATTTCAGTTTTTTCCATATAATTACAGAAGCTGCCACATGCCCAGAGTCCTTAAAGCGAGGAGACGATAGTGATCAGAAAGCTATGGGTACACTTAGGCAATTACATTATGTACATACAACGAATCGTCCAGACAGATTTCTATTTCGATATGCGATCTACACGTTCAGATACAGGTTAAATCACTATGAATCTAGGTATATTTGTCTGTTATATATATATGTATAAAAGAAGAGCGTGTCTATCGTTCGACACGTCTTCATGCGACAACTTAAATTAGACGTTATCTATGGAGATCTCGCGAGTGGACCCTTCAGAAGAGACCGACTCGCGGGTCATGGACTTGTCCCTTATCTCGCTTAAATATCGAATACTGTGTAGCGCTCGAAAACACACGTGAACGTAGCTGTCCGTCAGCGGGAGACCTCTGAGACAGCTTCGACCGTTCACCAGCTCCATCAGCGGTCTCGTAGCACAAAGTTCCGTGGACACTGCCCTGTTCTCGACCTTCAAATTCTTGCTTACCGCTTCGTGAAGGACCAGCAAGACTATCCCTTGGGACTCTGACGAGATTCAACAACCTGAACGAGGAATTGATTCACATGAAACACTTGGATCGAGACTGGAACTCCATAGGCGAGAAACCGGTGGTTGATACTCCTGTCGGAGTTGTGGACCCCATCATTCCGGATGGAACTACTCCACCTACGCTGGTGCTTGACACCGTCACGCTTCCCGGTTCCTCCTTCACGTTCACCACTGTGACAAACAATTGTTCGATATTCGGTCACTTGGTTTCTACAGATGAGACGAGGTTCTGATTAACAGTCAGGTAACAATCTGTACTGTAGGATTGGGAGCCTCGTCATAGGAATCGTGGAAGCAGGGACGACAGTGGGCTGGTAGTAACGCGGACAAGGTAGCCACAACGTGAAGATTATTCTAAGACTAGTCTTTATATTTGTATGATTTCTAAACGTTGTAATTACTTTCAGGCCAATAGCATCTGGTAGGCACCGTCTCCGGCGTCATGGCGGCGTCGTGTCTCCTGGCGAAGCTGCTGCCAAAGGAGCTGCTTCCCATAGAGCCAGGAGAACTCGCCGTCCCACCTGGAACATCCAAGTAATTGCCTTGAAACGCTTTGCCTGGTCGTCGAGCATTTCTCGAGAGCACGGGGCAAAGTAACCGCGGGTTAAAGCAGAGACTCACTTAACGAGGTGCCCAGTTGGCTGTACCCGTTCATCGTTGGGATCTGCATCGACTGCATCGGCTGCAGTTGCGGTTGGAGCTGCAACAAACGATGTTACTTAAACGATCTTCCTAAAATTCAAGCTGATTGCAAAAAAATAAAGTCTTGCTGCGACAAAGCGGATGATAATACTGGGCAAACTTACTGACTGACAGTGACTGTAGGAGAGCTGTGATTGCTGAAGACTCCAAGCACTGGAATCGAAGGCGAGTTAAAAGGTTGTTCTAGTCAAAAGAATAAACTGCAAAGTGAAGATTCCAGCTTTGGGATAACTGGTCGTACCTGGTGTCGTATCTGGTGTAGGTGGACGGAGCATAGGACGGTGGTGAATGGCCAAACAAGTTTCTGGGACCCAAATGAACGTGCGTGGGAGAAAAAGGATCGCCGAATAACGTTTTATGGTACGGTGCGTTCCTATAAGGCCGCTTCATGCGTCTGCGCCTTCTATAGTTACCGTTTTCGAACATGTCCGCGTATTGGGGATCTACAAACGTCCACGTGTTTACCAGCCTCGCAAATTATTACATATCTGACAAACATTTCAGGGTACTAACCGAGGGTCCAGAAGTTTCCTTTTCTCTCGCCACCTCCGTCGCGTGGCACCTTCACGAAGCATTCGTTCAGCGACAGATTGTGCCTGATGGAGTTCTGCCAGCCCTTCTTGTTCTTCTGAAAGTACGGAAACCTAGCAGTGATGAACGCATAAATTTCGCTCAGCGTAGCCCTCTTCTGAGCGCTGTGTTGAATCGCCATGGCGATCAGCGCGACGTAGCTGAACGGAGGTTTCTTGCTAGCCGAATCATTGTTACTGGCGCTTCCGTTTCCGGTTCCGGAGGCACTGCCAGACCCGTCCGCGGCTGTGGTAGGCGTGGACGGCGCCGACGGCGTCGACGGGTTGCTGTTTGTGGTGCTGTGGAGAACTCCGCTGGGAGATGACCCTTTCTCGTCTAGGTGGTGATGAGTAGAGCCTGTCGAATGCATCGACACCACAGAATTTGGGCTGTGCAAGCTATGGTGAGAATGATGGTGGCTCAAGGAGTGGTGGGACGCTAGAGTCCGACCTATGGAGGAGTCCAGCTCCTTCGACGTGGCGCCTAAGCAACCGTTCTGCATCTCTGACACGAAGCTGCTCACTGAAATTCAAGGGATTTCGCGTTCAGAGTTTAGAATTCCGGAGTTTTCAAACTTTGGGACTCTGAGACATTAGAATATTTGTGAAGTATGAACCTTTTTGTAAGGGGTTGAACCTCTTGATCATACAAGTTAGTAATGAATGACCGGATGGCAAGATAAAGAGGCAGAACTTTAATCGGAGACGGCTCCAGGAAATTGGACAATGGTTCGATCGATTTGCGAGCAGGTACACGAAGAAAACTTCCAAGAAATCTTGTCGCTGTAAAACAATTGCGTCTTTGAAAGGAATTCGTCCCGCGACACTCGAGACCGTGGAATGATAAGCTGTTTGAAGAAATCGTGATTCAGGATCGAACGATTGTCTGAAGCGACTGACCTCAAACTGCATGCAGATAACTCGAATATTAAAAATCGATTAAACTCATCTACACTACTCATATCTGTTGACTCTTTCAGGTGCTATTCTACTCTCGGATTTTTCAGTGGAAACATGTCTGAGACTTTGGAGGAAGGAAATTTGCGAAAAATACGGAGACGTGAGGAACGAGTGCGTACGTGCATGGCGTCGAATATTCATCGGTGCCCTGCGGCACGTGTAACTGGAACTGGCGGTAACTAGACACCGATAAGTTGAGCACGCTGCACTCCGACAACAGAGAGAAACAGAGAACCCGCGAAGAGCGAAGCTTGGAACAAAAGGAAAACAGTGAAGCATGGTTTTTCAGAAAAATCCTTGGGCCAGTTTCAAGAATAGAGCCATAAAAGCATTCTACCATTTTTCGATGCTCAATGTTCGATGGCTGTTATCAGAGCTATCGGCAATGGGGATAATTCTGCCAAACATGATACCCTCTGCGCTTCAGGGTACATGATTTTCAGCTGCTACATCATTTGAGACACCGGTACATGCGATGACATATTGTTTCCTAGTTAGGTGCTTCACCACTGTAAAGGTACAGGTGGAAATAATTTTATATGTATGACGCTATGGGTGTCACTTATTAACTTCATGGTAAATGATTTTCAGCTACTGCCTCATCATTTGAGACACCGGTACATATTGTGACGACATGATACTCTATTTCCCAGCGGCGTGCTTTCACCACTGTGAAGGTACAGATGGAAATAATTTTATACGTATGAGGCTATGGGTGTCAATTTATTAGCTTCATGGTAAATGATTTTCAGGTACTGCCTCATCATTTGAGACACCGGTACATATTGTAACGACATGATACTCTATTTCCCAGCGGGGTGCTTTCACCACTGTGAAGGTACAAATGGAAATAATTTTATATGTATAAGACTATGGGTGTCCCTTATTAACTTCATGTAAAGTGACAAGGTAAATGAAGGTATCGTTGATACTTAATCATAATTGTACTATTATCTTCTGATCAATAATAATCCTTGACAGATCACGCGTTCTCAATCGTCCAGCGATACCTGTAGAAGAGTCTACACGCAGCGTGTTGTACACGTACGCAAATCCAAGGTGCACAAGCAAGCAACGAGATCGCGATAACTTCAAACGGTTCGCCAACACACCTGACTGCAACTGGAGATCCTTTGCTACGCGACACCTACGAGTCCACATCTGCTCTCGACACGAGATCCCTTGTTTCTATTCAAACATGACAAACGATCGTCATTGGAAAACATTGCTCTTATGGAAAAGTCAAAGAAAAATCTCTGGTATTAATAATCAGAGAGAGATTTGCAAAATTATTGATAAAAATGTGGAAACAGGTAGCTATGTTTACGAGGGTTAAAGGTTGCAATCTTTTTATAATTGTTAGGAAATATTGGTGGCCAAGAAGAGGTTTTGCAATGGACAATGGAAAAAATGCAACGTTCAGCTATCACGGAAAGTCGTGACGTAACTAGGATTGCGAAAATTGGCCTTCGTCGAGGTATTGCTGTAACGATTCCAGCGTTTATCGGTCGGGGTTCTGCCGACGTTTCACCGAGTTCGCAGATTCACAAAACGAGTTCACCGTTCTTGGAAATCGAGCTGCGTTAATAAGGTCATGGATCTCTAATTAATCCTTTACGTTTCTTTCTTCTCGACCTGATAAATTGGTAATAGTTAAATCGAACTTGTAATCATGTACTTAATCTCTCGTTCTAATTTAACGTAACACCCCGCAGTTACAACGAAGAATTTGTAAAGAGACGGGAGCTTTCTGGAACGAGTCATTTCGCTTCGATGACAAAACTTGCGACCTGGTCAAAGAGCAACGAGAAAGCGATAGAAAAAGCGGTGGACAATGAGAGGGAGATCCGCAGTGATGTCACGACGTATTGTATTTCGCTTATCGACGCCAGATGCCGATTCCTCGTGGAACTCGTAGCATTTCACGAATGCGAATGCCACGATTTCCGACGACAATGACCACCGAGACAACGACCTTCGAAGATCGACTTTGTTCTAGTCAACGCACCTTCATATTTTTATACTCGCCAAGAAAATCTTTCAGTTTGATATACGGAGATAAAATGAAGTTTTTAATCCTTAGTTTGTTATTTTCTGCTGATGACAAAACAATGTATCATTATTTAGACGTTAGTCTAAAAACTTCACTAGGTGCACCGTTATAGTTGACATATTTGTGTGCGCAAGGCACCCGTGATCAATGTTATGACAATTCGAGGTCGCAGCACGGTGTCCCCGTTTTCAAAACAGTTTTTTGTCGACCTATGCAGGCGATGGAGGGAATAATTCGTTGGGGGTAGGACAAATAGTCATTTACAATAATTATTGGTACGCTAAGTTTTACAACCTAAGTTTTATGTCACTGAACACTTGCTTAATTTTTAAATTGCATTGATTTAATGATAAGGTCAAGTGATGAGGGTCAATCAAGGAATTCATGACTCCATATTGTATATCTACATCGATTATAAGTTGGAACAAACATCGAGGGGCGTCAGGACACGTGTAATGTCTAATGACCCATCTCTGACCTAATCAAGGGTAGCTTTTGAGAGAACCTCTCCATTCAGAAAACAGGAGCACGTGCCTCCCTATTAGCTTGAAAACGTGTCTATAACGATGGGGCCATTAACGTAACGATAAAGTAACTTCAGGATCAAATGGATGATCATAATTCAGTTAAAATAATAAACACCTGATGTAAAAATTATAATTAAGTAATCTCTCATGTTTGTAGCAATTAATTCTGAAATTTGAAATGACTGTATGATTCTTACAAGTGATTTGTTTTTACAGAGTCACCCTACAGATGTGGATCTTCAGGATTTAAGAGTCTTGAAAAATAACACATTGCCAGGGTAATTAAGCTTCACACAGCACCAGTGAATCCCAACGCAACCAGAAATTGAATTTCACCTCCAAAGAAACAAAGCGCCGAATCAAAAACGCAACGTACACCGCGTATCAGCTTTAAGATAAGAAGAGTAAGGGGTGAGGAAGGTACGAGGATAAAACAGAAGCTCGAATCAGAGGGCAGAGGGTCATCTGCGCGACGATAGCTCATCTCATGGTATCTTCCGCGTGAGCCAATCGTCGCCTGGTATCTCGACCTCGTCAACGTCGTCGTCGCAACGTTTTCCAGCGTCCTTCTCTCGTACTTGTACACCGGAAGTATATATAGAATTGCAACTCGTCAAAAATCTACTTTCTTCAGCTCCTAAATATCACGTTTCAACCATTTCTTTCAGGACGGATGATACGTTATCAAAGAAAGAAGAGTTGTGTTTACTATAACGAATACTCGGTGTTTTGCAAAGGAACTAATCATGTAGCAGGTTTGACCAAAAACAGCAATAAGGATTACTTAACCAGATAATTCGAGGGGCCCGACCGTGTTCCCGCCTTTTGGTTCGTCGTCGCAGATTTATCAGGAATCTCCTTCCTTCGCGTTTCGCGATTGAACGACCGTCATTCTGATCATCTTATCGTTACAGAGTCAAGGAAGCGGAACTTAGACGATAAGAAAATCGAGTACAAACTGCGTGCAATTCTTGGATGCTCGGGGAAGTGGCTCAAGGAATCAACTCGTGACACAGGTTGACGCAGATCGATCAAGTTTACTATAACGCGGATTACGAGATTTTATCAAATTGAATCTAATATATAATACAACTGGAGTGCGAACGAGATTGATAAGCGGATTCGCGACTCCTTTATCAGCTACGATTAGACGAAAGCCGTGCCCTTGTTTACTACAAGATCTATTTTAACGCAAGCGCGAAGATATTACATATGGCCTGGTTTCTGGATAAACAAACAGGGTCGCGTTATCGTTGCTGAAAACCAGGCGCCATCGATTCGCCAAAAGATTGCAAGGTGTTTACAACTTATTAACCCCTTGATCATACAAATGCGGAACGATGCTCCTTGCACGGTTTAAACGAAGTTAAATAGCAGTCCATAGTAATCAGGGCTGCACAATTAAACGCGTCGACTAAGCCGTGCTCAGGCTTATCGGACATTCTTTATTGTGTCGATAAATTTGCACGCGAATGCGATTGTTAAACGTAATACGGGAATGTGGAGCACGAATCAAGACGAATGTAAGAATCTATCGGTAATACACGAGAAGAATAAGTATTTATAGTCGGTGCTCTTTCAGTTGTGAGGAAACTTAGGGGAGGATTCTAGTGTTATTTGTCTTAGGTTAAAGTAGTAAGTCTTAGTGTTATTAGACTACTTAAAGTATTGCTGTAGGACATTTACCTAGGATGGGACACCCTTGTAGTCCCCAGACATCACAGACAAATAACACGAGTGGTGTGATACTTTCCCCTACGTTTTTCCCCTGAAGCAGTAACCACATCATCAATCTCGCATAAAGGGAATCAAAATGTTTAAGAAATTTAACTAGATAGGGCAAATTGAATGTAAGGAAGTCAAACAGATGTTCCCACGTGTCATACGATTGAAAATTTTTCCAGAGAGGAGTAGAAGCGACGGAGGGATTCACGAAAACGCTGTCGTTGGCCGATATATCAGCTCTCGGCTGGTGGAGCAGCCAACATTCCCGGATTAGCGACCATAACTCTCGCTGGTGAGAGCACTCTGAACAGCTCTCTCGATTTCGAAAACACGAAAAGCGACGAGGCGGTTCTTGTTGCTTCTGCAAAAATTCCTGACCGCCTCGGAGGATCCTTAAGCGAAGGTTTATCTTAAGGAATTAGAGATGACTAGGATTTTTACGGCGCCTTTATGATCAGCCTTTTATACCGGAGATATCGACGACGGTGAGCTTCTTGGATTTCAACGGTGGTGCGCTGAGGATTAATCGTGTCCAACGGTTTCTGTTTATCTAGCGATTAGCGAATCAGACAAATCTGGTAACGCGAAACCGTGCACGCAACCGCTTCCCTTTATCAACGTTTATCGTAGCCTTCGATCCTGTGTCGGACCTCTTTCGACATCTTCAGGTTCCGTTACGGATCAGAGAAATATTCTCCGGGAGTCTTATGCTGGTAAAAGAATCCCCATAACGATGTTAATGTTCAAAAGTTGTTCTTAAGAGAACCTTTCGATCAAAATAGAATGCACAAACGGTAAATTCGACTAATTAAATCATAAAGTGCCTATAACGCGTTAACGATACTATAATGCATGCTTTAATTCAACAGGAATGATCGTTCAGTTTTTGGATGGATTTATTATGCTCCCATAAACAAGCGGTCTCCCGTCTCTGTCTCTCCCGCTGGATAATTAATGGATATGGTTTGCGTTAACGACCAGCTTATAACTGGACGTATCCATCAGCAACATGATACAATCAACCGCGTATATTCAGCGAGCGCAAAAACAATTGGGCGATAGTGGCTGATAAATCATGAAAGGTGCATTGCTCTCTGCAGTCATCGAAGCTAAATCATCAAGATATTTGTACCGCCGCGTCGAGGCTGTTGAAGACGAGCCACTGACAGCTTCTGGAGAAACATAATCGAGAGAGAGGCGCGAGGAAAGATCAGGGCGCAGCCTCCAGCGGTATATCATCTCGTGCTCTCTCTCTCGATCATGATTTTCTTTCATTGTTCAACTATTTCGTTTTTTCTTCGCCAACTTCCCTCCTCGCTCGACCCATCTTTTCATCTCTTTCCTCCCCATTCCTCGCGGCAGAGTCACGCGACACTCGACCGGCGTTTTGTATTATTAGAACGTGGTCTTTAGCTAACGTGAACACGAAGGAACGGTTCCCGTTGTATCCTGATGACGTCAAACGGGTTGAACGTCATCGATAACGTTTTTAGAAGCTCGCTTTTTATTGTAAATGATGAATGTTTCTGTGTAGGGCGCCTACCTTGATGCAGAGATGGGAGAGGCGATGGCGGTGACACCTGAAATGGCTCCTGTTTGATCTTTAGAGAATGGGAGGACTCCTGCATGCCCAGTCCTGTGACACCCAAGCTGCCATTGCCTTGTTGGAGCTCCTGGAACATTCAATGTAACTGATTATTACTTATCTGTATATTTACTCATTCACTATTGACTACTATGTAATTTCCATTTTCTAGGTGCTTGTTAAATTGAAGAGAGATATTCTTGAGACTTGTGGATGAGATTTAGATGTGTGAGACTTAGGAATTACAAGAAGTATGACTATGATTATTCTAATTAGATCCAACAATCCACATTCATTACATTATTGCAATAATTCCAGTTAACCAATTAAGTAAAACAATTATAATATATTTATTATAGGTTATGAGGCTCAAAATATTTAATAAAAAATGACTTCACTGATCATGTCAGTAATTAATAGAATTTAATTGAGACCCGCAACAATTTCGTTTGTAATGTTTTTAGGGAGGTACTATGATCAACGAGCACGAGAACGACAGGAAGATGAACAACAGGGCCGGTGGTGAAAGGTGAACGAACCAGAAGAGGAGGCAACATGAACGACGGGGCCAGGAGTCTTCTGGCTCGTGGCTGGCGATGTTTGAAGTGCCGTCGCCGGAAGCTTACAAACACCGACCCGGTGTTGTGACATCGTATTATGCCAAGCGAAACTTACGATCCTGCTTGATCGTTAATTTGCGATCCGGCTTTACGACGCCTAGTTTGCATTTAACCGCCTACGTGTACTTGACGAAAATTCGTAAAACAACTAGAACCCGAACAGTTGTAAACCGTGAGTTTACGGCTTCGAATATGAGGCAATCAAGCCAGTGATACCGTTGATGGTTGCACCTTGAAGAACTTTTTTCGAAATCTGACCAGAGAACAAGTGTCGTTGACCCAGGGATTAAAACCGATTGGGTTTACATGTTTGGCTTGTCTAAGGGCTCACAACGGTGGCGCTCGATCTGTCAGGACGAGGTTTCAAGCCGCGACAAGATATACAGACACCGTCGTCGCTACCGCAGAAGTGCATCAACAGGCTGACACTGAGAAACGTCCTCCGGAGATTCGTCCAGGCAAGTAATCGCAACACGTGGCCACCTCGTTAATTCGTTAGACAGCCATTAAATTAAGCCTTCCTCTATGTCGCCTCTTGGTAGACGCTTTAAACGTGTCCGCAGGGGAGAGGGATTCTTCAAAGAAGGTGATTTTAGCCCACTTAGACTTGTGGATTAATGTATATATAGTACTGCAAGGAATGAAAAGTAATGTATGTAATGAGATGCTCGTTTCAAGATAATTTAGCTTCTTAATTTCAGGATAATGAAGATTCCAAGAGGCTCTTCTACCCATCACTACATGACACTTAAATAAGTATACTAATGGGCCAAGATCTTGTAAAAACTAGAAGGTGGAAAGAGCAATGGCTGCCATAAATCAGGACCCAACACTTCATTAAATAAACACTTTAAGAGTGTTGAGATATAACAAGATACTTGAATGTTCCTCGAGTACCTCACTATACTACATCTATATCTACCCATCACTACATGACACTTAAATAAGTATACTAATGGGCCAAGATCCTGTAAAAACTAGAAGGTGGAAAGAGCAATGGCTGCCATAAATCAGGACCCAACACTTCATTAAATAAACACTTTAAGAGTGTTGAGATATAACAAGATACTTGAATATTCCTCAAGTACCTCACTATACTACACCTATATCTACCCATCACTACATGACACTTAAATAAGTATACTAATGGGCCAAGATCTTGTAAAAACTAGAAGGTGGAAAGGGCAATGGCTGCCATAAATCAAGACCCAACGTAACACTTCATTAAATAAACACTTTAAGAGTGTTGAGATATAACAAGATACTTGAATGTTCCTCGAGTACCTCACTATACTACATCTATATCTACCCATCACTACATGACACTTAAATAAGTATACTAATAGGCCAAGATCCTGTAAAAACTAGAAGGTGGAAAGAGCAATGGCTGCCATAAATCAGAACCCAACACTTCATTAAATAAACAGTTTAAGAGTGTTGAGATATAACAAGATACTTGAATATTCCTCGAGTACCTCGCTATACTATATCTATATCTACCCATCACTACATGACACTTAAATAAGTATACTAATGGGCCAAGATCCTGTAAAAACTAGAAGGTGGAAAGAGCAATGGGCACCCATAAATCAAGACCCAACACAAAATTAAATAAACACTTGAAGAGCGTTGAAGTATAACGAGATACTTGAATATTTCTCGAGTACCTCCCTCTATCGAGTACTTGTTCAGGAGTGGAAACAAGGCTATGGAAGACGAAAGATCAGCGTAGGTCGACAACGTGAGAGGCGACTCTTATCACCAGCTCGATAAAGACTCTGCTTTTTCTTTAGCTATCAGTCGAGTTTATTTTGAATAACTAGTTCGCGTGTCTGCCCCAGAGTAATAATCGCTTCGATACTTAATTTAAACGATCACACGAGGTACATTGCTCGAGTGGCCTGAATAACGAACGTCGCAAGACTATCGATCTTCTTCGAACACCTTTTGTAAATCAAAACCGCGCATCCAATCGATGAGCCGTCGCTGAATCGCCCAACGTTCATTCATCGAACAATGCTGCAATAGCCCTTATCAACGTCGTGGACGTGCGCTACCATCGATTACTTGTAAATGGAAACGAGAACGTCGGGCAAGAATACTTGGCGAAGACGCAGATCGGCTAGTTGCGAAATTTTCGAGGTCACGACCTCCACTTTTCTCTTTTTTTCTTCCCTCTGCGACGATAAGCGTATATGACGCAGGTCGTTCGACTTGTATCGTTTCGACAAACGTACGCGACTTGAAAACGAGAAAATTTCTGGAAAAACTTCTTGTATCGAGCTAGCGCAGATTACAAGACTGGAGAACACTAAATTTGTACATCGTGAAAACTTACCCCAGCGACTGGAATAACGTGCGAAACCATCCTGGTCCTCTCCAGGTCTGCGTAATTCATAAAGACGTTGGCCGACGTAGCTGCATTTACACGACGTTGCACGGCTAGGTCCTCCCAATAGGTGGGCAGACCTTCCACTGCTGACTGTCTCAGAGCGTCTGTCCAAGTTTGTAACAGTGTTTGCGACGTTCACTGACACTTACAGAGGCTGTTAAATATTTAGTCACTGATCACACTGCAGAATGCACCTCTGTTACATCTTCATGATAACGCGTTTGTCGCACAAAGGAGCACAACGATGGATCCTTAGAAGTCAATGCGATCTGTAACAGAAGACGCGGTATTTTATGAGCCGATTGAGGAAGAAGAATGTAATCGCGCCACTAATTGTATCTCTAATTGATTTAGACAACATATGGAATATTATTAAATAATGTTGCACAAAAAAACATCATATTTTAAACAAGATAATTAGTAATTTGATAAACAGAGTAATTACGTGGTTATCTGATCTACAATAGCAGTAACAAGAATTTGTATTATACCAAAAGAAAAGATATCGCTGGAGTGAACTTGAAGCTCTAAATTAAGCAACGACTTGATATCCGTACCAAAATAGCTGGTAATGACTTGATAACCCATCAACTGTATCCACAAGTAATCCACACTGAAAGCAATCATCTGACCCAACAGATCCAGCATTCTGTTTGTAATTACCTTCATAAGGTTTTCAACAATTTTGCTAAATCATTTGTAAATGTTTCAGATTCTAAAGCTTACAAATGGATCTTTGGAAGGAAGCTATCCTTTCTGGAGGCAACAACATTTTATTGAAAACCGAGCGACAAGAAGTTTGACTACCAGCTACTCCGGAGGGATGGTTGATGAGCGAGCAACAGCTGAACACTTAGCAAAGCACGAAGGAAAAGGGACCTTATCCCGAGGGAGTCGTTGAGACTTCCGGCGGCAGCCGACAGAGGATCCTCGAAAGAACATGTCGTAAATTCTGACAATAAGAGGGTGTACGCGACCCGTCAAATACGGCTATTTTAGTCCGTGTACATTAGAAGCTGTTGATGTTAGTTTATCACTAGTTAAACCTATTCGCCGAATATCGTACTCGGCTGTCCTGTGATCTTGCAGATCTGTTACTTTATTAGATTTTGTAGTTTCTGAATCGGAATGGAATTAAACTTGGAACCAGTAGCTAATGGTTCCTCGAGTTTCCAAATTTTAAAGAAATATTAATCTTCAGTCGACCTCGAATTGTAATGATAAAACTCCCCTGATAAACACATTACTCATATTTTAATACGACACTGGGAATCCCTAAATATTCCAGATCTGCAAAAATCATAATGGCTGTTAATTTAATTTAATTTGTAAAAGAAACGCTGATTAAGGCTAATGAGCGAATTGATTTGATAATCAAGCGAGCGATATGAATTAATTTAAGTTTAGGTAGATCTGTCAAGTCCGACATCGATTTACAACCTGGCGAATAAGAGCGTGGCAACTCTTTCAACGTAATTAGGAGAACCTCTTATCTTCACTGACAGAAGGAAGAAACATTTATCTGGTTGTTTAGTAAACACCGGTGTCACGTTCATAGAAATCTCGTACGAACACGAAACAAAGTTTACAAACTTTCTCGTGTTGAGGCTTTTAGATATTTAAATATTACAGAAAATCACGGAAGCCTTTTATCCTCCTGCTGCCACGCGATAGTAAACTATCTCATTCATAAGTTTTGTACTCGTGAAATGTTTATTGTGACGCGTATAAATGATGTTAGATCAACAATCAACGGGAACTTCGTTCGGTGTATGGCGACGTAGAATGTCGTCGACAGCCGACGGCAACATCGGTCGAAATCCTTTCAAGATTTATAAGAAGTATGATTTACCATAATCATGTTAATAGAAATAAGCATTGAATTAGAAAATTTATTTATTTCCTTTGTATGCATTTCAGAGGCCATTTTGGAATTTGCAGAGAGACAGAGGAATTTAAATATGAATAGTAATAATAAAAAGTGGGAAATTAAAGGTAATACTGTATACTGTTAAAGTTATTCAGTTAAACTGATACTTAGAATTATCTTAAAATATTAATGTTCATTCTGTTTATTTTAGAATCTTTCTTGAAACAAACCATGGAGATTCTCTTCACCATAAAATGTAGGTGAGCACTTGTCTACAAAATTAATTCCAAGGGATTAAGAAGTGAAAGATAGAACTACATCTACAAAATGCAAGAAGAGATATATGCAGTTTAACATCTTCGGTTCCAACAGTGTATAAAAAAGCATTGCGCAAAGTGCTCTTTAAGAGGTCATAGCTCAAAAGTACTCGAAATTAAAAAGAGTAGTGATAAGGACCTAGTACGCTACACCAGGGTCACACAAAGATGTAAAGATGTCTCTCACGCCTTTTATTGCAAATCACACTTACTATGTACCTCGGGAAGTTTTCCAAATTGAAGCAAATGAAATCACTAAGTTAAGTTAAAGTCACCAAGAGAAAGAATGTCCAGTTAACTAGGATACCACTGAAGATTACCTTGGTAGCACTCCACGAGTAAGGACGTCGATCTTATCACTGGTAATCCACGGATACGATTCGTCGCGTACTCGCGTGCAACCGTAGAGGTGAACCGAACGCGATGGAGCGTGCGCTAGGAACACGCGTCGAGAGAAGAGAGCCAGGCGAGATTGAAACTGATTGAGAGCGTTCCGAGCGAGCCAGCGAGTGATTCGGAGCGGGTGGAAGCGCGCGGAGGCGGAGTCAAACTGCTCAACTTATCAGAGCCCTCCCACGTTTTGTTCTCCGCCTCTTCTGGTTGTTCCAGCCGGAAACCACCCGCTTCAATCCTGTCCTCGAGGCTATCACCCTTGTCTGAAAGAACTGGATGACGTACCAATCGCTGCAGGTCCCTTGTTTCCATCAAATTTATTTTTATCACAAATACAGGAGATATAGAAATATACAGAGATAGAGAAATAGGTAGTATAAATATACAGGGAGATAGGACTATTGACACTTGAAAATATAAGGATCTTAAGAGACCTGTAGGATCTGTCTGGATCTTTGGAATCAAAGATCTGAAGGCATATGCATGTTTCACTTTTACTGTGAAAATACTCTCATTCTAACATACTGTGTCTCATATTATTCCTATCTTCAAGTATTTCTATCTTAAAAAATCATTGTCTTGTTACAACAAAAGAAACTTGTATTAACAAAATATTGTATACCTAGGTACCTTGCTACCAGAACACCTACATTTGCAAGAGGCTGCTCTACTTCCTCAGCTGCGACAGCTGAAAAGAATGGGTTCAATGCTGCTCATCATTATGTAACAGAGCTCAGGTGGCTGTTAAGAAATCGACTTAAGCAACCGACCCGCCGTTTTGCGCAATAATCGTCACCTAGAATCCTACCAAAATTAAGGCCACCGGAAGAATCGCTGAAGTCGAGGAAAGAGTATTCCATCGCGCGGTTACACCATTCCCACTGCTCCGATTTTTGAACAGCGCACGCGTTTGTTCGAATCGATAACTGCTCTTGCAAGGTATATCTACCCTTAAGATCCATCTTGAAGAAAAGCTTCATGTTGTCGCTGTTGATTGAAATATTTATACAGATGAATTTTATGCTATGAAAAATTCTGTTGTAGAATTTGTTAAGTGTCATCTTGACTTCAACAGCAAAACATGTAGTTAATTAACGCATTAAAAGTATACTTATGAGTGTACGCATTACAGAGTAGCAAAGAGAGGTGGAGATATTCGTGCAACAGGATAGAGGGAAAGGAAAAACGGTCGCCATGCTTTGGGCGGAGACTGCAGTACATTTGGCTCTACCATTGGATGGAAAAGCTAACTTGGTGCATCAACTTGTACGGAATACAGCGCCGGCTCAGTGTACGTTCTCCTGACTCCTTACAAATCATTACACCATAAAGGAACACTATGATTTATCCTACATGTGAAACACTCTTACCCATTTTAGAGCACAATATTCATGGTCTAAAATTAGTATGAACGATTGGATGTTTTAATAAGGACAGAGAGAAGACCTTGTAATTTTTTAATTCCCGAGACTGTACACTATGGTGTATAGTGCACGATGTATAAACTTTGGGAGTGACACATCGAAGCGGAAGCGAAGCCGATCTCTTCACGGCCGCTATCGAAGCTGAAATAAATGCATAAATAAACAGTACGATTCCCTGCCATTGATCGTGAGCGGTGAAAATACTTCCTACGTGATGTAGGTACGATTCTGTGAAACGGCCCAGTGATACGTGCTGCTGATTGCGTAATACGAAACTATGTGATTTGGGCAGGATGCTGATAACGAATTGAATGTGAAACGCATATTCGACGGGAGAGCGTCATTGAATCATGAGGAAGTTAAATTAATTAGAGGAATCATAAAATACTGGAGTACTTGAATATTATTAATGGTACTAGTATACTATTACTAATGGTAAAGTAATAAAATAGTAAATCAATGAAACACTCCTACAAGAACATCTGTCTTATAGTTAAATTAATTAGAGGAATCATAGAATACTGGAGTACTTGAATATTATTAATGGTACTAGTATACTATTACTAATGGTAAAGTAATAAAATAGTAAATCAATGAAACACTCCTGCAAGAACATCTGTCTTATAGTTAAATTAATTAGAGGAATCATAGAATACTGGAGTACTTGAATATTATTAATGGTACTAGTATACTATTACTAATGGTAAAGTAATAAAATAGTAAATCAATGAAACACTCCTGCAAGAACATCTGTCTTATAGTTAAATTAATTAGAGGAATCATAGAATACTGGAGTACTTGAATATTATTAATGGTACTAGTATACTATTACTAATGGTAAAGTAATAAAATAGTAAATCAATGAAACACTCCTGCAAGAACATCTGTCTTATAGTTAAATTAATTAGAGGAATCATAGAATACTGGAGTACTTGAATATTATTAATGGTACTAGTATACTATTACTAATGGTAAAGTAATAAAATAGTAAATCAATGAAACACTCCTGCAAGAACATCTGTCTTATAGTTAAATTAATTAGAGGAATCATAGAATACTGGAGTACTTGAATACTATTAATGGTACTAGTATATTATTACAAATGATGAAGTAATAAAATAGTAAATGAATAAAACATTCCTACTATCTGTCTTAAAATTAGAGGAAAGAAGAGTCATAGAGCTTTGACTCCGGTTACAACTGAAAAACTACTCATTGAAATTTTTCAGGATCCTATAACATGACTCGATCTCCATCGGAAAGAAGAAAGAGAAGTAGCAGTGATCGAAACGGCCGGATATTTTTCAATCATGATAACGAATTGTTGATCGAAAGCCGGGACTCGTGAACCTGGATGTTGTCACTGTAACAGTGTATTGTTAGAGCAGTACAATGAGCGTGTTTAACAATACTGTTTGCCGATCCGCTCGATTGTTTCCTCGCTTCTTAACGTTACTGTTGTCATTAGCGGCTGCGATTGCGATTAATGCCTATTAAAACACCTGCGCGACGGTTTTATTGTTCCTGATTAGCTAAATAGCGTTATAGAAATGTACGGTTCTTTATCAGTTTATTATAAACATTTTTGAACTGCATAAAATGTGCGACTATCGAAGTGTTAATTATTAATCGCGAAAAAAGGAATTATCAAAGAATTGAGAGCTGGTTTTGTTTAATGAAACGTGAGCTCGGCGTGTAATTTCTGTCACTCGTTCGTGACAAGTCACGCCTAAAGAGCGAACGATAAATTAGTAGCGCCTAAAAGGCATTCGTTGCATGGAAACTCAATCCTTCAAACCCTTTAAAAATTATGACTACCCAAACGATCGTAAGGAAAAGGAGGAAAAAAAGGAGTCGTTGTTTTGATTAACAAATGTCAAAGCAAACTGACTCCGGAACACTGCCCTTTCTTTCTGACTCCCCCTACAGAATTTTATTACCATTTTATAGTAGTTTGTCGTGACCAGCCATGGTCACGTTTCCTTGTGAAGCATTGCAAGCTGTTGTATCACAGTCATGTTTTTAACATTACAACAGAAGTTCTTTAGTACTTTAGTAATTATGCATTATAAAAATATGTACAAACTTATTTTAAATAGCTTGTTCAAATAATCAATAATATTTTCAACATACATTCTTTGTCATTTGTGATTAAATTACATTCTTTTTCTTTATAAAATCATCCTATATAATTGTGAAAAGAGTAGTCAAGGTGTAGGTTTGAAAAACAAAAAAGGGGAGAAAAATTATAGTAAACGGTACACATAATGTATTTGAATCACCTAACATTTAATATTTCCTTTGTAAAATTGAAAGGATAGTAGAAGGGGTCGATAATGCAGTCAATTTACTGGATAAGAAGACTCGTTTTTCATCGCATAGCACCACCCGGCGATAACTCCAAGTACTAAATAATAACCGGTTGTCGACCGAGTCTTCCGTAACCTATAGAAGCAGAAGACTAAGTTTAGGGAAGGATTGGTGTTCCTGTTTTCTACTGATTTTAGAAAGTGAAAAGCTGAAATTTTGAAATGGATGAGGATAGTGATCAGGATCATTTATTAGAGGACGATTATTATACGTTTCTGAATATCCCAAGAAATGTAAGATTGTGAGACAACTTAAACATGAACTTAATTTTCTTCCCCGGTATAGGCTAAAGATCAATTTCGAGACCTCCACGTGACATGTTCCCTTCGTATGTCTGACGTAATCGGGCTCCTCTGCATAGCTATATTTTTCAAAATATTTTTAAATATTGTGTCAGATAATTCTACCATGTTAGTTCACTTATTTTACAAAATAACTTTATCTTTTTATTCTGATAGTATATCTATATCTTTGGTACCATGTTTCAAAAAATTCACTCCAGAATTGAGTATGCTTTATCAAAATTTTCATCATTAAAAATGAGATTTTTTAATAACTGATTTTAATTACAATGACTATCATTTCAGGCAACTCAGGAGGAGATCAACAATGCATATCGCAGACAGAGCAAACTTTACCATCCTGATAAACATGTGGACCCAGTGCATAAGAAAGAAGCGGAGGTTTTATTCAATCGTACTAAAGTAGCTTACAAAGGTTTGTTTAATACATAACAAGTACATTTTATTACATATGTATCATATATAAAACATTGTTCATTTAACAGTTTTAAGTAATCCACATCAGAGAGCCATTTATGATTCTGTGGGAATTCGAGGGTTGCAGACAGATGGATGGGAAATTGTAGAGCGTACTAAGACACCTCAAGAAATCAGAGAAGAATATGAACATCTTGCAAGAGAAGCAGAGGAGAGAAAATTGCTGCAACTCACGAATCCCACCACTACTATTGTAATGAATATCAATGCTACGGATCTTTTTGACAGATACGATGATGATTACGAAGATAGGTAATTCACTATCTTTTCTAATATAGATATATATATTGTAAAATATATTGTATTTTAAAATATAGCAGGAACATACTTTCATGCTTAGAAGTCAGTGGAATGTCCTTTACGCAATCCATCGAGGCACCACTTACTTTACAAGATACTGTAATCATGTATGGTCAGTTAGATACCCAAAATGGTGTAGGGACTGGTTCTGTAAATGTCGCGGCGAGACGGTTGCTTTCGTCAAAGGGCTGGGTAGAATTAGAGTGCGGTGCTGGGAATGGACCGATGATAAGTTTTAAGGGTTTCCGTATGTTACCTCACAAATTAATGTTTAATGGACAAACCATATTGGAGTTCACACCAGTGAAAATGAAAGCCAATCTTATAGGCAGTATGTTTAGTTGTTCCAATAAAGTAATGAATAAAATGAAAGTATGTGTACAGCTTTATAAAAGATTATAACAATTACAGCTTTGTCGATGCAGTTAGATACCCACACTCTAGGGCAGCTTACATACAATGCAGGTCCAGAAAGTGCAATGAGAACTGCCATTGTAAGAGATACTTCCAGATCTTATACAGCGTGTTCAATACAGTTTGGTATTCAACGGTCATTTTTTAGTCTTAATTACACCTATAAAATGGAAGAAAGAGGAATGAAACTACGAGGGGGTGTGAAGTTAGTATTTATCAACAGATTATTTATAATACATAATTGTATGTATTTTAATTGTACTTTACTTTTAAACATATTTTTTAACATTGATGTTTTATGATATACAGACTTGGTACATTTGGATTAACTGTGGAATATGGAGCAGAGAAAAAGATTTCGCGGCACAGTAAAATTTTTGCAACAGTATGTGCGGGAGTACCAACGGGAGTTTCGTTAAAAATTAAATTAAAACGTTCCTTTCAAACATATTCATTTCCTATTCAATTAAGCGACGAAGTTCTTCCAGCAACTGTGTTCTATGCCACTGTAGTTCCTATAGTCACATGGGTCTTCGTAAAAAAGATGGTAATCGATCCAATGGTTAAAAAGCGGAAGGAACGTGAGAAAGAAAAAGAGAAGGAAGTGAATAAAACAAGAATGATGGAGAAACAAAAGGAAGCAGAAAGTGCTACCAAATTAATGAGCGCCACAGTCAGTAGAATAAGAGCTCAAGAAGAAGCAAAGAAAGGTTTAATTATTACCAAAGCTTTATATGGGCGATTTGTTTATCCTCAAGAGGATCAGTACAATTCAGAACAACCTATACGGAGAGATGAAGTAATAGACGTAACTATTCCTGTACAATGTTTAGTGAAGGATTCGAAGTTAATTCTATATGATGCATCTAAGGTATTAACCATTAGAATGTTATTAGATTGCTTAAAAAGTGTTCTAGCGATATTAAAATTATAATATATTTTAACGTTACAGAGCGAGCTGCCAGGCTTTTATGATCCATGCGTTGGAGAAGAGAAGCAATTGTTGATACAATATCTGTTTCGTAATCGAACACATGAATGTATCGTAAAGGATAACGCACCAGTTAGAATACCATTACCATGTAAGAATATATTTATTTATATTTATAACAATACTGTAATTTCGTGGATATTAAAAAAAAATTGTTCCATTTCAGCGCACAGAGTAAATACTACATGACGTAAGCAACAATATACAATAAAGAAGTGAAGTCACCGTGATTCGCGGTGATAGTTTGTACCGCTTCATGGAGTTCTTTTCAGTCATTCTTAGAGTAAACTTCTGCAATTCCTTGTTGACAAAATTGAGTGTTCATCAATCATTTATACTTTGTATAAGAAATGTATTTACTTGAAATAGTCTGTAAACGTAATTTTGCATCATAGATGCAAGCGCAGTTGAAAATAGATCTCGATTCACCATATATTGCGATATTAGTGCCTACGAGAAAGTAATTAACAGTTGTTGACTATTAATAGCAGTCAGAATGATTTCATCTATTCGAATTGACTGAGTCATTGTTATAAAAATTGAAGAAGGGAGAAAACTTGTTGTATCATTTTAGGATAAACTGTAATAGATACTTCCTGCATTATCCTGTTCATTAACATCAAAAAAGTAATCATTTGAAAAAAGTTATATCTATGGCAATAGAATTACACACTCATATTTTCGTGTAGTATCCTGCGTTATAGTTCGTTACTATACAAAACATTTCTTTTAGTAAAAATAGTTTGTGTATATAATTCTATACATAATTTTCGAAAACTATACTCGTACGTCCATTTACTAAAAATAACCGTACTGTACAAATCAGTACTAAGAAATGTAATTTTACACAAATTCGACTAGAAAATTATATGAAGTCATGTTCACTATTTTCAGTCGAATTTAAAATTTTTCGTGTCTGCATGCTGTAGCTCTATGAAATAAAACATATTAACTTAAACTTTAAACGCAAATTTACTTGAAACAAGTAAATTTATTAATAACAAGTGAACTATGCCCTATCTACATATTACTTCTACGTATTAATGTTTAAATCGATACTTTTAAAGACGGAAGCAGTTGATGGAAGAGTAGAAAAAAGTTTAGCTAACATAGCCATTTCTTTGTTCTTCTTTTCGGTTAAATTTAAAGGTGTCCATGACTGATCTTGTTCTAATCTATATGAACCCTTGTAAGTCTGGGAAGGTGCAGAAGTACCCCATTCCTGTAACATAAAATAATTTGTATACAAATATAAGAATGTTACAAATATAACACAACATTTACTTCTGGGCTCAGCATAGAAAAGTAGAGTTGGCCAGTTTCTCTTTGATACAGATGATAGACATGTCCAGGATGTTTTACAAAATTACAAGCAACATGATGCAATTTCATGTTCCAGTCAGTTTCTATAAGAATATTCTCTGCCTGCTTTTTTAAAGACTTTATCTGATCTGCGATTACTTGTAATTTGCTACATGCATTGGCTTTAATAAAATTATCAGCTTTCTGTATCTCTAGTGCTAATGCCACTAAATCTTGTTGCGATGTTTTAGCAACAGACTCTGGATCATTTAGTAAGATTCCTTGAGGTTCAATATTGCGCTCCACAAGGGATACTGTAAAAATATTATGACTGCACATTAAATCTTTTTAAACATTTATAAAATACATAAGAAAGAGGATAAATATCTTTAATTTGTACCTTTATTAGTCAGATCATCAGTTTTATCCATTGCAATACGCACACATATACCTGTTACTGAGTTTTAAATGATAATTAAAGGAACATATAACTAAAAGAAGTTATTGAATAAATGTATTATATTTAATCATTGAAATCTAAATTTAAAAAGCTTGAATTCTATGATAGATGATGTAAGACACGTGTAACGCCAATGTGTTGATTAAATATGACACATCTACATACAAAAGGAAATACAAATATACTGAATCAGCTGTTGTGCTTTTCTAGGTTATTTTATAAAGTCCCTATTTACACGAGAGAATTTGTAAATTCTCCATACATTTTATAAAAGTGTATGGAACGGAGTGCAACGTGTCTTTCTACACTAATTGAAAATATAATAAAAATACATCTCCTTTTGTCAAATATACAAATTGATATCAACTGCGTAATCTTTTTATAGTTGATAACTGCTAATTAAGCTAAAGAGATTCGTTCATTTTCAAAGATGCGATGAAAATAAAATTATCATATGTGACGAGATTATAGGTACTGTGAAAGATGTCGTCTGCGCAACTCGTAAGATTTCCAAGGCGGCTGAAAAGGGCCGTGTAAACAGGGATTAAGCAGTTGCGAGCTTTAAAATTTTGCTACTCAAACTTTAAATGATTCGTGAGGAAAATGTTGGAACAGTTTTTTACAACACGGTCGGTAAAACGAAGTAAATACAAAATTTCTGTGAAATCAAATGATAAAACTAGTTTGTTGTTCCCAATGAAATCTTTACAGGTGTAAAATTAATAATATTGATCATATTGATCATTTATAAAGGAAACAAATAATTTACAATGGATTATGCAACTGTGATTGATCAAGCTGTAAAACAGTTTTATGCAGAAGGAAATAATGAGGTACATTCATGGCTTCTTCGGGTTCAAACCTCTCCGGAAGCCTGGACTTTTGTCTGGCAGCTTCTTGACCCTTCGAAGGTACATAGGTTACTTTGTTTCAACTGTATGTCAACAAAACTTTATTAACATTAACAGCATTGATTTCCATTGCAGTCGATGGAAGTACAATTTTATGGAGCTAATACATTGCATGCTAAAATTTCTAAACAATGGAATGAAGTACCAAAGAATGAATACTCTGCTCTGCAGGAACGGTTACTCAATTTTATGAAGCAACCAAATACCCCCAAAGTTGTCCTTTCAAAACTTTGCCAAGCGGTAAAGTATTTTTATTTGATTAACTTCTGTAATGTGTTTTAGTTAATTAAGTAATTCTGTGATTTCAGTTAGCTTGTTTTGTAGCAAATACTAGCGCGGTTGAAAATGAAAATGGAAAGGATAGAAATATTGTAGATGAATTAATGGAAATGTTGCCATATGATTCACTTCCCATGTTGGAACTACTTTTACTTACGCTTTCTGTGTTACCAGCAGAGGTGCAGTATATATAGATTATATAAATTAATATTAATACTTATTGAACATGTTTGATAATTAATTTAGATCAAAAGAAGATATGAAGTTAGAAAAGCCAAATCATATGAATGTTTATATACTGGTTGGTGCAAAACAGCCTGGCTTTTGCAACAAGTTTTTTCAATGTGCAACCCTAATGCTCAAGATTGTGATCATGAATTACATTTATTGGCTTTGGAATGCGTATTTTCCTGGCATAAAGTAGCTCAGCTCCCTTTAGAACCTACTGGACAAATATATCAACATTTGTTGATAGCTGCAGCTTATTATGCACCAAGCAGGTAAATACGTATATATATTTAAATCTGTACGTTTTTAGCCTGTGTTTATAAACAATGCATACAAGTAATATTTCTTTTGGACAAATTATAGGGAGTCGTGTGGTGTAGAAAATGTTAAAGGTTGGGAAACAGTCCATGAGTGCTTGAATATAATAGTAACACATCCTGAACTTAAAAAAAGACCACAAACACTATGGGAATGGGCACATAGTCTGGTAACAATGGCAAGACAATACAGTGGAAAATACTTCTGTGAAATTCTGACTGCTATTGGAGAAGCACATAGTAGAATATTTCTGTTTGCTTTAGTAGACGAGGGAAATGAAACACAAAAATGGACCACTAGAACCTTAATTGAATTACTATTGGAATGTTCAGAACAAGAAGGAAGGTATCCTATAGACGAGATGCGTAGTTGTATTCCATTTGGATTCTGGTTCACGTTACAAGATGATCTCTCGACCTTCGATCAACCCTACGAGAGTCGTGCTTTACAAACTCTAAAACCTGTTTACGCAAAATTGGCTCAGGCATTGCTAAGAAAATCTACGCTCCCTTCGTCCATTGACGAAGCAGGAGATTCAGATGAACGGGAACTTTTCAGGCGATACAGACAGGATGTAGCGGATACCTTAGATTATTGTTATAGAGTATTAGGACAAGACTTGTTAGTACTTCTTGGACAGAGATTAAGTCAAACGCTAGACAATTCGGAAAAATGGACAGAGTTGGAATCAACGATACATGCTTTTGAAGCTCTCGCAGACAGTGTTGGAGCAGAAGAATCGCATTATGTTCCTGCTCTGATGGATTTAATCCTTAGTCATATTCCATATGATCACTATCCAGGAGAGGTACAACAAATTCTCTTATACTTAAACGGTGCATAATCAATAAATCTTCGACATTTTACAAAGCAGTTTATAAACAGTCATTTTATCAAAGACATTTGAAGTTTTATTCAACGTTTTCAGGTATTAGCATGTGCGTGTTCAGCGATTGGAGCGTACGCTGAATGGGTAGGAGAACATCCAGATCCTTGGTTGGAAAGAGTATTGCGAGTGGTAACTCTAGGTTTGACGAAAGGTTCTGTAACAGCACCGTTTGCTAGTATGGCCTTGAAAGATTTAGCGAGAGAATGTGAACAAGAGTTAGCGCCTTTTGCATCAACTGTTCTAAATACCATAGAACAAACACTTCCAAATGTAATACCAGGATCTGCAGAAGGACTGAGAATGATGTATGCGGCTGGTAAATTATTGAATATCTTGCCTTCCGTCGAAGAACAATTAGCCCACCTCGACGCCACGTTAGGCCTGTGTATAATGAAGATACAAGAACTATTAGAACAGCCTTGGTTTGTAGCACGTGGTGCTGTTCTGAATCAATTGAAAATGGCTACTATGTTCTTTTCCACGTTAGAAGGGTCTATCGGAAAGGCTGTATTGGACGGAATGCTACCAATATTTAATCGAATCGTTGCCCATCCTGAATGGGGCCAGGACAACTTCATGTTAGAAGCGATGTACGTCTGTGCTCAAAAGTCTTTGACGTCGTTGTTGCATCCTGGGGTTGATGCCAGGCCGCTTCTTTCCATCTTACAAACTTCGTATAAAACATGGCCTCATCCTGCCGCATTAGATCTTCTGCGACAGTTGGTACTTTTATTTGGTCGAGATCCGGACAATGTGATAGGACCTGTTTTTGCGGAACTCAGCTCTATAACATTAAGCGGTGTCAGAGCTTGCAGGTCCGTGAATGGTAATTTATCAGACTGGGCGGAACTGATGGAAGCTTACCTCGGATTATTAGCTCAAATTTGTAAAAAGAATACCAGGATGTTGTTACAAATACCTGATCAGATTCCGGAGATGTTACAGTGTGGTGGGTCTCACTGTCTGTTATTACAGATATAGCTTAGTGTATAGAGATTCATGTTTCTCAATCACATATTTTATTGCAGGAATCGATTGTTTGACGCTTCCAGAAACAGGAACAGTAAAAGCAGCTGGAAACTTCCTTACTCATGCCATCATGCAAAGCCCCCATTTACAAACATTCATTCAACCAATTGGTCAACAATTAGTTTCTGTAATTTTGCAGTGTATAGGTATGCAAGAAAAACCGTATGAGATTTTATACGTATTTAAATGAATTACTTTTAAAACAACGTGTTGTAACAATAGGTGGAGAAGTACCCCGAAACAACTTGGAACCTCATGCGGAAGTTCTTTTAGCGTTGAATAAAACATGTTTAGAATGGACAGCACAATGGCTTCAAATTGTTTTCGAAGAACATTCTAGATTATTTACGGTATCGCAGGTACAAAAGGAAGCTTTTGTCCGAAATGTTCTACGAGAACGAACTAACAAACGAATGAGTGATTTGTTGAAGGATTTCAGTCTTCAAAATTTGGCCTCTGCGAACAATTAGGCTGTGACAATGTAGAAGCAATAAAAAAAGTACTGAAGAGGTGATTAATGAATTTCGATCATGAGATTTAATCTGTGTAATAAATGAAGTGTATTCTGAGTAAGATATCTTCTCTCGCGAATGGAATTTATCTAAAGCATGTATATCTTTTATGTAATTAAGTATTTGAAGTAAAAACTAATGTATGGAGAACGAGCATAAAAGTGAAAGAAGATAAATAAACTTATATTACATAATACACTGTCTTTTTATTCTTGTTCATTCATCACTGATACGTTTTAAACATTTACAAATACAGTACGTTTATTTTTTCCTTATAGCAATCTTGATTTTTTTACATAATTCACTGCCATGCTATACATCCCTCTTTATAAATCAATGATTATACAATCTCAAATAAAGGGTCAACAAAATATAAAGCGCACAAAAATGACATAGTCATAAAAGTTGATTAGACTTAAAATATTTCCTTCCATTTCTTGGTATAAATCTAAATTAAATGATCACATTTCACAGCTGTCTGTAACCAATATACTAAACTACATTAATAGCGATTCTTGTATGGTTTGTTCTTATACAATACTGTTTCTCACGCAACATTGAAACGTTTATATAAACATCATTTTAATTTCATTACATCGTTCTATATTAAATCAAACTTACGTTTATCCTAATCTTTAACGCTAGTTTCATTTACAACGAGCCAATATTGTTTAAAGAAAATCTAAAATAAAAATACTTACAATTGAGTATTATATACACTATGATTACTTCGATTTTAATGTAGTTTTATGCCAATTTATCACGAATATTGTCTTGCTCGCGATAAATCAGTATTTCACGTGGAATTTTTTATTACAAAATATAAAAAAGCGAAGAAAGAAGAAACAAACACCGTGATTTTATATTCTTTACATGTGTCCGTTACACTATATACTCCTCTTAAGTAGTATTTTTACTGTGATTCTCTTCTGTTTGCGACGGTATACAAAACTTCGCGGCAACCCGCGACTTCTTAGGCTTTATTACATTTTGTGTATTTTGTACTTGTTGCGAACTACTTTGTGCTTGTTTCGGTTTCTCACTAGTTGTACTGCCTGTTTCAGTTTCTTTTATCGTCTGAAAAAACATAATATTTCATTATTAATCTTCATGGTTTGTACTCAATGGAAAATTCGTATCGCATACCTTTGTTGGCAGTTCTTTTTTCTTTTGTTGCACTACTGACTGAAGATTGTCTTTGGCACACTGATTAGTATCCTTATTACCAGTTTGCTTGTTAGTGATATTTCTACTTTTCTTTTGAGCTTGTAAGGGAACGAACGATGTGGGATTCTTTATTTCAGTCTTCGTTTCGTTATGATTCAGCTTTGATCGTGACTTGTATTGATTACTTGGTGTATTGATTACCCCTGATGCTTGTTGATATCCCTGATTGTGTTGTGTTTTTGGAGTCCATTGTGGAAAGTGTGGAGGAGGTTGAGGTTTTGGAGGGTAGTGCGGATAAGATACCGTTGACGCTGGCCGTACATTCGGTAACCAAGAACTATTTTGTCGACTAGAGTACCAATGTTGCGGAGGGGGTAGAAGTATTTTCATATTTGGTAGTACATTAGCTAATTTTAGTTCCTAATAGAAAAACAAATGAAAATGTGTTCAAGAAAAGTATTATAATACAGTGTTCAACATTAAGAAACAAAAAAACTTTGTTACCCTATAAACTTTCTTTGCAGCACTTCCTGCTGCTTCCTGCTGATTCACACAAGGATCTCCTACAAATACTCTCTTATCTGGTAAAAGAATATGCGCACGAATCAAATTAGTTTCTCCGTCTGTGAAATAGCTGTATCGTGGCATCCCTACTCCGCTAAGTTGATAGTAATTCAATAACTGTGAACAATACCAAATCGATGTCTTTTCATCTTTCACTTTTTCAGTTTGCCTTGCATGCTGAAAATAAAGTTCAATGTAAAATATGCATACTATATTCTATTAGGGTCATAGTCTAATTATAATGTTAATAATGTGAATACTTACATCAAATAACTGTTGCACTAATGGAGGTGTATCTAACGTTTTATTTTCTTCTTGTGGAACACTAAAGTTGAAAGGTGTTTTTGATATTCCCGCCTGTGCATTTTGTTGCGTATTCCCATCAGAAATTTTTAACATTGCTTTTAAGAAAGCGCTAGGATCTTGTGGCTAGAATATAACAATTGATAATAAATGCCCATGTGGTAATGATAAAAGAATGAAAGGATTTATGTATTGATACTTACAGAATTCTCAGGGAAATTTTTAGTGACTGGTTTCACCTTTGAACCCATTGAGGCTTGTGGAACAGTTTCACTAGGCTTCTAATAAATTAAATTAAGTTCTTTTTCAAATACATGTACATATATTACAAATATGTATAATACCGACCTGTATCTTGTGTAATTCATTCCACAATGCTTGGAATTCAGATGTTGGCTTCATTGTTGATGGTTTATACTGTGTGTTTTGAGAGGGCGTATTTTGTTGGACATCTCTGTCCGTTCTGTAAGTTTCTCGAACGTTCACAACATTCTGAGGATCCTGAGAGTTGTATCGCTTCCATTTATAAAGGTTAGTGGCTGGCGACAACTGAATATTCTGACTCGTATCATCAGTATTCTTCTGGATGATCCGCAACTTCGGCGACGTCGATGGTTCCGCTGGCAGATTATTTTTCTTCCTGTACGATGCGAAAGCGCTTGCGTTTGCGCACGATTGAGCTTTCTGATTGGATGCGAGCTTCGATGCGTCTATAGATTCCGCGGTCGTTTCCGGCGTACCCGCTTTACCATGCTTTATCCTCTGACCATAGCTGATATTTATAAAATCGGTCGGCCCTAAGCGATACCCGCGAAATTCTGAACATCCGCCTACACTGAATCCACCTAACAATAACATTAATTAACATCATAATAACAGCAGAAATGGCTACTCGAATAGATTAAAACAAAAACATGAATTTCTATTTACCTACAAATGTTTTATCAAAGACAACATCGTACATAGTGTCTAAAAAGTTTTCCATCTTCTGTAGCCCAATTACAGTACCTTTGTAGCCAAGAGGAACAGTGAAATTTTCTTTAACGCAACAAATGCGATCTAATAAACGAGTCTGTGCCTTTGGATCAGGAGGAACATTACGTAAATGTAAATCAGGCTTAAAAAGTAAATGCGGCTTCACTTGCATCTCTACAATTCTATTAGTATTGTTTTGTGTTTTGAGAAACGCATCTACTTCTTCTTCGATATTTTTTACTACGGAAGGATCCAAGGCTTCCACTCCACAGGCACGATTTTCTACTCCTTGAAGCTGTTCCTTTAACCATGCCATTATATCACTCATTTCTCCGGTGCTATATTTACAAAATTAATAAATTAGTAGAGAACTTTTCAAACTTAGATCCATAGATCAAATGTACACTTACTCTTTGTTAAATAAATTTTCTTCCATGAAGAAATCATTAGTTATGTTCTGCGATAAGCGTTCGAACAAGTCAGGACACTTTACCATATAATCACGAATTAAATCAATTACTTTGGAACTATACAACCATTGACCATTTTCTTTTCTAGTGTAACCAGGTATCTATAATAACATATAACGTTATAAATATTCTTAAAAGGTTCAATGAAAGTTTTTTTTTTGTGTTCGAAATTACCTCTTCATTCTTCTTAGTAAATTTTAAATTTAATCCAATATTATATTTCGTATCATCTGTTTGAAATTCGTCTGGGGACTTTTTAACATAAATTGTACCAGTGATTTTGCTTAAAAGTAGACTACTTATTCCTAATCGCCTTGCAGCTATACTTCCTTGCATGTATTGAGTTCTAATATCCGCTTGAACCTGTTTTACCCAATCCAACGAAGGCTCCAACATCGTAATCACAAACACGTTTATCCTACCAGATTTTTTATAAATTGCAGGATCGCGGACCTGTAATATATATATTTATAAGATATCACAAGTTGACTTATCACTGTAATGAATATAATGAAATGTTTGTAGCTTACTTTTCCCATCGCACCATAATATGGATGCGCTAACATGAAGCAAATGGATCCCGGTACAAAAATATCATCAACAGTCTTATACAATACTACGTCCGGACAATGAACCGAGATGTCCTTGACTATTGTTTGATAAGCATGAACCGTCTGCATTTCCGACCACTGTTTTTCAAGATACAACTTTGTATGATTGCTAAAGACGTATTTACTGCCGATGAATGGTCGTACGTATACTAAAACATTAATCTTCCCAATTTCTATTCCAAGACGACCGATGTAACTATGAATATAACAGATATTAGGACATGCATTATTAATATAGCATGACTATTACGTGTACCTAAAGTATTAATGAACTTACGTTTCAGTGATATGTTTCTTTATCATGTTCCACTGTGTAACCAGTGAACCTTTCAATTCTTCTTTGTTTATATTTTCGTTACAGTAATCCATTTGTGGATTTATTAAGCTTAATTTTGTATCACAATTGGAAACTCCGGTTACTTGGGCTTCTGTTAAATGAGGCCAGTTTACGAACACAGTTTTACCTAATAATTCAGATGCTATGGTGGTTAAATCTAGTTCAGATGGCGGTGTTAAGTGTAAAATCATACTCTCTCTCAACGATTGCCTCTGGAATACCTTGACCTATAGATACAAAATATACAAATAAATAATATTATAAAAACTGAAGAAGAGAAAATTAAAGATAGATAATTCACCTTGGCCTTTTCCAAAGTCGCAGTATGTTCTATATATCGTAGCGTAGGAAAACCAGGATAATATAATTCTATTTGTACACCAGGGCACAGTCCTTTGACTAATTTTTCCTCTGGAACAATAAGATCTTCACGATTTATTGCCAACGCTTTTGCATGACTAATAATATCAGGAAAATATTCAACTGCTTTATAAACACCCAAATTTTCCTCTGTATGAGTATAGCAGTACATTGGTCCATGCTTGTTTCTTGCCTTTTCTTCTGGAGTTAATTTGTCATAATGTGGCGCCATTGCTGTGAAATTGAATTTACATATTATTTAGAGAAATAAAAAGAAATTACAATTTTATATAGAATTCCTTTTACATACCATCTACTAGTCTTGTTGCATCTATAAATGGGATAAGTATAACAGCTTCCCACTCTAGTGTTTTACCATTTAAATCTGTTTCAAAATCCATGGGGTAATAGTCAATTATAGGAGATTGTTCTTCAGTCAATAAGGGTTGAAAGGCTGATGGTAATAATTCTTTACTATAAGGTGGTAACACAGCCAGTAGTTGTTCAAATGGTAAAAATGGTTCTCCTAATTCAAATTCTAACTTCAAGTTTTTAAAATCTTTTATATCTGAAATATAAGGTGCATAGTGATGTGGATAGTACCACGTCCAACTACAACATCCATTGTAGTAATAATGTAAATTCCATTGAAGTGCTGTAACATATCCTTCAGCTTGGGAACGTAGAAAATCTCTAAAAAATGTCAAAACAAGGTTGAACTCTTAGATCACATAATTTTTAAAATATACTTACTCGTCAATTTCTTCATATTTTAACTTATTTATGTAATAATCTCTTTTATGTTGAACAAATTCCATAGTATAAGTCTCGCTATCAGACTCGTCATCTCTTAGTTCATCTTCAGTTCCTATTGACTACATTAAAAAGTATTAAATAAAGTTTAAAATATGATTATGTAAGAACAAGTAAATAAATACCATTTCATCTACAGCTTTAATAAAAGCATTGAATCGCTTATCTTGCGCTTTTTTTGGGGACGAATTCTGTTCACTACTTTCCGACTTTCTATGATTAACTTTTTCAGTTTCAGTAAGGGGTCTCCCCATTTTACCTTCAAGGTATTTTAGATCCGCATAATGTTCAGAAAACTTTAATATGTCAAAAGAACTAAGTCTTTCCATAAATTTTTCAAATCTATCTAACTTTAGAGTTCCTGCTTCATTTATATATCCTGAAACAAATTTTAACTAATGTATTCTATATCACCCTTTTTATTATAAACCAACTGACCTTCTAATGTTGGCAATACATCTATATACACTTCGTACAGAATTGATAATGCGCCATGCGTAATGTGTAAATTTGGTAAATGTGGAATAAAATCATTCCCTACAAGAAATCCCATTAAAATCCAGTCATCAATAATTTTCTCTAAATCATAAGAGAAAGATAACTTTTCTCTCAATTGAGAGAACTCGTGATTTATATATTCTCTTAAAAGAGATATATGGAAAAGACAAAACTTTGTCTTCTCTGGAGTTAAAATTTTTGTTTGCTTTTTGTCATACGTTACTTCTTCTCTCAATAATGTAAAATGTAATTCATGAGTACATAACCCTAACATTATTAAGTCCGCGTCTAAACCATATAAACAATGTTTAGTGTGTATATCATAATCTGGTTGTGCTTTCATGTAACGAATATAGTCCATTATTTTATGTTCTCCTTCTCCAGGAACCTAAAACAGATTTTCTTTCTTTATATGTTCATAATCTTATATTATTTAGCAGCATTAAAATTAAATACCTCGGACCCACTGAATATGACTTTACACTTCTGCCAAAGTTTATCACTTGAAATTTTGTATGTAACAAAATACCTTAAGTGTTCATTAACTTTATACATAAAAGCTGTCCCTGGAGTTATAGCATTTGAATCAAATCTTTTCTCTTTAGGTATTTCAATACCTTCAGCTCTTGCTTTTGCTTCTTGAATTTCTGCATCTTTTGCAGCTCTAAAACGTCTGCCTCTTTGTTGATTAATTTTTGCACGTGGTGCTACACCATCAATTGCTATGAAAAATAGCTTCTGAGGTTGAATCATGCGAAACAGTAATTCAATATAACGAAATATATTTTTAAATATATCTTCCTCTGTGATACGAAAAGAAACCTCTGCATCGTTTGGATGTGAACATCCATGTATGATACCATTCACATCTAAATATAAGTTATCAAATTCAGGCATCTGCAAACAATGATGTAATCTATATTATCCTTTATAATAATGGTTAAAAATAACAAAAATACATGCAGATATATGTGTTTATGATGGTACTATTGTATGTTTTTATTATGTGTTAAACAATACAGTCTACAGATAAAATTTTATCCAGATATTTTTATAGTTATAAAATAATATAATATACTTCTGATGCAAGTATTATTACTCATTTTTTAACCGACTTCGAAAAAGGAGGAGGTTACTCAATTCGATCAGTATATTTTTTTTTTTTTTTTTTTTTTTTTTTTTTTTTTTTTTTTTTTTTTTTTTTTTTTTTTTTTTTTTTTTTTTTTTTTTTTTTTTTTTTTTTTTTTTTTTTTTTTTTTTTTTTTTTTTTTTTTTTTTTTTTTTTTTTTTTTTTTTTTTTTTTTTTTTTTTTTTTTTTTTTTTTTTTTTTTTTTTTTTTTTTTTTTTTTTTTTTTTTTTTTTTTTTTTTTTTTTTTTTTTTTTTTTTTTTTTTTTTTTTTTTTTTTTTTTTTTTTTTTTTTTTTTTTTTTTTTTTTTTTTTTTTTTTTTTTTTTTTTTTTTTTTTTTTTTTTTTTTTTTTTTTTTTTTTTTTTTTTTTTTTTTTTTTTTTTTTTTTTTTTTTTTTTTTTTTTTTTTTTTTTTTTTTTTTTTTTTTTATTATTTTTATTTTCTATGTGTGCCCGCCTATTACGCCTAGCTGGATGCACCGATCGGAACGAAACCTTTTGCATCTGGTAGGTTCTGACTCCCCATTGGTACCATTATCAAAAAATTTTTCATTTTTCAATTGCAAAGTGTTGTTATTGCAAAAAAACCGGCAACTTTTGAAATAAACTTTTCTCGATTTTAGTGCGCTTTTAATATCTTATCACGGACATGATTCTGAACAATTTTGTTCATATAAAAATTTCGCGGAAAGCTTTAGTTTTCGAGATATTAGCGAAAAATTGTTGAAAAGTTTTGAAATCAACTTTGGACGATTTTAATGTCCTTTTAATATGTTATCAGGGGCACGATTCTGAACAACTTCTACTTCGCGGCGTGCTGTCGAGTTATATGTATAGAAAAAAAAATAGCTATACAAGCTTTGCCTATGTTCGACTGTCCAAAGGTTGACATGATCAAGAAAATCTTTTAATTTTGCGCCGCCTCCGAAAAGGTTGAAATGTATTTAATACACTACCTAACGAGTAAATAGGTTTCATTCATATCTGTGACGTAATTGTATGATTGAATGAAATAGAAATTATTTTATACTTTTTAGTGCATTTCGAAGTCGGTGTATTTTTTTTCTTAAAAGTATTTTATCCAATTACCTGATGTTCCTTCAATGTTTCATTAAGACAAGGATATCTTTCACTTATGTAGCGATAAAACTTTGGTATACCCATGTTGAATGAGGAACGTTAGTACAATAATTTTAAATTTTTTGTATAACTTTCACCGTTTAATAATACAATTTCTTGTTTAAGGACTTTGTACAGAAATTAAAAACTTTGTCCGTAAGTTTATCAACTTTACTTCTATATATTCGTTAACCACGAAGTTTAGGTACATCAGAAAGTCAACTGGCAAGGATTATTCGAAGATCGTCAATTCTTGTTCGGTATTCCGCAATTTCCCCGCATGAGGCCACTCAAATTGAGCTATACTACTGCCGTTATAATAACATTGTCCTGGAGTATTTGAAGGTTGGTCAATTGTTTATATACACTCATTATATGCACACGTACATGAATTTCCTTGATGTAAACGTTTGTTTGTAAATATTTTACAATATCTATAGCGTTGCACGTCCTAAAAGTCAAATTTAAAAAGTTCCGGCAGTAAACAGTGTTAACCTATATCTATTGTATTAAGGTGAACATCTATTGTATTAAGGTGACTAAGACATTTTATATTATTAATGAAATAACAGAGAAATATGATTATTGTGGTATAAAATGTCATATCAAGATTCACCGTTTTCGACCATGTATGGTCAAGATGATTATGACATCGATGAGGATAATGATGAGTACTTGGAAGATGATCGAGATGCTGAAGAGCAAGATGAAAGTGATGAAGGTATTGTAACAAACTTAACATAAATATGAGAACATTCAGTATCATTAATATAAATTTACAGATACAGAGGAGGCAAGTGAGACAGATCTTGGTAAATCAGAGGAATATACAGAGATAAAAGAACAGTAAGTTCTAAATAACTTAGATTACATTTCCATTTATACTTAAAATAATCAAATTTTTCAGGGTTTATCAGGACAAGTTAGCCAGTTTGAAGAAACAGTTACAACAATTGAAAGATGGTACTCATCCTGAATATAATCGGAAATTGAAACGTTTAGAAGCTCAATACAAAGAAAGGTATAGATTTATATGAAAAATATATTTGTAACTGCTACTTAATTTTTCAAGTTAATACATTTATTTACAGATTACGACTGAACATAATTTACCGTGATTATTTAACAGAATGGGTAGAAAGAGATTATATATTGGAAAAGAAAGCAGCTGTCAAGGAATTTGAGGAAAAAAAAATTGATCTCAAAGAAAACTTGTTAACTGATATGGAAGAGAAAAGAAAAATGATAGAATCTGATCGACATACAATGGAACTCACTGGTGACTCAATGGAGGTATAAACTCAGTAAAAAAGATATATACATATTAATTGTAAATGCTCATTTTGTGATTCCTTATTCAGGTAAAGCCTGTAATGACAAGAAAATTACGGAGGCGTCCTAATGATCCTGTACCTGAGAAAGTAGAAAAACGTAGAAAACCACCTCCAGCACAGTTGAATTATTTATTAGATGAAAAAGAAATTGAAAGTGATCTTAAAGCTATTAGTCGTGGTAAAGTACTGACCACTGTTCGAAAACCAGGTACTGATTGAAAAATCATAACCAATATACATTTATTAATGATACATCATTGCTTTCAGCAGTACTACCGCATTATAATGCAGTAAATATACCCTCTCAACATATTCCTCCACCTTCTGACACAGCTATAATAGAAACTAGGATAGAGGATGGTAAACTGTTACACGAAAGACGATGGTAATTCTCGATTTTTATAAATTTATAAAGTTGAAAGAACACTGGTTTTAAATTCAATAATTGCAGGTTTCATCGTGGACAGCCAGTATATGTAGAAGGAAAAGATTTAACAAGATTTGCCGCAAATATCTCGGCAATCGGAACCGAAGCTGTAAGAAAATTATCATTAATTTATAGAATCGTTTGCTCTTTGATCATTTTTATTTTTATTTTTTGATTTTCTGATTTCGTAGATCTGGGTGAAGAAAGTTTCAGATGGAAGTAAAGTACGAATATACATCTCCCAGTTAAGTCGAGGGAAAATTTCGATCAAGAGAAGAGCATCCTAATGATTGTATATATATATCGCATAGATATAAGTCATTGCGAAAGTGTTCAGTAATATTTAAACTTGTGATATATTAGATTTGTAGTTTATTGAAGTTATATTTTTTGGATTTAGTATAATTGTTACTGTGCTTGTTTTTTGCCACCAATAGAACCAGACCTTCTGGTGATATTCTATTACCATGTACATCCATATAAAATAGGAGAGGAGTAACAAGGACATCATTATTAATAATAAATAAGTAGTCCATCGAGCTGGAGGAAGATTATCGTAATTGTTTTTTGCATAAAAATCAGCAGCGACTATACAAATATACAAACATCCGATTGCCATGGGTGTAATGATAATACCACGAAGCAAGTCAGCTTTTAAACTGCGAACGTATAATTGATGCTGTTGTTGATTAAGACACATCCAAATTATTATTGAATGCAGAACGTGGTAACGTGGAGTACGTCTCACTTCGTACCGATGTCCGCATAACTCACAGTTATTTCTGTTACTCTCTTCGAGCCAACGTTCTAAACATTTTAAGTGGATAGCACCCATGGTTCCCTTAAACAAATGTACTTTATTTTATTTACGAACCTCTTGATAATTAAACGAGCAAAATAATGATTGTCAAACCTTGCATTTACAAGGATATATAATTGGTAATTGTTGATTGGAATCATAACAGATACGACATTGTATCTCTTCATTTAAAGACTGTTGCAAAGTTAATTTACGTCTTTTATTAATTACGAGAATATCATCAAGTTTTCGTTTGATTGTTTGCTTGATAACTTTCTTTTCTTCGCTACATCCTACTTCGATTTCTGTTATAATTTTGTCTAAAACACTTTCGACCGAATTTCTTTCATTAATCATTATAAATAGCTATTATAATAACCCATTTTAACTGTTTAACCTGGTTGAAACATTTGTAATATATTTAAAAAAAAAGACAAACGAAGTGAAGATGATTGCAAAGCAGAATATTTCATATTTTGTTTTTTCAAAACCTGCGAATTCCCAAACTAAACTTTCAAATTTATATCAATAATAAATAGAGAAATTTCGCTTCTAATTTCATGTACATAATGTTTTTGTATGTAAATTGAAACAAGGATGATGTCCTATTACATGTATAAAAATTTGTATTACGTTAAGATGAATACAATTAAGTTAGCCAAATATGATAATATTAATGCGATACATAATTATGTGCAGTTTTTAATTAATCACTAAACTATAAACAAATATTTGTCACTCAGCCATCATATCCACGCTGAGGCAATCTTCGCCCATATTACTCGGCGATGTTTCTAACTCTCCAATTTCATTTGATTCGCTATAAACGTACAGTAAGCGTTAATTTAAAAAAACTTCTATGATAAAAAATTCGATTAGTTACCTATCCAATGATGGGTCATTACTGAACATTTCAGTAGGAACCGTAGGTGGTGCCTTCTCTGGTACTAGTTCCAAATAAGTTTGACGAGACTCTAGATGTCTTTCTACCTCTTCTGGTGTCATATGACCATCAGACATCAGAGGCATTGGTACTACATTATTTGATGATTGTACCTAAAAATATGAAACACTCTTATAGTAACTCTTCATAGCAGTTATAGCACAGTGCTTACTATAGGTATATTGTTTGACTTTGTGACTTTTGGAGTAGGTTTCTTCTTTTTACTTGTGTTCAGTGGTTTTGCCACAGTAGGCATATGGTGCGGAGTATGGTTACTAATGCCCATCTCTATTTTTTTTCTGAAAATGATATACATAATATATAGTAACAACTTGCTTAAACAAACCAGATACAACAGTCTGTTTACCTTTTGGAAGTATCAAGACGTGTAACTTCTTCGTCAGATGATTCTGTTTCATCACTTTCACTAAATGAAGCATCTACCTTCTCATATTGTAATAATCGATCTAATAGAAAACTTTTATCCCTATTTACTTTAAGTAACTTTCTTTGTGTAGACCGTAAAGCTTCTTGAAAACACTCATTCTCCTAAATTAATTTTGACATAGTTAGATAATGATAGATATAATGATATAAAATGTGTACATATGTTGCACATACATAAATCAGAAATTTTAACTTTCTTTTAAGATTTCGATATTGATCCTTGTAATTAGGCACTTCTTCCTCTGGACTATCATCATCATCGTCTTCTGCATCTGCATTGTTGTTTGCAATTGAACGACAATACCATCCTTCCAACATTGATCATCTGCAACTAGAAGTAAATTTGTAATGACTATTCAGAAAATCACTGTTTTGCATAACAATACCCAAGAGTGAAATCGTCTTACATATTTCTTACACTAAATGTAAATAAAAAAACTTGTTATTAATGTTATACTAATTCTACACAAGGTTAAGTTTTCAAAAACAGCAGATAATTTAACTGTGATATTCTTCCAAATGATGAAGGTATACTACCGATATCACCATGAAGTTCAAATTGAAGTTGCTTTTGACAATACTTACTCAAAGCTTTAAATCAGTTTTTTGTGCCTTTGAAATAATCGAGGTGAACGATTATTAAGAAGATAAATAAGCTGTTTATGACTGGCTTCCATTCTGTACTTCTTTATCGATTCTATAGTAACTTCAGTATGCTACAATTCGATAAAAAGCGTTATGTACATAAATATATGTATATATTTCATTTTGACATACAGTTTAGTAAATTTCTTTGTTTTTAAATAAATTATTTATTTTATGCTTTTGATTAATAATTAATCACTTATTTGAAAGCCAAATTAAAAATGATTTATTTTCTTTCGTCGCATAAATACAAGACTTTGTATAAATCTCAAACTGTTTGCTCTGCTAAAATTTGATTAAAAATTGTAATAGAAATGAGTTGTGATACATTATTTTAAATTTTATTCATTTAAAGAATTGTTGTCAGTAAGTTTATTTAAAAATAATTCCGTGGAAAATAAAAATTCACGCAACTGGTACTTTAGGGAGATCTCTAATAAGGAGTGTGAAGTTCCCTTACTATTTTCTTCTTCTTTCATGGTGATATAAGCAGTGGGCAAAATAAACGAACAGTGAGAAGTAATGATGATATGATCAAGATACAAGGTAAAAGACATACTATATTTAATTTCTGTAATATATTCCCAACTGCACGAATCCTGAAAGAAAGTATTTTACCTAATTAAAACAATATACTGTAATAAGTAAAAATTATAAATCATGACATTTTTTGGTCACTGGATAGATACTTCTACTGCACAGTCGTTAGGTCGACCACAAGTGCATTGCCATAGATTACAAAGTGAACAAGAAAACTAAATTGAGTTAGTTTATGCAGAAGGAACAATCAAGACTGCATAGTTGGTAAAACGTGCGGTTGGTAGTATTTTCTAACGTACTTCGCAGTTGTATAGTTACAGTTTTAAAATGAATGCACGAGTAGTGAAGCGAATCTGAAATAATACCATTTTTTTTGTGTTTCTAAATTACTTCGTTTTGCAGAGACTCTATCAGATGCTACTTTGAACATACGCAATTCAAGTTTGTGCCAATTGCTCGATACAAAAACGAAACCGGGACATCGAAATTTGGCGGCATCATAACCTTATGGTGACCTCAGTAAAAAGTTTATAAATGATTTTTTCATATTCAGTCTATTTTAATATTGTATGTAAAATATGAAAGAATTAGAAGAAGTAAACTGCGAGGTAATTTATAATCTTCCTTTATTTCAACAACACATGATTATCATAGTATCTATCTATATTCCATCATTGAAAAGTAGTGTCATTGCAAATAACAATATTACTTTTATATAGATTCGCAATGTCATAGAGATTCAACATTTTGCCACGAACTATTTAAATAATGCAGAAAGAAGTGGTAGTGGATCATTAAATGGTTCGCAAATATGTAATGAAGTTGACGATGTTTATGGAGGTTTTTTACATGATGCCACATATGCTTGGTTGAGTTACGGTTGTCATTTAATAGTACTCAATGCAAAAACAGGTGAAAACTGTAGCTCTTGGACTTTTCGAGGAAAGATTATGTGCGTTTGTCAGTTTCCTGCAAAATGTGGAGAATTACCACTACTTCTTGTTGGTCTGGACAATGAAGCATCCAGAACTAAGGATTCCATGGGCTTATTATGTGTCTTTGATTGTACTACATCTCGAGTTCTGAGAGCTATAAGAGTATGTATTGTTAAAACATTAAAACCAGACAAAGTAAAACTCATATGTTATATATTTGTATAGATGCCAGCTGGAGTAGAACAAGTTTGTATCGTGTCTGGTGGAGCAGAATGGGAGGAGTTCAACGACAAGAGACCAGATAATATTCTCATGCAAATGGATGGTATAGCTTGTGTAGTATTACGCAATCTTCATCATCTAATGATTGATCTTCAGAGATCCACTTGGGAGGTACCTGAATCGTCTGTTCTAATGGATGAAATTTCTCCAGCTGAAATCGAATTTATAACAACAAAGGATTCTTTTCATAGAAATCAGTCAAATAAAAGTAAACACATGACTTGTAATTTACTAAATCATCGTAAGTAGTATTCATTGATATAGTACTTTTTATGTTCCTTTATCATAGTGTACATGACTACTTTTATCTATTTATAGGTATAGAAAAACATATAGGATTTAACAGAGAAGAATTTGAATCACATGCTATTTTGGATGAAAAATTGACAACCAGTATCATTAGTTCAACGAAAATCGGTTGTCTGATATCAGGATGTTTGGGTAGAGTGATAATATGGCAGAATGACGGTTCCATAGGCTGGATCAGTTCACCCGACGATGAGACCATGATAGTAACACATTTGTCATTACTGGAACCAACCGACGATCCTCGACCTTTTTATTATTTATGGGTTGTTTTTCAAGATGACTCGTTTAAGGTGCCTCCCCTCTTAAGAATGTATGCCTTACTGTTCGAACGAAAGTACTGTGACAAAGGAACAAATCTGTATTTCAATTTGGAAGCCGAGCCTAGCCTTAAGTTCGAATGTAGATTAGATACAGCGGACAAAGTAGTCAGTTTATCTACGATCGAGAGAGAATCAAATCCAGACCAAACGGATTCAGAATTCAGACGAAGCGAAGAGAGCTTATTATTGATTTCGACTACTGAGAGAACATTGTTATTTGATTTGAATCAGTGGTACAAAGAACAGATGCCTCAAACTATCAGTGAGTGCAAAGATCCAAACAGTATATTAGCAAGTTACAATACAAAACACAGGCCATGTAATATAGCTGGCAACAAGATAATAAGTTGTACTTATATTCCTCGGACACTACAAGAATTTCCAAACAATAATTTGAGCTTGTCGGAAGAAATATTCTATCCAAGTGCGTCGTCTCTTGAATGGGTAGAATTGAGTCCTACAAAATTAACATTTTGGTTGACTCGTGGTGTCCAAAACGAGTTACTTCGCGAGATGGCTCTCACTGGACCGATTATTTTAACTCAGCCTTCCGAAATGTTTCACAAATGTCTCTCGGTTGGCTTGATACCGCTTAGTACAGAAGTTTCTTTCTCCAGCGATCAGAACGTTCAAAGAGACATGTTATTATCGCTTTGCTTGGAGCAACGTTGGACAAGTTTCTTGATAAGATGCGCAAAAGAGTGGTCGGATGGAAGCTCAGCGTACATGTACCCAAGTTTTCTGAAATGGGGTATACAACGTGCGTCTACGATAAAGTTGATTGCGGATCGTTTGTGCATCCCGCTGTTCGATCAGTCCGGTAACAATATTGGAGAGTCCGAAGTGAAGACGTTACGATTTTGTTATCAACAGTTGGAATGTTTGTCAAATGTAGTCGCAAAATTGCCTTTCGAAACAAGCAGTCTGATAAAACAACGAAGAGCGCTTAAACGCGTGTCCATGTATTTTCAAGTGCTCCTTTGGTTCTATGACGTGGGTCTGTTACCCGAATCTCAGAGTTTGGAGGAAGGATCTTTACCGCTTTCTCTTACACTGAAGATCCCGTACCCATTCGAGAAGCTGTACAATCTGTACAAAGAGAAACGGGAGTCGATGAAAAGCGACAACCAAAATGATGAAAACGAGAAAGTATTTTTTATAGATGAATTAATAACGCGCGAATGTCCCGCTTTGAATGTACAGTGGGAAAGAGAAGCAGGAGATGCGAATACCAACGGTTATTATCCTCCACCTTCGTTGCAGTCGTTGCTGAGAAGTTATTTGTCCGATTGCGATCAAACAGAATCAGACGAGTTCGAATGCAAACATCAAATCACCATATATCTATTGATGGACTTAGCCATGCTGTTGCAAGGATCTTATCCTGGAGTTGAACAACTAATTAAGTATCCTTCCTCGTTCAAAATGAGTCCAAGTCTCATAAAACTTACGCAAGCATTCTGGTTGCTTGACCATGAAGATTATCATGGATTTTTGGACATGATGACTGGTCAGTTGGTATGTGATTCTGATGTTAAAGACTGGCATCATAAACTTGTATTAAGAACACTGATAAGAAACAATCAGCACAAATTGGCTTTGATGTATTTGCGCATAAAGAAACCGCCATTGTCGTCCATTCAGGAACAGAGCACACTGATAGGTTTGTCAGTGGAGCATGGTTTGATACATTCTGCTTTTCACCGCAGACCTCAATCTCATTATGCACAACTGTTAATATGCTTTTTCCAAGCGTGTAAAGCTTACAACAAGCTCAGCGATATTTTGCATTTGGCTCTGGATCCAGAAGAAGAAGAAATGTTCATTAAATTCCTGGAAGATACCAAGTCTGAAGACACACGACTTTTATACTACTTGCAACGTTGTCGTTATATGGAAGCCAATAGCGGAAGTTCATCTGCTTACTTACATACCACTGCTTCAAGGAACTTACATATGGATATGCTGAATGCTTACAACACAACATTACCTGATGTAGTGAAACGATTCTCTATGAGTATGGGTAAAACAAACTTGGACACAGGCATGGAATTAAGGTATCCTAAACCAATGTCTCATCACAAAAATTCTCAGCAAATAACAAACATGTATGAGACTGTAATTAAGAAGGCAAGGGAGACTTATCCCAGAGGAGAGAAGTCTCTGATTCCTTTTATTACTGCGCCATGTACGTCGTTAAAGATGAACGATGATCGCATCAACATAAACTGTGTAATGTCTCCAAAAATTGTACAGAAGAATCGGAAACGCGCTTTGGATCAAGTAATGGAGGATGAAGAGGAGAGTGGAATGAGAACCCCTGATAAGGCCAAGCGTAGAAAGTTGCTTGAGGATGGCGAGGCAGCTTTAAATGCTGCATTCAGCACTCCATTAGTGAAACGAAAGATATGCAGCGATAAGAACACACCGGTTGAAACTCCACATTCTATCTTGAAGATTCGACAACTCATAAGGAATTCAACTTCGCCTACTGTTAGTACCTTGCAAGGAGATGTTACAGATAATACAGAATCTGAGGGAAAGCAGAAAATTAGTAGACAGATACGGTTCAGTATTTCTCAATGTAAGAAAAACAATACCCACGATGAAATAAACAGCGAAGAGGATAACAGCAAGCTTAACGCATCAGAAGCAAGCGAAGAGGTATTCTTCAGTCCAACAGTTTTGTCTGACAGTAGTTTCACTTGTAAAAATGTATATACGGCTCGGCCTAGACCTAGCCTTAGAAGAACCTACTTGCAAACATCTACAGAATCCTTAACAAAAAGTTCTGCAAATTGTAGCACAAGCAGTTCGCCTAATCTAGTTGAGAATTGTTCTAGGCTTGTCTCAGAAACACCATCACATGTGTCCAGAAGATGTACCTCAATGTTATCTTCATCAATTTATTCTCCTACAATACTTTCTCCAAATAGTAGCTTTGAAATTGATACTTCTTTGAAGAGATCTAATACTAATTTACAGTCTTTATTAACTCTTCCCAAGCAACAGGAGAATTATAATTCCACCAACTCACCTGCTGCGAGAAGTACTTCTAGACCTGAAGAGCAATACCATGAAACTGAAAAAATGTTGAATACAAGTACTAAAGAAAACACTGAATTAAAAGTACCACATACGAGGAAGCGAAAAGTATCTGAAAGGGAGGATGTACAAAATAAATATAGGAATGGAGATCTTTCAAAAACGAATGCCTTAGAAGAAAATGTTGAGGAAGATTTTGAGTTTTCTAGCACAACAAAAAATAAGTCGATTCATTCGGAAAGTAAAGAGCAGTTCTCTTGGTCACTCGATAAGAAATTACAAAATAAATCTACACACGACATGCAAGATGAAACGTCTAAAAACAACGAACATTTTGATATCACCGACGATGAATCTTCGAATAGCGGTGACGAAGTAGATTTGGTCAATGAAAGTAAGAGTAAAAAGACAGATGGTTCGCAGACGGCACAAGTGTGTGCAGATGATATGTACGATGCATCGAACATCACAGATGATGAATCTGATTCCAGCATAGATGTAGGTGAACCGAAAAAGAACAGTATTACTCCTCCTGATAAGCAAGCAAATGCAACTAATAATTTTAAATTCTCTGATAAAGAAAGGGAAGTGACAATAGATAAAACTAGTGAGAAATCGATACATGATAATAATAATTCCAGTTACAGAGGAACAAATGAAAAATCAGTTCATGATATGCCACAACCTGCAGATGTTTCTAATTTAAATACAGAGTCATTAATTGCAACTGAGAACATTACACCAAGAGTAACCAGATCACGTAGAGCTTCTTCCATAGCAAAAGAAATAAGTACACCACCATTAAATTCACCATCAAAAGTTACAACTCGATCAAAACGAGCTAGTTCATTAGCAAAAGAGGTATTAATTGCATCTGTTGCTGCACCAGATGAAGGAGTCAAACAAAGAGTTTCGTCTGGGTCAGAAGAGCCACCTAGTACGGTGACGCCCAAAAAAGGCAGAAGTAAAAGAGGGTCATCGGTAGTGAAGCAAGTTTCTACAAATGTGGAAGAGGAAGAAGTTAAAACACCAGTCCGGAGAAGCGCGAGAACAGCTGCTTCTGTACACAAAGAATTGTCAGAATCAGTGAAACCTGCGGCAAAGAACAGCAAGGTTTCATCACCTCCATCAGCAGAAGATGAGCCACAAAAGGTAAAGCCAGGAACTAAAAAGGCAAAGTCGAAGCAATCATCAACTGAAAGAAAGTTAAACGCTTCATTGAAGTCAACAGACGAATCTAAAGGGAATGATGAAAAGGTAGAAGAAATAAATAATACAAGAATAACGAGAAAACGTGGTAGTTCAGTACCTAAGGAAACGGTAAGTGCAATAAGAACTCGAAGGTCCAGTAGCATAGCGAAGGACATTATACCAGAAGTTCTTGAACCAGTGCAGGAAGTAACAAAAGAACATTTGGTAGACGTAACAGTGAATAGTCCTGCTGCAAATACACGCAGTAGAAGATTATCGATACAGTCAGTACCGGAAGAGCTTGAAGAAGTTTTGAGTGTACCATTAAAAGAGAGAGCATCCAAACCCAAGACAACGAAGCAGGCTACGCAGACTTCTAGACAGAGAAGAGCTGCAAGTGTTGACGTAGAGACAAAGAGATTAACCAGAAGTACTCGTGGTACAGATATTCTTAAAGAAGTAATAGTTGAGGAAGAAACACCACAAACAGAAAATCAAGCGGACACAGAAGTTTCTAAAGCCAAAACAACTACAAAAAGAAAACGTACTAAGTCCAATACTGTTAGTGAAGAAACAAGTGAAACAATGTCCAGACCAAGGAGAGGTCAAAAGCCAACAAGACAAGAAACCAGTGAACAGTTTCTTTTTTCGCAACCAGAAAAGCCAGATAATTCATCACTGGATCAAAAAAGTAAATAATACTAATATCTGATTTTTAGTTAATTTTTTAATAAATCATTAATTGTTTGAAATTTTTTCAGCCATTGGAGAAGTACCAAAATACGTATTTTCACCCCCTCAAACTAGGTCAAGAGCTACCACTCCTAATTATCGTAGGTGGTTACTTTTTAATTAGATTCATTAGCTTCGTTATTAGCAATACTCTGCCTATTGCTTTCTACCTGCATGCTTCTACGCTGTACAACACGTTTTACAAGAACACGTCGACTCTACATTAACTATAGATACAGGATTTTAGCAACCTAAGTATTGTAGGATATAGAGATCTAAAGATCTAACAGTTTAAGAATATAATTTTTCATGTAACACATACACGTTTTGCTTGTATAACATATGTAGTTTATATACACTTTAATAGTAACCAGTTATGTATTGCTTACTTAATAATCTTCAATTAATAATATATGCTTATATACTTTGTCTTAAGAACTGTCGATGCTAATGCTTCTTTCTTAATCATTTTCATACAACAGAATGAAAACCATTATTCCAAGTGAAGATGAAACAGAAGAAGAGAAGAAAGAAGAACAGAATGTACAGAAAAGTTCAAGGTTGAAAAGAACAACCCAATACGTTTGTGTGACTGCACATCGCTATAGAACAAAATTTGTACTATCCAAAAGATCAAAAAGTACGTCAGATTAAACGTAATTTGTATAAAATTCCCTTTTTAACCCTTTTTTGTTGAAACATACTTTGTTTTTTGATTTAGAATAATTTACAATTTCACAGTCTACATATGATAGATCACATAGTGACCTCCTTTCTTTCTGAACTAACGTTCTCAGTCTTATGTATAGTAATCACTTGTAAAAAAGCTTGGCTTTTCGAGTAACTTCATTTCGTAGCTAGAAGTGAATTAGAAATTATGATATATGGGACCATGTGGAATTAAACTTTTGTTATTGTCGGAAGGGTGCTAAGTTCATTACGGCACAAGATTAATTTTCTAAAATATGGTCACGAAAAGGAGCTTTTTACTATGGATTTAATATATTCAGTGTAATAAGAGTTAGAATAACTATATTTTATCAATAAGTAATCTCATATAATATTAATGCTTAAAATATATACTAACATAATATTTTGTGACAAGTATATTTTTTAAATTACCATGTTTTATTGGGAAGATTATTTTGTATAATCTATAAATTTGTTTACTGAATTTGCATTATTCCCTTTACAGTTTCGGTTTAGGATTAACTAGTTTTGTTAAGTTCCTAAATGTGTAGGCAGCTGTACAGAAAAAATTTTGTTGACTTCTATTTTGGAAATGTTAAAACAGCAGGGTTTCAAAAGTGTATTATATTGAACGGACTAGCACCGTATTAACTGTAAATCATAAGGTCTATTACTTTTATACACAAATTTGCCAAATATAATATTTGTTACATTTTTCAATTTCTTCTTCTTACAATAAGTTCATGGAATGAATTATTGTTGTATCGTGTATTAACTTGTATGCGGTTTTCAACGAAAACATGTATTATAACTTTGTAAATAATTTATTAATATACCCATGTATAGCTGTATTCATACAATAAATGTAAAAAAAGAATTAATACATACTGTTACCATCGAATAAATTTCCAATCACCATAAATAATAACTCGTTAGGCTTAAATACTTAAACGATATTAAATAATACTATAAACAAATACATCTATGTTTCGTTGATTGGTACATTCTATCTATGTCATGATTATTGAACTTAGATCAAAGGAGTTAAAGCATCGTATAAATTATCAGTACACTTACGTGTTTCCTTGTCTTTGAACTACAACAGACTGAAAATCATTTAAATTATTATGTATGAAACACATTTATCAGCACGTATTAATAGTTTCACATGATTTTAAAGCGAATTTTCCGTTTCTGCTAACACCAGGTCCGGCACAACATATTCATTATTAAATGTTATCTTTGGCAGTAAATTATTTGTTTATTCTGCACCTTAATTTAAAGACAAAACACATTCGCTCTAAAAAATCAAGCAAAAATCGTACAAATATATTAAATCTATAATAAATTTCGTTCAGATAGTCATTTGATTTCAGTTCAAATGATCAATCTTTGTACATGATTGTTACTTGTTGCTAGACAAATCTATTATTTATCGTTCTGATTGTCTATTCTGTTAATTATATTTTTTGTCATAGAACTCTCTTTTCATTAGCATTATACAATATATTAACAGAAATATCATTTTTAGAATAAATACGAATATAGATCGTAAAAGGCAGATTTGAGATTCAGGACGGTGCAATCGAATATTTAGTGAGATTCAAATATTCATTGAAGTTTTGATTCTGTTTTACACCGTATCCATTTCAAAGGCACATTCACATTATGTTGAGATATGCTTCAAGTACAACTCTTGAACAGAAAAGTGTATAATATAAATGTAATTACTAGACTGTATATCTTTATGCCTTGCAGATTTTGATATATCATAAGTGCATAAATATTTGCAGTCCAGTAATTACATTTGTTCTTATTGTAAACCTTAGTTTCACCGATACAAATACGAATCTAATAAAAATATGATTCCTAAATAACTTACATACAATAAGTAACTTACATTCTCTTTTCATGGCAACGAAAATTTCCGTTATTGAAAAATACTTATCATTAATAAAGAGCCTTGCTTGATACTGCTTTTACTGCTGCTTGCAACTATCTTTTACGCGACGTTTATGCTTCTCTTCGTGAGTTTGAGACGGGGATTGCATTTGATTTCGTCGTTGTCCTTGTATAGGCATATAACATGGAGCATCGTCATTCATGAGTTCTGGCGGCGGTGTAGGTAACGCATGAGTTGGGCTCACTGTACTGCTTGAGCTGCTCGAAGTATTTCGATGTAAATTTCCATTATATGTAGGATCAATAATAGCAGCCACGTTGGGTACTTCTCGTATATTTTCGCCAGAATCGTCTAACGTTTGTATCTCTTCGGGGTCCGAGTAATGCGGATAATTTTGCGTCTGTACCCTACTCTTGCTTTGTACATTCTTTAAGTCTAGCTTATCAGGTCTTTGTAGCTTTTCCGAGGGGTTCTGATCATCGAGCTCTTGAAGTTGTTGCCGCTCTAATTTTCTTTGCCTCGCTCTTTGTCGTGCTTTCCTCGCTTTTATACGTTCTTTTTCTTGAAGCATACGTGCTAGTTCAGCATCCTGTGCTTCCATTGCAATTTTTTGATCTAATAATAATTGTTCATTCATTGGTCCATCCTGACTATCTATAGCACTTTCTTCTTCCTCCTGTTGCAGTTTTCTTGCCAACTCCTTCATTTGAAGGACAGATTAAGATTAATGAATTCTATTACTTTAAAATATTTTTATGTATTTCTATAAGTACCTCATCTTTTTCTTCTTGAATATGACGATCAATTTCAAGCTGAGCAGCTTCATCATCCAATCTCAGTTGCAATCTCATTTGTTCCTGTAACTCTCGTTCCTTTTTCCTTTCTTCTCGTTCCAAAGATAATGCAATTTGTCTGGCAACCAGGGCATCTCTTTCTTCCCTACAAAATGAAGTCCTTTAATGAAATTTGTAGCTGGTGGAACTCAGACAAAATATAGTTGAGAATTTGTACACTAACTGCTGTTGAACGTAAGATTGATATCTGAGTGTTTCTAACTCCTGTTCAACACGTGCTCTTGGCAAATCCTCCCTTACTTGAGCATTGCGAACCTTATTGCCAGTATAATGTTCTCTGACTATAAATCAACATATTAAATTTTAGAGATTAAGTAAAATTGACCAATATCATGGAAATATTTTTAAACCCTTACTTTCTTCGTCTTGAAGACGATATGCAAGTGCTCCATCCTCGTGCACGAGCCATTCGCGGCACACTATATGAAAGCGCCAAAAAAGATAAAAAATGCAAGTTGAATGACTAATTCTAATTAAGAATGACAGGAGGCGTTTAGAAAACGATTTTCATACCTTCGTTAACTCGTCCTGCTTTCGGTAATGTATCTGAACTTAGGACAGATTTCGCCATATCGCAGTAACTGTTCGTTGTCTTTGGCAGAAAAGCGTTTCTTTCGCCTAGCTTTCTTGTTTACAACCACCTTACGGAAAATGTAGTACGCTGTTTTCTCTCCATCTTGAATAGCAGTGAACAGTAATGAATAAGAGTACGTGTGTGTGGTGGTGGTCTCTCCCAACGAATGCATTTCTTTTTTAATAGTATGAGTAAAAGCGTACCTAAGCGTCTTGAAAATGGCGGCGAAAGGGATCAGATCTTTACTACGCGTAATGATATTAACCCACTGACACGCAATATGTCGATATTTGCACTTTCGTTATCGATGAATAATAATATTTTCGCAACTTCATGCTTACTGTCAAAAACAAACTTTTATTGTGTATTTTATGTTTGAAGAACGTGATTCTGAGAACTATATCAGAAAGTAACTCAACGCTTCTTATAATTGAATTTTTCCATGAAACTTGGATCCATAACGGAAGTACTGCGAAGATCTAATATGTAAAAACAATATAAAAGACAATAGTTTAGTATAAGGTACTTAATTTAAGAAGTTGAACGCATTATGGTAACCTCATTTTCACATGCATTTAAAAATTAACATTTTCGCGCGCACTTTCCAAAAGATACTGCCACTAGTGTCATCTAGCAGTCAAGAGTCGAAATTAATTCACTTTTAATTCCGCCACCCATTGCTAGATGGCGCAACATGTACCGTTTCGGATCAAATTTAATTAATATTGACTTTTTTCAGCTTAATTGACAATAATACTCATCAAATTACTTTGAAAAGTACTATTAATTAGCTTTAGAACGTTTTAGAAGTGTTAAAGAAGTCAAAACCGTCAATAAAGTAGATAATTATTATAGATGTTCCCTTGGTCCAGATCTTGCACCGCTGGAACTATCATTACTTTTGATGATCTTTGGTGGAACGAAAATAATAATTTCCACAATTTTTAGCAAAACATGGGATGTAAATTATATTATTTACTGGCATTCTCTAGATACGAAAGATAATGTGAATTCTGAACTTTTCAGAATAGAAAGTATTTGGAGAATTTGTCTAGAATTATGGAATCATTTTATTATACATGTAAAAGGTTAGGAGGAACTGACAAGTAAGGTTAGGAATCTGTGGAATAAGTTGAATAGCAATGATAAATTCATTACATAAGAAGAAAACTTAAACAAAGACTAACAAAATGTTGTGTTACAATGGAAAACTTAGTTTATTTTGTTTTACTGCGGCTGCTGTAGTCGCAGTTCTACCAGAAATACTTTTGAGGTTAGAATTCGATGTTCCTCATACGTATTTCAATAATATTTGGCTTACTCATCTTTTTCAATACATAGTTTTAAATGTACTCGTACTTCTGGCCTTTCGTGGCTTTTCGTATCAGGTAATTTACTCGAATTTATGTTTTTCTTGATAGGTTATGTGTGCAATAATAAGTACTTATATTCATTACAGGTCGCTGTAAGGGCTGTTTTTCTAGGATATGTTTTTGGTACTGGAATTATAGTATCATTTGCTGCACCATCTTCGTGGCAAATGTTTGGAATATATATCACTGTCTTGGCTACATTTCATTACACAGAATTCTTGAGCATAGCTTGGATAAATCCAACGACTCTATCTATTGATAGCTTTATTTTAAATGATAGCATAGCTTATGGTGTAGCAGCATGCTCCAGTTGGATAGAGTTTATGACAGAAAGGCACTATTTTCCAATGTGGAAAGAACCTTCTTCCATATCATATTTTGGATTAATATTATGTATTGGTGGAGAAATTTTAAGGAAGTCAGCCATGTTTACTGCAAAACACAATTTCAATCATATTGTACAAAGTGAGAAGATGGATAACCATGAACTTGTCACTTATGGAGTGTACAGGCTTTGTAGACATCCTAGTTATGTAGGTTGGTTTTACTGGTCTATTGGAACACAGGTAATATTTTAGAAAATGTTATGAATGAAAGAAAACCAAATATTAGGATTTGAGACTATCTGCAGTTTTATTTTTAGCTGATACTTCAGAATCCATTTTGTCTTTTGGCCTATGCAATAGCATCTTGGAAATTTTTCCATGACCGCATTTTGTTTGAAGAGATTACTTTGCTTAATTTCTTTGGAGAAGACTATCTTCAATATCAGAAGAGAGTGGGTACAGGACTACCGTTTATATCTGGTTACAAAGTTAATTTATAGCAGCCGGTATCTGTTTAAATAATAGCTTACAAATGCTTCATTTGAATTTCTATCAATAATTGATAGAAATTGTGTTAATTTCTCAGGTATAATATTATGGATTTATTTGTACTAATGTTTTTTTTTATCAGTTATTCTTTATAAGGACACATCTTTGCCATTAATCACGAAATAATGATTAAACAGTATTCTTAACAAAATTATATTTATTGTCTCATTTCACTTTGAAGAATTATTCTTGTAACAATAGACTACACTTTCATGTTATGTTAGATACTTTCAATTGACGATTATACATTCTTGTTTTATATTTACGTTTATATACATATATAAGCTTACATTAAAGCTTATACATAAAACATTCAGAAAGCATTTGTTCGATGTTGGATAATAAGAAGGTGCTAGATCGAAGCAATATACTTACAATTGTATATAGTAAATTTCTGTACACAGTCATTTACAATATATCGATAAAGTTTTGATATATTTTAAAAAATTCTATGCGGGTATTGCCACAGCATGGTTCGCAAAGATATTTCGTGGCCGATTTGTTTTATCTTCTATGAAATTAAAGAATATATTCAAGTTAAAAGAGAAAAGCTCGTGAATATACGTGTTATCGGCTACGAAAAAGTGAATGAACCTGATGTTATTGTTGCGCATTCAATTCGAGTCTTTCCTGTTCATTGATTCATTTCCTCTAAGGAAGTGATAATTACTTTCACGCAAGAAACAAGCATTTATAATTGACAGTGAGTCATTTAACAGATAAACGCATTAATAAAAATCATCACTTTGTAACGTAAAACTACGATGTAATATTCTAATAATAATAAATAATAATCTATGAAAGTTTTATCTAAACATTGCATATGTTCAGCTATCCATAATTATTTCATCCTTATTGCCAAACTATCAGTATGACTATGTCCTTAAGAAATGACGATTACGCATAATGTACGAAAATGCCAATACTGCGAGACTAATTATAAATATTTACATATGTTTTTCGCAGTGTATGTATATTGAATACAAATCTCATTATTAACTAGCGACACATTTTTACTAGCACCGACCTTAATTATGCAAATATCTCGTAAGTAACTTTCATCAATATCACATAAATGGAGTTCGAAGTGTTTTGATAAAAAAAACATTACTGAATTTATAATATATTAATATATCTGTAGTAAATAAATACTGGGCCTTTGTTCAGGTATGAATATAATCAGTGTTATAACTACAACAAATTACTGAAGTGTTTCTGTTATTGACGATTAGAAAAATTTTGTTAAGAGCCTAATAAATTAAATAACGGCAGTGAGAACTTATACGAGTGATCTGATATAACAGTATTGCATTTCCCTGCAGTCACTTCGATGTTCGATGACTGAGCATGGCAGTTAAACTTGAAAACAAAAAGTGAAACTGATAAAAAAAGACATCCCAAAAAAAAATATATTTTTCATGTAAATGAAATCAGTATTGTTTTCTTATACACTGTAAAAACGAAGCCATATAAAATGTAGTTAAGTCGATTGTAAAATATTAGTATCAATGGTACTGTGTTTTTGGGAATACATTTTGTATATCTACAAATATAAAACTGCTTGTATATTTATCGCGGTACTTTCACATTGTGGCTATTATTTTTGGAGTCAGCGCTTTCAGAAGAACTCCACACCATTTATATGAATACCAGAGAAACTTCTTAATAAAATAATCCAAGATCTCCGCGTGTTGGAAGTCTGTCATTCAACATTCTATAAAATGGAAGAACAAAATTAATCAGTAAAAATTTAGTCTTCATTTACTCTGCAATTAATAGCACGAGTCAAAAAGAATCTTCAATGTATACATAAAATAATTCTCAGAAAAATATTACCATAAGCAATTTACCTCGATCTCAACGTCAACGAAGCATTAAATACTTTACAAATTTAAAAATGACATCAGATATTGATAAGCTCCTAGGAATACGTATTTCTTCATTTTTGCAAGAACATAAGCCATGAAGAAAAACGCAGTCAATGGACGCTATTCGACAAGAAACGCTTAACTTAATATACATTTTATCGCATTCATAATGTCTATGCATAATACTGTAAAAAGTACACTCTGTTCTCGGACATCCATAGCAAACGCGAGCAGATTTTGGAGTAGGATCAATAGTGAATAATGTCTGATGTTATAAGCAGCCAAATTGACTGCTGGCTTTGGATGAATGATGTTAACAGGTGGTGGAGGAACAAATGCATCAAAAATGTCTGTGTCAGCATTTGTGAATACCAAGGAAGAAGGAATCCATCTTGTTCTGAGCAGCATGAAAAATGATCACCTTTTCTTAATATATTCATTAACATTGTTATAATACTTCTACTTTATTATTTACCTGGTGCACGGAGAAACATTCTTTCCTCTGATAGCCTTTTCTCCAATGTCAATGGCTCCAGAATCTTGTACCTCCATGGTATAAATGCAGCCAGAGAATCCTTCTTGATATTTCCCGTAAGTCATTGCATAATCAGGTACTCCACCTAAATAAACGCTACCTCTGGTGTTCAAATCTTGTTGTGTTCCATAGCTTGAACCACTCTCCATGTGTTCACCATTTAATTCAATACTTCCATCGCTACCTTGACGTTTAAGGATTATTCTATGTCTTTCCCCATCGTCTACCTTTTGAGCTGTGACGCGAATTACTACTGGACCAGCGCCCAGGTTGTACTGATATTCTACATAACTGAAAACAAGTGAATGTAATGAAAAATGTTTCTAGAAGTTTAAGCGAAGTAAAGACAGTACCCATCAATTACTGCAAGAGACATATAGTGATCAGGATTCAGGTCATTTTGAGTCTGCCCATGCCACATGATCAATCCATTAGTTTTGTTTGTTGATATTTCAAAGCCTAACACTTCACGTTCTTCTTCGTGAGTCATCACAGATCTGTCTAATTCTAACCAGCCATCTCCTCTAAACGCAACGTCATAGGTTATTTCTGCCACTGAAAGATTACACGAATTAGAATTAAAACGTGAAACACGTATAATTCCAGTCTTTGATATAGTTACATTTTTCACAATTCTGTCCATTATAACCCAATCGACAATCGCATTTATATGATCCATGAAGATCCGTGCATGTCCCTCCATTTCTGCAGGGCAAAAGCAGTTCACACTGCTTTAGAATATTCTCACAGTTTCTGCCCACATAGCCATATTCACAGGTGCATGAATAGTCATATGAATCTGTGCTCTGGCAGACTCCATGAATGCAAGGATTTGAGGCACATGGGTCATATGGTGTAGTAGTGGATGGTGGAGTAGTGACGATGGTAGTCAACTTTGTTTGATTAGGATGTAACACGTTGCAGTCATCAATGTTTGCAGAGTCTATCGCTGACTTTAGTATATCTACATTTATAGAAGACACTCCTAACTAAAAGAATACAATGATCATTACAGTAACTCATTTTGTAGAATTTCAGGACTTAGAAAAGGAGGACTTACATCACTGATGCAACCACGAAAGGCACGATTTACTCCAACATTTTTATTCACTGTAATTTTTCTGCGATCGACTCCTCCAATATAGAGCGGTGTGTTTAGTGTCATGGTGCGCGAAACTCCTGGAGATTTACCTCCTATGGTTGGTTCTCCATTTACAGTCAAGTTGCCTTCTTTAAAGTCTCTGGCGATTGAGACGTGTGTCCACACACCAGGTTGTAGTACGTAATTTGATCTGATGATTGCTGTGCCAGAACCAATGTCGTATCGAAACTCAACGCGTTTATCTTTGATCACAAGTGCCACGAACTCTCCTAATCCTTCATCGTTTTCAGAACAATATATCAGTATTCCATCCTTGTCACCCAAAGGGTTGAAGTTCAATGCCACTCTCAATCTAAAATAAAGTTGATCATGTTAATATAATGTTTCTACTTTAATATCAGATGCATAGAAATTACATTTTGTTAGGTGGTAGAAATATTAGTGTAACCAGGGAAAAGCAAAAGGAAAAAAATAAATGCTGTTTTGTAACTTACCCTTTGTGAAGCGATGATAACAAATTAAAATGGTAAATCAAAATAAACGTTTAACGTAAAAACAATTCTTGTTAAATCAATTTTTATTTGCATCTCAAGACATATATTTATACTTATAGCATTGCTCGAAGCCCGTCGAATACATATAAATGGTCATTCTGGTCCTAAAAATACACTTCTCCGGCACGTACACACAGGTTCTTACAAAATAAGTACAAACATTTTACATGTGCCGTGTAGTAATGATGTGTATGTGATACTACCATAAAATGCAATTCATTTGGTAGTGACCTAATTAATGGCTTACATTTAACAGTAATTAAAATGACTAACACAATGCGTTAAAATGTATTACTCAAAAAGCTGTACAAACGAACCCGTCGCAATCTAACAAACATTCGAGTTAAAAGATATTGTAAGAGAGCTCTGCAAACAGAAGTTCTTTCTCGAATGTCTCGAAAGGAATAAATTGCTTGTGACTGCGAAGGGTTGTGATATAAGTATAATAGGTATATCGACCGATAATCTAATATTACAGCACCATGAGGTTCATTCCAAGGAACTACTCATTCTACAGGCTCCACGATGGCCTACCATCCAACATAATCTATTACACGTATGAGGCAGAAATGAAAATATCTAATTGTAAATAAAATTCTTATAAAAAAAAATATATATAACATATATGTTGACTGACAACTATAAATAGCAGTTACACAAAGAGTGATTTGTTCCTACAACTATTACACATCGATTGAACAATACATAAATGACTTGTTTCTATTATGTGCATAGAAATTTGGTGGTGATAGGACTAATGTTGTGTGTGGTGCGGCTTAGAGTGGTGATGAGGCCTCGATCGAGCCTTTCTAACTGGTGCGTTGTGTGCATGTGATCTATTGTGTATGTTGCGTCGGTTCATTCTCGTCCTGAAAATAATTTCTTCGATTAACATTAAGACTTTCCTACCGGCTGCTGGTTAGTTGCCTAATCTAACCACGAATACTCGAACTTTGGGGATCCTGAGAGTTTGAACTATTTGATATATTGTGTTAAAAAGAAAATATAATATGAAATTTACAAATTTTCTGGTAACAAAAATAAAGGGACAAAAAATATATACACTTTAGTACAACATAGGCTTCTCTTGGCGAAGGCTGCGTGCAAGAGAAATTTATTATCATTTTCCTTTGATCCTCGGATAATCCAGAGAAAAGTCTAATTTAATACTTCATCCTCTACATTTCTTTTTAAGAGAAGCCTAAGCTGTTCGCGGCCATTTATAACGAAAAAGTGAACTGCATTACATTTAGGAATCATGCACATGCTTCGTATGTATATGTAGATACTTACCGTCTAAGAGCTTTGGGCGTGTCATGTGCAATGAAAGATTTGTCGTCATGGAAAGCTGGCTCGTAAATCATCAATGGAGTCTCGCATCGAGAACCAGTTTTTCCATAAGGACAATAGCATTCAAAGCCCATTTCCTTGTCTATACAGTGACCTTCTCCACAAGCACCTACAGAAAGAATTTTATCAGTGAAGGTTTTTAATACACAGATGATCTTCAACTACAATAATCATTCTTTACCTGGATAACACGACTGTCCAACATAGTCACAGTGCTTTCCACTATAACCAGCTCGGCACAAACATGTATATCCATTCTTCGTAGCAGCCTCTTGGCATACACCACCATTGTTGCATGGATTTTCAGCACAGGTCTCACAATTAGTGATTCCTACGCTATCCGTTTGTTCACCGATCAAGTCAACCTCCTTGTCCTTTATCACCAATCTGCTGATGCATCCAACAAAACCAGTTGTGACTTCTGCATACTTGTTGACAATATTGTCTCTAGGAACACCACCGATAAACAGTAATGATTTCAGATCCAATCCCTGCTTTCTGCCAGCTGCTACGCCTTTGTACGGGCCTTCGCCATCGACTAACATAGTTCCCTCCTTTCGATTACGTTGAAGTTTGATCGTGTGCCACTCGCTTAGCGTGACAGGCTTTACTGCACGAATAATTACCGCGCCAGAGCCCAGATCAAAGCTGAAGTTAAGACATCAGTTTAATACTACATTATCTAATTTTGAAGACTATTGAACTGCTTTGTATCACTAACCTGAACTCTGGATATCCTCGAACCAAAGATAACATGATGAAGTCACCATTTACACGATTCGACTCATCGTTATACAAAATTATACCGTCGTAACTTTCGGGCTTAAATGATATTTCGATATTGAATTTTAAATATGAATCAGGCAGTGGTGGTAGAGCAATGAAACTTTCAGGTGCTTGACTGAAGTGTGGAACTACGCCAGTTACAACAAGTACGGTGGGTATGTCAATGTTCTCGTGATCATTGTTCACTGTGCAAACGTATGTTCCCGCATCCTCCGCTTTCACGTTAATCAGTTTTAATTTACTCTATAAATCAAAGATACAGAATTTATTGCACCCATAAGTTGAAAATTAAACTGTTTGAACTATTTCCATTATACCTCGAATGTTTGCGCATCGTGCGGGAGAAGTCCTCCAAGTTTACTCCAGTGGAATTTCACTGGTGGTTCCAAATTAGGTCGGCAGTCCATTTCCAGGCTGGATCCGTAAGGTGCATACTTGGTTTCAATCGCTGGTGCATCATTAGTTCCACCTGAAAATAAATAACATTTTATATATCTTCTGTACTTATATCTAATACTTATTAAATACTCACAGTCACAATTTTTGTAAGCATGAGTAGAAAAGATATTACATTAATCATTGTTAAATTTCATTGCTGTATTTTAAAACAAAATATGAGTCTATTTTACCATGAACAACGAGATCAAAGTCATGTTCGAAAACTCCTTCTGGCGTTTCCGCAATGCATTTGTAGATTCCACTGTCACTGACACCCACGTTGGTCAGCCTCAAAAGGTTTCCATATTCTTGAGCATTTTCTGGTAACCTAGGATGATTTGGCCTGATCCAATGATAACGAGGACTGTGCGTTCCAGAGCAAGCACAGCGAATGTCCACGGTATCTCCAATGTTTACTGGATTTTGTGAAGCCTCTACACTGACTGCAGGCACCCCAGTAGCTAAAAAGAAAGCACGTAAGTCAGCGGAGAATACTGGAAAATGTTTTGTGGACGCATAAACGAGGACCCTTCTCCAATACATTACTTCCTATGACACTGATTTTAAGATACACCTTTGAACTTCTGCATCACAATGATGAATCGATGCTGAAGTTTGCGATAAATACAAAAATGACAACGGATGACTGTGTACCATTGGGATACAAGGGAGTAGACTATGCTACGGAGCAACGAACACATTTGGGATATGTCCTGGAACTATGCGATTAAGTAGCATCAAATTCAACTATGATACAGACAATTACAGTACCTATTTTTATAAAAATCTGGCTAAACCACTTTTAGTGTCTGGTACTAAGATTAATAATGCTTGATGGTTATACAGGGGGTGAATTAACAAGTCGTAGGATAAAAGTGTTAATTTTTACAAGAGACGTCACATCAGCAACACATAATATCTCAAAACAAACCACGTCGTTGGTGAAGATAGTGACGGTTTAGCGAGGGGTCGTAGTCAGCGACAGTGTTGAAGTAGCGAATATCGATGTTGCAAAAGTAATCCAATAGATAGCATCCTTGAACGTTGCATAAACAGTTGCTTGTCCCGCACAGCGTTCGGTTCGCTCGCGTGCAATCCGGGTTCAAATTAACTACTAAATAATAACGCGACCAACATGTAAATAAACTCTATCGTTTCAGTATTAATACATGACTGATCGATGTGATGTTTTTCGCGCTCATTTTCGAGTATGAACTATTTTGTATGCACTAATAAATTAAAACGAATAAACTGAAATACACCAAACATGCCAAACGTTCTAAAAAAATAAAAGAAAACGTATATTCTTCCTCGATATCTTTTCTTCCTACCATCCAATGATGAGCAGATCAAGTGCACGTGGAATACATCATGAGCAATGGTGTACAGGATGCGAGTAGCATTTCTCTGAGTTCAGGACTTTAAGAATATCAAATATATAAATTTAGAAATCCACCATTGCCCATAAATAATGTTACAACTAAAGAACTTTGATCTGAAAAGATGAAACGTGTGGGAGTAAGTTTGAGCGTAAGAGTGATTAGTGTATCAAACTGTGAGAGAACGACAGACATTTGATCATAAATACATGCACTGAACTTACGTGAAACATTCAAATTTATATAATCGCTAGACACTCCTTGTACAGTTTCAATCTGGCAAATATATCTTCCGCTGTCCTCTGGCCTGGCTCGTGGCAGTTCCAGGTAATCTCCTTCTATCCTGGCAGTCGAAGGCAATGGCTGACTATCTCTACTCCAGTGTATCGTTGCGCGTTCTCTGACTGTACACTGTAAACGTACAGGTTGGCCAGCATAAGCCATCACATCTCTCTGGGTTGCATGAACACCGGTATCGTCGTAAGGATGTTCTAAAAAGATTATCAATGTTTAACATGCACTTTTGAAGATGTTTGAAGCACTGAAATTCAATTCATACCGTTCACCAAAACCTCGGCCACAGCTTCAGCAGTTCCAGCGTCATTCGTGGCTTTACAGACATATTTTCCAGCATCAGAGTAGGTAATACCATGGAACTGTAAGATTCCACGGTCGCGGGTAACGGTAGGAGGAAGGTTGTGTCCTATGGCTGCCCATTCGATGGACATGGGTTCGTCTCCTGTTGTGCTACAGACTATGGAAGGATTTTCACCGGAACGGACTGTTTGGCGAGGTGGGTTCAATACGATTCTGGGTGGTGCTGAAAAAATTTCGAGCCAACGTAAATTTTGTATCTTCGCTTGTGAAGCAGAATTCAATAAGCCATGTAACAAGAGTGCATTAGATTAGAATATAGATCATCTTACACAATACATCAAGGTGGGACTTAGCCCTAAAGAGAACATTGCCAGCTTGATCCATGCCCAGACAAACGTACTCTCCGGCAGCGCTTCTATCCACGGATGGAATGTTCAATATTCCATTGTGAACGGTGCTACCTTCAGGCAAAGGTCTATGGTCGGTTCTCTTCCAGTCCAGATAAATATGATCTCCATCTGACGAGTGGACGTAACAACGCATCTCCACTTTGCCACCATTGGGAATTCTGAAGTAGTCTATGGGTATTGAGATCTTATCGTTGGGATTTTCCTAAAATAACAATTAAATGTTATTTTACAATCAACTATTGTTATATTTAAGTAATTGTATTTGGTAGACGTACAGGGCAAGGTACATCGCCTCTGCAAGGTGGATAAGAGTCGTCTTCAACTCGTATGTGAACTCGTTCTTCAACTATTCCTGCAGCGTTGTTAGCATGGCAAGTGTAAGAACCTTCGTTGTCAGGAGAGGCCGATAATATTTCATAGACAGCGCTCAAAGGTGTTCCGCTTCCAGAGGTTATTAAAGAATGGCTACATGAAACAAACGCATCACTCATTTAGCTGTTCAGCACTATTTTTGCTTGGAGAACTTACAAGTTCACTTGATTCTGATGTTTACTCCATGCGACCGTGGGTTGTGGATAACCAGTTGCACTGCAAACCAGACGAACTCTGTCGCCACGTTTCACCTGTAGAATTCCAGACCTAGGCGAAATCATGATTATGGGAACGGACTGCACCTCGATGTAGACTACTGCTGTATTTGATCCAACGGAATTCACTGCCGAGCAAACATAAGCACCACCATCGTTTGCAGTGATGTTTGAAAGCCTCAGGACACCGCCAGGAAGCTGTTTAATGTTGGGTGGGAACGGTCTGCCATTCTGATGGGACCAGTGCAGTTCTGGCATGGGAATTCCGGCCACAGCTCGACATTGTAAATCGGTTGAACCACCAAGTGTAACTGGTGGGACCTCTTTTGGATAGATTTCCACACGAGGAACTTCTCGAGCTGTAAAAGGCAGTAGTTTATATTACTGAGGTTCTTACAGATACTTCGATTAAGAGAAATTTTGTCCTTACGTTCAACTTCGATTATAGCGCTGGCTTCCTGAGTGCCGCTTGGTCCTGTAATGCGACACACGTACACTCCTCGATCTGAGATCTGAATATTGACGATCCTCAAGATATCACCAACTTGTTGTATGTTAGTGTTCAGACGTTCATGATGATACTTGCTCCATTTCACTTGTGAACCTGGTTCTCCACTCGAGACACAACGTACTTCAGCCACGCTACCTTGTGGAACCGTTTGTTTTTCAGGTTTCACTTTAATAGACAGTGGAGCTCTTCGAGGCATCACTGTTATGTTAACGGTGCTGTTGGCTTGCGTTCCAACGTGGGTTGTTGATAGGCATATGTAGACACCGGAATCTTTATGAGTTGCATTGTAGATTGTTAATATACCATCGCGTTGGATAGCTGAACGGGGTAATGGTAAGTTTTCTGATCGGAGCCACATGAGGCTTGCTAGATCAGCCGATGATTGTGTGCAAGTTACTACAATTGTCTCTCCCTCTGATCCGTACCAATATGGTGGATTGATGGTAGGCGGTATACCAGTTGTTGTTGGCTTTTTGGGATTATCTGCGGGCAAAGTAATAATTCGACGGTGTAGCAATACATTTACTAATTCCTAATTCTAAATTTTTTATTTTCTATATCTAATTACGTCCCTGTCACTTGTGCGTACCTCTGACATAAAGAATAACAGTCTTCTCGTCTACGCCAACGTGGTTCCTAGCAATGCACTTGTACTCTGTAGCGTCACTCTTCGAAGCTGCTACTAACGACCAAACTCCACCGTGAGTAATCACTTCTGGGTTCATAGGTCCATAAACGCGTATCCATTCGACCTGAGGCGGTGGGTATCCAGTGGCTACGCAACGGAATTCTGCAGGATGTCCTTCCAATACTTGCAGCGACGATGGCATAACGACAACTCTTGGTGCGACTGGGTTTACACCTTAAAAAAGGACGTAAACAGTTAAAATTTGTTCGGTTTCACAACTCTATGTCTTATTTCGTGTACCTGGTATCTCTAACAAACTTTGTGGAAAAGCTGCATCCGTGTAAAACACGTTACATTTAATATATCTATACGTTTAGGAAGTAGTAATCCATTTCGTTTATCTTACCTCCAACGGTAAGGGTGACATTTTTATATCCAATATGTACACCATCGCTAACTTGACAAACGTAAACTCCACTGTCAGATACTTTTACGTCACGAATGACCAACAAGCCCTGACTGTCGTCCACGGTTCTTCCAGGAGGTAACTGGCCACCTTCTTTCTCCCATTTGATTTGCAATGACCCCTAGGTAAAGATATTTTGTTAAATGTATGTCCATGGATTTATGAAAGTTTTCATAGATCTGTTTGCTTACATTGTCTAAAGATCTGCCAGCGCAGTGGTACCTAACAGTGCTTCCAGTTTCAACAATTTGGAACTCCGGTTCTCTGATGTAAACCAGTATCCTTGGTGGAGTTATAGTAGGGCGCTGTGTACTTGTTGTTACGCTTGTTCCTACAGAACATCACATAAATTAGAAGATGTGTTAAATCATTATCACAAATAAAATATGTCACAACATAAAATTAATAGAGAATTTGCCAAGTTCCTACACCCTGTTTGACACAACAGTAAGCTCCTGAACCCCATGGATAACCTCTATGAGATTATACACATATAAGCTCTAATGAAACAGAAACACTGGATAACCATCACTACAAGGAATGATGTTCTATCAAGTAACGACAGATGTTCTAGTGGCTGATGCATTATGTGGCTGAACTCGATGAGGAATGTTCTATATGAAGAAACGAATGAATCCAGCACTGTTCACCATTCTCAGGGACGGACAAACACAAAACACTGCTGTGATGTAGTCCGTCAAACCTGGTGTCACTGATGTCACGACCTTGATTAACTCTTTGCCACTGTAGTCCATGATATGGCATTCCACATTGGAAGGATCTTCCTGTACGAAAACGTACCAGAACCGCTGTGCTCCTTTGCTGGTGTGCATAATCGGACCAGGTATACTACCACTCGCGGTTAAAGGCTTTCCAGGAAACGGAGTTAGTTTAAAAGAGATATACAAATTTTCCGGGAACTCGTAACTGCATGTGAACAGAACCCACGAATGTGCCTGAACTTCGCCCTTCATTGGATTTAGACTTACCATCAATTCACCTAACCGATGTAATCATCAAAATATTTAATCAGAAGTGAACTCTTTTATAATTTGTCATACTTTTGCAGACTCCACAGGGAGACAGTGGAGTTTGAAGTTAAATTTTATTTTATACTTTGATGCTCTTTTAATTATACGTACCGGTGCTTAAACAGTACTGGCCCGTGAATCCTGGTAAACAATTGCACTTCACTTCTCTATTTATTGTGAGTTCGCAGCTTTCCTCGTTATTGTTGCAAGGGCACGGGTTACAAGAGCCCAAATAGCTACCAGATCGATCATTGGGGTCCCTATAGTAGCCTCGAGCACACGTTTCACAAGATGTACCGACGTATCCCGTTGGACAACGGCAAACTTCCACTTGAACCGCTCTTCTGTTACCAGTTTGATGTTCTACCGCTGTGTCCAAACTTATATCACTGATGTAAGTGGCTGTCATTCTTTCACTATGCGTTGCACGGACCAAAATCGCTTCGAGATTAGACAGCACAGTCATGAGATCGGTGCGGGAAGCAACGCGTGGTCCATCGGCAGTCAATCGTTTCCATTCCGATTCCCTAAGCGGTACCGAGTACGTCTACAAGGAATCAGGAAGGTAAGTGAAATTTATCCAGATGAACTGTACTTTAGAGATATCAGTTAAATTCTTACCAACTGTATATCAGGCTCAATATCATCAGGGTTTGTCCAATACAGGGTAATGCCATTCCCGATCAAAATGATATCTTGATCTTTGTAACTCTGAGCCCCAGGATGCGCGGTGACATGCTGGGTCAAAGTCAGATTCCCACCGTAACTTTTAACCTTGTTGCCCGTGAATATAGCTGGCAGGGACCAGAACAATCTACGACCTCGACTATCCGGATAACGGTAGCCAATCTCGTTCATAGCGAAGTTCAGTTCAAAACCTTCATCGATTACTTCCTGTCTAGTTCTGTAAATCAATATTCTATCGATGATCTTTGTCCTACTATAAATTTTATTATAGTACAGATACTCACGAATCAGTGAGAGTTAACCCATGTCGATTGTCATAGACAGACACTGGTATCTGTTGAACATATAACGAACTCTCGTGACACTGGTCAGTCACGCCGCTGCAATAGCACTCGCTACATCCGTCAGGATTATCCGCGGTGAGTCCAAAGGTGGATGGACGACATCGGTTACATTGAGGACCTTCAACGTTTCGTTTGCAGTCGCATCTGTCACCCATGCAAATGCTGCTACGAGAACCAGCCTCGTTACAGACACACGGTTGAGGGGCCCTATAAACGCAATCTTGCGGCGTTCCTCTAGTGGCATCCCCTTCGTATCCAGGTTCACAAACCTCGCAGAAGTCTCCAGTGGTATGGTGTGCACAGTTCTGCAGTGTTCACAAACGACAATTAAGTAATGTGATGTACAGAGTAAATGACTGTTTACTGCAGTAATGACAGTTCTTCTGCTAACCTCGCATATTCCAGTGTCGGGATTGCATTGACTAGAGTGACCATTACAGTTACAAGGTTCACAGATGCCCAGATAGAGACCTTCACTGGCTCTGGTGTATCCAACGTCACAATCTTCGCACGACAATCCTTTGTAACCAACGGGACAGGAACATTCCTCTACTTCAACTGCACGAACTTTTCCTGTATTGTATGGTTCAGCAATGTCTAGAGTTACCATGGACAATCTGAGGATACAACAAAGTTTTAGTATTTTGAATATTAGTCGTATTTAGTATCAATTTAGCCCTGAATATGGCAACTTACGCAGCCTCATCCGTATGAGTAGTGTACGTGGCTTTGATTCTAATTGCGCTAATATCAGCCAACGCCATCAATAAATGTTCTCTGTCAGCTTGTGTTCCGTCAGTACGTTGCCAGTGCTGTTCCAGCAGAGGAACAGTGAACGTTTGTGGAGTGTTTGGTTCAGGGAATACCCGAGAGAAGTACAGCAACTTGATGTCATTTGCCTGGACATAAGAAGAACGTTTGTTAATTTATTCGTCTGAGAGAAGTTCAAGAAGTATGATTTACTAACGCTGATCAATTCGACGTCTGCGGCGTTGTTCTTTGAGCTCTGACCACCCGGTGCTGGAACATATCTAACAGTGTACTTCAGATTTCCACCGTAAGATGTGACCTGATTACCCAAGAAGATACTGGGCAATTGCCAATAGTAGACATCGTTATTTCCACGATTGGGGAAACTGTTGTAAATGATCTCACGAGTGACAGTGTTCAAACGAATGCCGTCGATGATGGGTGGTGCGTTTGGTGTTCTCGATTCGATTAGGGAGAAGTCTCTGATGGAGTTGGTGAATGAAACTCGAATCTGTAAGACACATAAATACGTGTGTAGTTTACAAGGATTACTGGAAATTGTATAAAACTGTTACTTACGTCATTTCTGTACCAATTGGACGATACGCATTTGCTGGTGATGCCCATGCAGAAGCAGCTAATGCAACCGAATTGATTCTTCGAGGCTAGATTGAACGTATTCGCCTTACATTGGTTGCAAGTGAGACCCGTTGCGTATTGCTACAAAATGAAATAATTAAAATCCGTGTGTTAATTCATTAAAACCTTCAATGAACATCCTTTTGAAATGTGTTTGCACTATACTTACTTTTCAGAAACAAAGAGACATTTCCGAATAAACGACAGCGTTAATAAAATTGAACGTTATATAAGTCTGTTTTTAGTTATATAAAGCTACCGATGATCTGCTCATCTCGTAGATGAGATTCTAATACAGTTTGAATTGAAAATTTAATACCTTGCACCGACATGCTCCGGTAGAAGCGTCCACGACTGAGCTAATGCTGCCATCTGGATCGCAGTGTTCTGTCGCATTACATGTCATTCCAGGGATAAGAGGATTTCCTTGATATCCAACATCACACTGTTCACATCTACGACCAATGTATCCTGGTGGACAGTTGCAGGTCGGTTGGCCATCGGATCCAAGGTAACAGGTGCGTGCAAATCTATTTTAAAGTAAAGATATATTAAAACTTTCTTCAACAAAATTCTTGTCATTTACAGATGGCAGCTTACTGATTAGATGGATTGGTAAGTGGACAGGGGCAAACTTGGCAAGGGATGTTCCTCGCTGGATCTCCAAAGTATCCTGGAGGACAATCTTTTGGTGGTTCATCTCTGTAGCACTGGCCAAGCCAGGGACCGGTTTTACGTCGCAGGTATCCTGGAGCACAGTCCTCGCACGAAAGACCAGTGTATCCTGTGCGGTCAATGAATGTTATAATTATCTGAACAAAATCTTTCGTGAATAATTAAAAAATTAGGACGTACCGGAAGGACACTGGCATTCCTCAACGAACGACGCCGACCCAAGTCCGGTGTTCCTGGCGTCAGCAGTGTCCATCACAATGTGCGTGATCTGGACATCTAAGTCTGGAGAGTTGTCATACTCTATTCTATAAAACATACGTTCCATTTTAAGTTCATATTCACTGACAATCATGGTTTAACAGGCATACATACTTGATCAAGATGTTGTCCACACTGGCCAAGGTCATCATGATGTCTTCCCTCGTAGCAGGTACCTCTGACCAATCCTGTTTCTTGAACCATTCACCTTGGAAGAACCTAATAGACTCTTCATTGTCATAGTTGGGTATCAACTGTTTCCCTCTGTGCACCAACGTATATCCGTTTCCGGTTAAGATGACCGACGGCGCAGAATTTGGCACGCCGGTACCATTATAACGCACTCTGTACTTCAGGTAACCGCCATAGGATTTTAACTGACTTCCATGATAGTTTTCAGGCAGCGCAAAGTAAGGAATATCTCTCTCGCTAGGCAAGTTGTTGTAGAACAGAGTCGGTTCGTACAACTGTATGCCGTCCCTGCCTAATGGCTTCACACTTCTGAGCTGATTACTAATATCGAATTGAACCTGAGTAGTTGGTTCTGTCTTTACAGCCACAATTTTGTGACGGTCAAATGGCGGTGGAATTTGATACGTGAAAAGATTCGCACTGTGACATTCGGTCGCGACGCCGAAGCAGAAACAGGAGATACATTCCTCTACGGTTCTCGCCTCGGAGTTGAACATGCCCTTGGGGCAAATGTCGTCTGGTTTGTTCACTATCACGATAGCGTCAGGCACCGCGAACACGAAACCATCGCTGTTTATTCCCTCGCAAGAATATGCGCCTTGATCTTCAGGCTGAATGTCGGGACAAGTTAGAGTTCCGGTTCCGTTTATGGATGTCATGGTGCATTTTGGTGGCACGTGGCCCCAATTTAAACGCCAGTTGATTTCAGGAGTGGGTACACCTATGGCTGTACATACGATCACCAAAGTTTGTCCTAAGTCTAGAGTGATCATCGGTGGTGGTGGCTTCGTTATGTAAACTGGAGCTGAAGAACAGGAAATATATCTTCAATATAGGTCGTGAATATGAGGCATTTTATGAGACTGTTACTTACAGCATCCTATTTCATCGCTTCCATCCAAACAGTCCTTCTCCCTATCACAATGATAACTTTTAGGAATACACTGATCATTGCTAGCACAAGCATACTCGGTGACACGGCATGGAGAGCCTGGTCTACTTGGAGTACAGTTCTCTTCGTCGGTGCCATCAGCACAATCTTTGTCACCATCGCACCTCCATAGTTTGCTCACACACTGTGTGTTGTTGCAACGGAATTCGTTAGGTTCACAACCATGTGGACCTGTACATTATTAATTGCATAAAATTCTGAATTTTGTAAATGCTTCCTGTAACAAACAACAACTCACTGCAACGCATCTCATCAGATCCATCAGTACAGTCTAGTCTGCCATTGCACACCCATGATTTGGGTATACAGTCTCCGTTGCTACAGGTGGCTTCGTCATACGAGCACGCATGAGGTCTGTTTGTTGCTGGTTGCTCAACTAAAATAGAGATTAATGATGAAAGTGTCCGACGAAGACTATCTGTATGAGACTTTGAAAGTGCTTACGTTTTTCTACGGTTAAATAGACATTCACTTGTTGGCCCGGAGTGGATGGAGGATAACCAACGGCCTCACAGATATATAGACCCGAATGTTCTAACTGAATGTTCGGAATTTCAAGACGTCCATTGAGGTCACGACTACCAGGTGGAAGAGGAAGATTGTTACCACGAAGCCAACGTACTCTGGCTCGAAGAGGGCCTTCGTCACGGCATTGAAAGACGACTTCTCGACCTAATTGCAGAAATTAAGTTGTAATATACGAATGGATCTTCATTTTGCGATCGTTCCATAGGCTGCAGTGTTATGATTACTTATGTCGAATTAATTGTAAAGTATCTCCAAGCAGCGCTGTATTTAGTATGGATGTAATTACGTGTCGGTGTAAATGTTTGTTCTGTTCAGATACTTAATGTGTTACATGTAATGTAACTCAATATGATATTTTAAGATAAAATTAAGATGTAACATGTTGGACAATACTTTAAGGTTGAACATATAGTTTTTATATCCTCAGTAAAGAACTCATGCAAAATTATACTCTATAATGTCAATTACAAATTAAGTGATATTAAGCTTATGATAAACGGACGATGTACACGATACAGACACATCATTGAAATCGATTTGATGATTCTTTTAATAAATCATTAATCACCCTGGATTATATTTGTGAATCAAAACTATGAAATCCCATGTAGCATTACTTGCAATTGCTCTTCAGAAAACTCTTACCTTGCTTCGCCGGGTCTGGCCAAGGCAAGAAAAATAATCAAAATTCTTATTAATCGATGTTCGTACTTAATTCATCATTCTTTTAGATATACAATATTGTCATTAACTGTATCTTTATTAGCACACAGTTTATGATACTTACTTTCTTTGATCACTTGTTCACTAGGATACGTCTTCAGATCCAGATGGGTTGGATCTTTAGGTGTATCTATAAAAAACATAGATAACGTTAACGAAATTAAAAAGTATACAATCATTTTATATTATAGCTCAATTAATTACAGCAGTTTTCTTCGTCTGATCCATCTCTACATTCTGGAATTCCATTGCAGATTGACGACTGAGGAACGCAGTCCTTGTCAGAAACACACATGATGTAGCCAGCTGGACAACGTCCTGGCATGGGATGGGAACCAGGTCCTTCTAATGGAATTAATGAAAAATTAATAATTTTCTGGATTATTATACAGATATTTGATGTAAATATAAAACTTACCACATTCTGCGGGTTCATCAGATCCATCTGCACATTCTATGTAACCATTGCACTTCTGATCAGCCCTGATGCAATCTCCATTCGCACATTGGAACTGATCCTTGCTGCATCCTACAAGAACATATTGTATTATAGCAAACAAGATCAATTAACAAAGCTTCATTGAACCATCATGTATTCATTAAAAAAGTCATGGAAACAAGAAAAGGATTTATTATTACTTTCCAAACAACAATCTAAGGGCTTCAAAGGAACATGGATTACCACAGGTCAGAACTAGAACTTATTACGCTAAGTAATATCAGGATTCATAAAATTGTCTGTACGTGCATACTGTACCACTACTAAACAATTGGTACTATCATCTACAACACCTAGAAACATATTCTTCAATACAAATTTATCAAGAAAGAAGAACAGCCCAGTTCTTCTTTTCTTCATTTGTTCTGTAAAATGTTTTCATGCCATAACAGAATTTATGCAGTTATCAACCAGGTTTCAACTAAAACATCAAGCAATGCACTATGATCAACAGCTAGGATGCTTCCAACGTGTGACCGAGTCGAATCGAGTTTCATAAACGTTTTCAAGTTTCTACTCGAACAGCCTACACATTGCCTATTCGGCTGCTAACATTGAGAAAAAGAGAATGCAGAGCCTAGAGAATCTGTGGCGTCCAGATTAGAAAGGAAAGCAATCAACAAACAAAAAAATATGTCTGAAAATTTTTTATAAAATTAAAGTCAATCTCCTCAGTTGAAGAGAAAATAATTTAAATAAAGAATTAAAGAAGTGATACACATTGTGATTCACAGTTTCATCAATGAAGTAACCATTCAATTTAAAGGAACTGAACATGTGAGTCACAAAGGACTGCTTTTTATCATCAAGGATACTGATGAATGGCGTGGGTCAAACCCACCCTGTCACACCAACCAAAGAGAAAGTTAACAAATAAGATGAAGAGGAAAGACGCCAACAGATTTTCAAGGTTAACGATTGATCTAACCGAAGCAATACTGTTCGTCGGTAAAGTCGCGGCAATCGTAGAAATGGTCGCAGTGGTGAGTTTCAGGGATGCAAGTGCCATCAGCACAAACAAAATCATCCGGAGCACAACTCCTCGGCGTGCTCAGATTAGCTGGTGCTTGATAATCCAGACTGTAACCCTTGCTAGCCTGGTTCTTGTGGGTTAGCCCCACCAACGTGTCTGGATGTCCCCTTGAAGAGGTTCTATCCGTGCTTATACCTAGAAGTAACCGAAACTAAACCAGCTTGCTCGCGGATCGGCCCATTTTTGTTTGGTGTTTAAGATTGTCGACCTGTCCATCAGAATTAATCCTGGAACTACTTACTACTTGCGTTTACAGTTTTCGCTGGCAATATTTGTGTGTGATTTATGGTGTACTTCAGACTGACCACGGAGTGATACACAAAGTGTTTAATATTTCATAACGTTTGCACATTTACTATGATTTAATTGAAGTAAAACTACTTGTTGCCAGTCTGAAGCACAGTTTGCCTTTGAATAAGTGCACGTACAAAATCGGTGCGGCACAACTGGTTGCCTCTAACAGGCGGTGAACACGTAGTCACGGCCAAACATTGCGTATGCAACCTGGTGCGTTGCGTGATCTACTGGATCAAGTGTGCAAGATCGAATGGAGCGTATTCATATATATACAAGTAGTGAAAACGGTCGCGATATAGTCAGACGTTCTTCGACGCTTATTCTCAATGAAGATCCTGACCTTAACGAAACTTTGTAGCCCGATTATTTCAGAAAATAGTTTCTATTACCAAATAAGTTTCTACAAAAGAGGCGTGGTCCACAAAGTATCATTAAGTGTTTCAAAGAATGTCAGAACAAAATACACTTCTGGTCGACGTATGGAGACACAGTTTTATCCTATAGTCTTCCGGCTTTTCTAGCGTTTAGAAATTTCTAGGTACTCCATAATCGATGGCCATCAGTGTACATTGCAGCTGGTTCTCGCAGCATTTTCCACCCAGTACTACGTCTGTCTACATGATGCCTACATATGACGAGCGCTGTATTCTTCGTTGTTCCTTCTGCGTGTTATCAACGTACCTCGTGGACAATTTGACTCGTCTTCTTCGTAGACACAGTCGTTTCGTCCGTCACAGACTGCGGATTGCGGTATGCAGCTTCCATCGCGGCAGGCGAATTCATCTTGGCGACATCTGATCGGCTCGGCGGGTTCGGTGGTCTCGTCGGTATCGTCTGAAATTTCAGTTATTAAGAAAAGAGTACGCTAAGTTTACATTTGTTTAGGTTCATTCGTGTGTGTAAAGAGAGCACTCTGGCGGAACATGTTCTTACGGCAGTCGCGTTCGTCGCTGCCGTCGTGGCAGTCGACATTGCGGTCGCAGAAGAAGTTCTTGTTGATGCACACTCCGTTATCGCAGGGCAGCTGTCCATCGGGGCACTCTGAAAAAACACGGAATCATCAGCGAGCGAAACGAGACTCGAAAGTAACCAAAATAGACCAGAATAAAGAAACCATAGAATAGAAGGAAAGTATTCGAGGAAGTGTGCTCGTTTCTTACAGAAACTCATTGAACCTTGTCCCCATAGATCCTTCTCCATTATGTACACCCACAGGATGGAAAGGATCGTTGAAAGACCCAAAGTTTCAAGGTGGAACGTTTCTGACCGGACAGCCCCGGCACAGTGAAAGTGCACGATCATTTCTGATCGATTTTCCACGGTCTAACGACGAAATTAAATGCGAGGGAGGTTGAATAAGTGGTCCGCGATAATTAAGCGATCGATAGGCTGTCCGGGGCCGAGATACGAACGATGATAAAGCGCGCCGGTTCTTCAAACAATAAACGAGCACACTACCGTCTGTCATGCGACGTTTCAAGGAAACTCGTTTAGAGCGCACGTGTACACTGATCCCATGGTGGAACTCTATGGTGTTCTGCGGATACAATATACGCCAGGCATGCTCAAGTATCTCCTCGCTGATTGATACATCAGAGGTAGGCTCTTAATGCCTGATCATATTTGCAAATTTTCAAATTTCAAACTTTGAGGATTTTCAAATCCAGGAATGTGGACATGGGACTTTGGTGATTGATTATTTGAGAATTTAGAGATTTGAAAATTTGAAAATTCCCAATGTGAAAAGCACCAGAATGTTTCTGGGTTCACATGCCACTTATCCATGCCTGCCATAGTTGCATATCCAATAAGAGTATACTCGTTGGAATACCAGTATTTCTTCGTAGGCCTTTGAAACAACATACATAATATCAGTAATACGGTAACAACGGTATCTGTGATTGAACACTGATAGAAACACATCTGTCGCAAAAAGGGACAAACGCGATCCGATTATTATTACAACATCCGCGTCAAATTCACGATTAATCGGAAACGAAATCGAGTCGATAACGAGAGCGTTAACGCCAAAGGGGTTGCTGAATGTTCCGCACTGGTATTCCAATGATAGTATTGGAAGAGTGGTAAGTAGGAAAATTCTAGTATGCAGCACGATAACTCCGTGAACTATGTTCTCCCTAGGGAGCGAGTGTAATGTACTTTCCAAAAGCTACGAACGTTTAAACAGTATCAAACAGAAAGATCTAGGCAAAAGGAGATGCCTCGTAAATCTAAGACTATGGTATCATACGAGAGAAACAAAGATAGGAACAGAGAGAAAGAGAGAGGGAGAAACAGAGAGAGACATACACCGGCTGATCAAAAGTTTGGGTGCATCTGCGGTACTTGAATTTTGGTAAACCAATGCGGTAAATTCAATCTTTTAACAAATTATTCCATTGCATTTGCTATGATGATAATTCTTGTGAATTATTATAACTAGTTGGAATACAATAGAATGCAATTTTCTCTCCAGTGTTTTAACTTTGAAGGAATATTTTATACCTTACATTGATAGCTTTGTTCTTCATACTATTTTCATACTTTTAAAAGTATTTTTACACTTCTTTGCAATTGTATTGCATTACATATCCTTAAAATTTCTTCCTATGCTGTACATCCTATCTTCAATCTTTTTTAATAGCAAGAAAAATTGTACTCCGTTCTTCTATGAAGACAAAATTCAACCATCGCCAGCACACCCACACTTTCTTTCTCAGGATCAGTGTACGATAGAATGGTCTTATTAATTCGTTTAAACACTTTGGATCTTGTGTACATGTTCGTGCGCTGTGCAATATTCCCACTATAAAATAAAGGAGAACATTAAGAAAAGATACATATAAATATATAAAAGATAATAAATAGATATATGTATAGAATCAAAGAAGACAGGTATGTATATATCAAAGATCAGGCAACCTGTGCTGAAATAGAAGACAAAAGAAAAGAAGACAGTGGCAGTGAGCAAGAGAAGAAAATATAGGAAATTCGAGCAAAGTGAAGAGAACAGACTCTTTTGAGAGGAAGACAAGTTAAAGATGGTGAATATGAAAAAAATATCTCAGATATTTCAAGACGTGAAATTGAACGAGATTTGAGTAGGTGCCACGCTGAAACATACAAAGATACGTTCAATGATCCAGATCGAGGCTGTTCGATTTCTTAACCTCTAATTGAGAAGAGAAATCCTCTGTAAAACGTTTTGGATTGATAAAAACATTTCGAGCTGATCGATTGGAGAACAAGATAGTTTATTCCAATAATCTTCAAATATATATTTGCAAAGGAACTTCAATTTTGAATAGAATATTAATATATTTAAAAATAAAAGTTGATAAATGGATATCTAAATGGTGGATCACTGAGATTAATTTCGCAAGGATTTTTTAAGCAGCATATGTTGCAGCCTCGGTGATTATTCACAGAAGACCGAGTAAAAAAAGTCAAGTACATTTTTCTGGTTCATGTTTCCATTCGGAAGAAAAACAATTTGAAAGTCGGTCGAGAATTCGCGGTGTTCCAGTGGTTCTCAACAGGTACACATTACTGGAATCCTTAAAAACATGATGCATCGTACATCCAACTTCTCTTCAACTATTTTACTCGTTTCTGAATAACTAATCACTACTTACTGTAGGTCTCTAAGATAGTAAGTTCGCATTCAGATCAGACCAACTCCAGATCACAAAAATCATAGAATCATTATTACAAGCAACTCTATAAAACTGATTATCTTATGTCTCAATCTTGCTCGTTTTCCAGAAGATTCCATCCTTTAAATCCGGTTCAATAAACATTCTTCGCGGAGAGGATTGACAACCGTACAGCCTCGATCATGAAGCACGGGAGATCGCATCGTCGGTGTCCAAGCAAAATGGCAGTCAGCGAACGTTCGGTCGATAGAACGGCGAAACGAGATTAACGGCTCTCTCGTCTAGCCTTGCTAGCTCGCGCATTAGTTACAGCTTCTTAATTGCCGCCTTGAAGACCGACGCGACCGGGGAGAGCCCGTTCCTGGCGATCCGCGTACGCATCGATTTCTATTCTCTGGCTTCTCGTCGTTTTTCACGTTCGAACCCGCTTCCTCGAGCATCCTATCTTGTAACCAATATTATTAGCCTCGATCTGCGTACACGAATCGCCAGGACGAGCTTCCGTATGAGGGAGACCCAGTTCCTAAAAGAAGGAGAAATGTTCAGCGTTGTTTGGAAAGATAGTCCAGGAAAATTAAATAAAAATCTCAATAATTGTCTTTAGACCTGTAACAGCAGGCGTCACTTTGCTTAAGGAGTTCGTTTACTTGGAAATTATTCAGCAAATAATTTCCCTGGGCTATGAAGATTCCGTCTTTCCCCATCGATCGCTGGCTCCTTCATGCGAGACAATCCCAAATGTCGAAACCCCAGCGAAGAATAATTCATCAACTGGTGGATTTAATCGAGGGTAGGTAGCAGGACGAAGATGTGGAAGGATTACAGCGAGAGGAGAGCTCGTAGAATGCTAGAAAGTGGAATCAGGCGGGTATAAACAGAGAAGAACACGGTGCCCAGAAGAAGCTTCTCGCTCAAGAGGATGGTTGATTTGCGTTACGCTTTAAGACATGGACCAACCTTCAGATAATTGGTTCTGGGCTCACAAAAGAATCTAGTTACTCTCAATAAGCTTATCGATTATTGTGGACTCGGTAGCTTTCAGCTTCATCATAAATTCTTCATGATTGATGTTACAATGGTGGTACATCAAATATTCTGTTTATAATCCTGTTAAGTTATCGTGCGTTCCTCTTGTATCCTCAACAGTTTGTACAAAAAGTTTCCTCATATAAATCCAGACATCCAGTTGAAAGACCTTTACGGCCCCGTCCGAGAAACGGTCGTCGATGTCGTAATTCGCAATGCAAATCAGCCTTGATCGAGACAGAGAGAGGCAGAGAAGAATAGGCATATGTAGAAGAAGAAAAGTAATAGTGATCGTACGGCAGTTGATCTCGTCCGAGCCGTCCGAACACTGCGGTCGACCATCGCAACGTCTCTTACTGTCCAGGCACAATCCATCGTTGCATCGAAACATTCCAGCCGGACATTCAAATTCTACAACGACCCCAAACGACCAGGTGGTTCTCCGTTAGGACATCTCGTGCATTATATGGACGACGTAAGGGGATTGGGAGAGGACGAAAACGGCCTTACTAGCAGAGCCTGTATTCCTTTCAGCTATCAGATATTGAACTCATTTTAAGGCACAACGATTTCATGATATAAAAGCTTATATGTTTACCAATTTAAAGCTTAAAGTTTGCTGCAAGTGAGTGCATATATTCATCAATATTCTTAATTTAAACTGGCTTCATTGCTCATGTATCAGCCATTTTGTATTAGGAACATTAGTGAAACATTTAGCAATCAAGTGCATCACTTTTGAAGCTTTAAACTTCATAGAGCTACTTTGAAATTTATATCATGAAATTATATAATAAAAACTTGGTACTTTGAGACTTCTTTTGAGTTTTGAATAAATTGCTGAAAAGAATACTGGACAATGCTCACCACCTTTGCCTTGGGCTCCTTTGCGTGCACCTTAGTCCACAGAGAAGAAGATTTGAAGTACTCACGTGTCTGCTCCAAATGATTGTACAGGTTTCATTTTTAAGCGTACATAATTGTTCAGACGAGCAGAAAGCGATGAGCAGACATAAACAGACAGATCCAGATTGCAAACAAAATATGATCTAATAAATTTTCATGCGATAACCATCCATTCCAGACTTGAGAAATCGATCGTCGGATTTCTACAATAATATAAACGCAGATACATTGATTAACGAGGGAATGCGATGTTCCGAGTTATATTTTATGATTGAATTATTTTGAGCATCAGGATAATTTGCAATTTCTCTGCTTTCCAACGTGGTAAGGCCACTTTCCGTCGAAATAGGAGGACACATAATTACCACATCCAGTCTCGTCAGATCCATCAGCACAGTGGACTACATTGTCGCATCTTTCGGTTTCCGGTATGCACTCGCCACTGGCACATTTCCATTCGGCAGGCGTGCAGACACCTTAACGGCACAAACATGTATAAGCATACTAAAGAAGCTTCAAAAACATGGCTTTATGATTTGGAGCATTGGATAATGGAGGAATTAGCAAGATGGATGGATCATTCAGAGATTCACTTCCCAATGTCAAGCTACACACAGTAAGCTAAGAATCAAGCCATGTAGTATAAAACTAGAGCAGCGTATCAAGCTCACAAAAGCCTTTCTTAATTCCAAAGCTAAAATCGCCTTATAATGATTCATCAAGTACTTTCACAACACAGGCTTCAGCGAATACGAGCACTGTAGGACATAAGAAACGAGTGAATCTTCTGAATGATTTAAGGAAAGTATGGAGCAAGCTCTTACCGCAGTCACGTTCATCACTGCCGTCGAGACAGTCGAAGATATTGTCGCATTTACGGCGAAGCAGAACACACTTGCCGTCGTCGCAACGCATTTCCCTGCTTGGATCGCATTCCCTCGGGCTCTCGGTTGCCCAGCCTGCCCAGTGCGAGTCTACATACACAGCTGATATACATACACGGAACAAGCACATTGCCAGCTACTTAACGTAAGCATTTGCAGAAGGGATGAACATTAAAAATGTCTCCGCGACGAGGTACAAGATGAGGTGTTAAATGGTTACTTAAAATCAGCCTTTCTTTTTGCAGGATTAATTTTATAGTCTTCAAGAGCAAATTAATTCTGATTAAACTTCAGCTACTGAGTACAATATTCCATACTGAGTATACACCAGTAGCATAATTACTGTTACTAACTTTAGAACTTCAGTCCTGAACACTCAGCAAGATTTATGCACATAGGCTTGAAGGATATTGTAAAAAATATTCTGCTACGTTCCTTCACTAATCTGGGAATTAAGAGGACTCTTGCCATTTTGAATGTTCTATCAAGCTAATTAATTAGGGCTAAGTAAGCCAACCAGCATCGTTGTCCCCGTCGAGGAGTGTTAAGCAAACGAGAGGACGACTCTATTCGACTGTTTTTACCTGGATGGATCTCGGCGGTTCGTAAACACGCCTTTTTGAGACGTAGCTGAATCATGCAGAGGTAGAGTCGAGTATAATCGAAAGCGGAATGTATAACAAGCAAAATATGTTCAGATGTACGAATACGTTGGATTGAAAGGAAAGATCTGCTCTTCATAGAACTGTCTAGCTATTGTTTCAAGATTTAACAGCACATTCAATCACATTCTCATTCTCTCTACCGCAGAATACAGATTATATCTGGAAATTAAATTTTAAATCAGCGACTGAATTTTTAATACAAGTTTATTATTAATTTTTCTATACCTTTATCTTCATCAGCTGTAATTTAATCTATAACTTCAAAGTAGCAGAACGTTCCTTTCATCCGGCAATTATGCAACGCCATGCCATGAATTCCAGGATCAATGCCAGAGAACCACTCGTATCCTTTCTTTGCAATTTAATTCACATACGCAGACTCGGACAAGTTGACTAAGGTCAAACTCCTGTACACCAATTTACTGATTCATCAGTTCAATTTTATATTCCAACCAAGTGTATGGCATTGGCCAAGGAGTTCACTATCCAATGATAACGAAAGAGATTAAAAAAAAGAGGAGAAATAAAAGGCGTACTGTTAGACTGAGTGATGTGTGTAAAGGTTTCGTTAGCGCAATCTTCGTCGCTCTGATCCGGGCAATCCGGATGGCCGTCGCACCGGTAGACATCCTCGATGCACTTGTTCCCGGTGATGCATTTGAACTGGGTGGGTGTGCATTCCCGTTCTGTTTTGTTTTGTCGTTTGTGTCGCAGCGAGGGTACGGGAGCAGAGAACACACATTTATGTACAAATACAAACGTCGATACAAACGCGGTGCGTGAATGGGACTTTACAGGGAAGAACATAATTTACTTGATGTGTTTCTCTTAATTAAAACTTGTACATTATTTCCTTCAAGTGTTCTGCAAGTTTAAATTTGTTCTTCCCTTCTTCAATAACTGTTACATACCAAATGGACAATTTTTAGAAGTGCATTCCTTCATGCAAAATTTGGAATTCATGTTCTGTCAGCCATTTGATATGCAACAATAGTTCAATAATTATCTAAAGTGGGGTTATAATTCTGTTACGACCACTGAAGCGCGGAACTCGTCCATGAACAACGAAAGCGTTCGACGAACAACGATACAAAAGCTTTTACTTTTCTCGCCACGAGAGGAACGATCGTTTCTAAGGATTGCATCAATGGACAGGAGTTGAAATGAAACGCTCGTTCCTCATAATTCCTGGCTTGGATTAGGGAAGTATCTCGAAGTTCAAGGTACTTGGGAAACGTGAATCTATGTACAACTGGTGATTTGCTTGAACGTTTAAACTTTAAAGCTACCGATGGACGACAGTGACTGACAAAGCTTTCACGTTTCCTTATTTTCTGTTTCCATCAATGATCTTCTATAATTTTCCCTCAGTTCTTCTGTAATAACATCACTGGCACAGTTTCAAGCTATATTTAAAAATGAAAGAATAGAAATCAGAAGTTCAAAATAAAAGTTACACGACTACCAAATTGTTTTGTTATAAGTTACCTAAGTTTAGCATATTCCAAAATTAATCAGACCTCCTGACACTTCTAGAACTGTCTCAATTCAGTAGTATGCTCAATGATTAACGCGACTACAGTCTCTTCGCTCCTTTTCCCAGTCAAACTTTTAATTAACTGCAGCATTTTAAACGATGGAATCATTTATTATTTCTCATGCGTATTTATAACTGCACATTTTTGGTGACACGAATGACATTTAGCCAGATCCAATGCTACGGTGAATGATTAACCATTTTCCTGCTAATCAAGTTACATAAACGTGAAAGCTTTGTCAGCAGAGCCGTGGTTCAATCTGTAAGTACCATCACAGAGCAGACTTGACAAGTTTAGATTATTTTGCAAGCAAAAGCAAGAATCGCTCAATGCCAGATTTAACTTAGTTTTATATCTCAAATCCTCAACATACATGTATGATACAATAACACTTTTACATTCATATTGTGTAAAATATAAGATCAATTAAGTTATCTCTTCCTGAGTTCTAACTAGAGTTCCTCTAAATAATACAAACTCAAATATGTGAGCCAAAGAATATGTAAAAATAATTTCTTCATGAAGAATGTAAGTTTCTGGCATGAAGCGATTCCAAATGAAATGTAAGTGTTTATATACCACAGTGAAGCTCGTCTTCTGCCCGCGGGCAGTTGTCGACTCCGTCACAAACCGAGCTCTTCGATATGCAAGAACCGTCGCTGCAGGTGAAGTCCATAGAAGGGCACGGGGCCAAATCTACAGGGCGCCACCGGCAAAAACAAACAGCCTGTTCGTGAACCCCTATCACCTCAGGCTCCAGCTCTTCAGCATCTTCAAGGTCGCGAAAAGCTCGAGCCCACAGGCACTCAATGTTATATAGATGTATGTATGTATGTACAAGCTATCCATGTGACACGTGTGAGAACACATTTAAAGCGATATACTGGGGTTGGTACACTGAAAGCATTTGTTACTGTAAATGATGGTACATGAACTGTCAGACTGTGATATTAGTAAATCTCATTTTACTGTTCATCCTTGTAATGTTAAACATAATGATAATTTTGTAGATTTAGAATCTGAACCAGAGTTCAGAAGTTGTCTTTGTTACATCAAATTTAAAGTGAGATTCAAAAGATCTGTTCAGATGAAGAGTAACAGAAAAATATCCTCAGTCTGACATTGCACAAGACTCCTCGACTATAAGGGACCTTTTTTTGCAAGGGATTTCCTCGAGACTAACACTTAAAGCAATTTGAAGCCCCTCGAAGGTTAAGTTATTCCATGGGTTCTATGTACAGTGTTGTTTCAGTATATGTGACTCATTTTTTGTGTCTGTGGCAGCTAAACCTCGACGTCTTCGAGAGAGGAAACGACGAACGACGTGCGCGTTGTTTGAATTCCAAACAAATCCACGGATTAAACTCGCGTCACTGAATCTCTGAATTAATAAACTGGATGCATTACGTTGAATAGAGCTCAACTTTGCTCGTGAATCCCTCAAGAGGATTATAAACGCTTGTTACAGGCTGCTCCACATATTGACCTTATTATCTTTCCTTTACATTTGTCGGGTAATTTAACTTGAACCCATAGTAATGCACGAAATTGGTCTTTTTATTCCATAAAATCCATCCTTTTGGAGCTCAGATGTTTCCTGAATTTTAGTACATTCTGGAGCATAATCCCAAAGAACCTAAATAAATGTAACTTTACTTAAAAAGGGAAAAAGTGAATGAAGAAGAGTACTTAAAGTCTGCTTACCTAAACCATTATATCAATTATCAAATGATATTATGTAAATGCAAAGGAAAGATCAAGCAGTACAGCCTGTACTATCAAAACAGAATTCCTGAACGTACATTGATAATCTACCCTTTTAAGGCTTTGTACAGCAGAGGTGGACATCACAAAATGACACTTTCAGCACATAAATCTTCTTCAACAATGTTTAACTCCCATTGAAGCCATTTTGTACAGCCATAGTTCCAACATCTTGATCTGTCTGATATGTTGACAAGACCTAAATAGTTGTTGAAGATCCCACGAAGCAACAAGTTAGTTTACGCAAAAGAAGAGGAAGATAATCAGTCCAGTTCTTTTTCTACCTTTCTTTCCACAGTTAGCCTCATCTAGCTCCCCGCAATTCAGTGGACCTTCTACAGTTTTGTTAGATTCACTGCTATAGTCATAATCACCACAGTCTGATTCATCGCTACTGTCTTGGCAGTCCACAAATCCATCACACACTCTACTTCCTGCGATACAGACATCATCGTCACAGAGATACTGGTCCTGTCTACACTTGTATCTTTCAGGGACCGCAGTACTAATCCAGTTGACTGTTGTATCGGTGAACTGATCTCCAAAGGTTCCAGTGGTAGTTGCATTAAGATCACCATAAAAATCTTCATTGGTTGCTGGTGAAGGGTCCTCTGTGGTACCATTTTCTAAGTTCTGATTGAACCAAGGACTGAGATCCCACAAGTTAGTTGTTCTATCACTGTTGGTCACAGGCTGGTACTCAGAAATTGTGGTAATACTAGGGGAAGTTATTTCCTGCTGAGTTTGTGTTTCTTCTTGATCCACAGTCTCTTTAGAATGGAGCTCTATATCACCTCTTGGGTGAGAATTAATTACTATAGATTTAACATCAATGTTAGATGAAGTAGCGCTTCCCCAGGTAGACTGATCAACCTCAGTAGTTGTCTGATAGTGCTCACTCGAAGTAGATTGTTTATTCCCTTTATTTTTGTGTCTATTCTTTCTTCCTTTTTTTTTATCGTGGTGCTTATTCTTCTTTCTCCTTTTATCAGGCTTTGTCTTCTTCTTACCACCTTGTTTTTCAGTGATGATCTCTACTATATCCTGAGGTTCTGTGCTTTGATTAATCTGTGGAACATTTGTAAATACTTCTGCTGAATCTACAAGCTCCACCAAATCAGTACAGTTTACATCGTTAAAATTGAAAAGTGTCGTTTCTTCGACGCTGATTAATCCAGAATCGACGTTCTCTCCATTGTTCAAAGTTCCATCAGTAGACGTCGTTAATTTTTTCCCTCTGTTTAATATATCCTTTAGCCTCCAGAGTTGTTTACACTTTAAGGTGCATCTCTCCACATTGTCTTTTAAAAGTTGTTCTTCACCAACGAACGAATTTTGAGGTATTTCAGTGGATAGCCTGGATTTACTCAGAAAATCGATGTTAACTTTGGAAATGTTTGATCCAGGATCAAACAGACCTCTCTCCACCTTTACAGACGAATTACTGAGCTCGTCCCTGCTAAGTGGAGCAAGGGAAGTGGTTGTGGCAGATGGTGTAACACTTCCTTTTAAGTGGTTGGAAAAGTATTTGGCGAAAGCACCATCTTTTTTTGCTTTATAACCATAAATGTCCTCTCTGCTGGATGACCTTTCGTTGGAGATTTCGTTTGAGCTATCGTTAATTGTTTCTGTGGTAGAGAAAACTTCTGAATTTATATCTTCTTCAGCAACGGTTGTTTGTAGAACTTTATTGAAGTCTTCTTTTGAAGAACGTTTAATTTTTGTGATGTCTGAAGAATCTGCTTCTAAGTCCAATTCTATCTCTTCTTTGGTAAGGACTTTATTAAAATCTTCTTCAGAAGACCAGTTAGTGTCAGATATTTCCACAAAGTCATTAGTTGTCTCTGTCCATTGTGTGCTGTCTTCTGCAGGCATAGTGGAAGTTTTTTCATCAGGATCTGTTAATGTGGTGGAAAAGTTATCAGTGAATTTATTTTCTTCTGTTGTAGTGATTTCTTCTTCAGCCAATTCATTGCTTGACCAAACTGAAGACGTCTCGGTATTCAATTCTGTAGTTGTGTCTGTACTTTTCAAATCTAATTCAGTAGTATCTTCGTTTCCAATTTCTTTGTCCTTACTACTTTTCTCGCTGTCCTGAAATACTTCATTCTCAGTTAGATTCACGTTATCCAAAGAAGCTGAAGTGACTGTTGCTGAAGTAGTTGATTTCTTCAAGTGTCGATTACAGTACTTGCTAGAATGTTTGCCCAAAAGTTCACATTTATTCTTCCCCTTCTTCTTTTCTTCATTTTGGTCATCGGACAAAGTCGTCGCTATTGGTGTAGTGTCTACCAAAAATAAAGCATCAGGCTTTACAGGAACAGGATTCTCAATTACGGTACCATTCTTCTCGTTCTTCTTGCGAGGGTGCTTCCTTTTCTTCTTCCTCTTCTTAGACTTTTTTGACTCAACATCAGTGGAATTCTTACGTTTCTTCTGCGATCGCCGAATCTCCAAGTCATTCTCTTCAGGACGGATTGTACTATGTTCTTCTTCTGCTGCTTTTCGTTTCGTTTGCAATAGAGTGTTCAAAATTTTCAAAGAGTTACTTCCATTCTTGATATCTTGCTCATTCAAGTTCTTCAGTCTCCACATTTTTCTTGAATTTTCATCTTTCTCCGACGGTTCGGATCTCTTCAGCATTCGTTCATCGTGGTTCACAATGGAAGAATATGTCGCTGTGATGACGATAATCGTGATGAAACATCAAAGAGAGGATCACAACTTTTTTTTTTAATAAGAAAATAAGAAGACCATCTTGTTTCAATAGAGATAGAGAAGAAAGGAAGATGAAACAGAAGAATAAGTTCTTGTTCAGCTGGAGAATAGTACTTTGGATAAAGCTTTCTTGTAGTTCACATTTGCAAAATTTTCGACTACTGTTGAGACTGCTGTTACTACATGAAAATTAAATGGGTATAACAATTCCAATGCTGGAACCTAACCAGGAATTTAGTAGAGAACTAGCGAAATTAGCGTAGAACTCTCATCACGCAGCAACAGGTGTGTGCATTATTCAGACATTTCGCTTTCAGTATTAGCAAAGGTTTCATTGTTTCTTCGCTTCAGAACATTCCTCTCCAAGCCGCATCTCCAAACTACCATTCTTTCTGAACAAAATCATTCTTCTGTCTTCAACTTCATCCTGAAAACATCCTAAAACGACTGTGAAATTCTGACGAACCAACTGAAGAAGACATGAAGACAACCTTGATAGCTGCAATCCAATACAACCTTTACTTGGAGACAACTCTAGCTAAAGATAGCTATATCAGAAGATATCTAAAGATCTATCTGGTCAGAAGTGTGGCAGGTGTAAGTGTACTTGTGTGTATGTCTGCGTGGGTGAGGTGTGAATGACATAATTACCGCAGTCCCTCTCGTCAGAGCCATCAGAGCACTCCTCCACCCCGTTGCACTGCAACTCGTAACCGATGCACTGGCCGTCCGTGCAGCGAAACTTGGCTTCTCCGCAACCTGCTCCACACACCACACTCATGCACATTTAACCCTTTAATGGCCCAGTCAAACACAGGGCTGTATCATCACAACTGGCAAACATATCTTGCCTTTTACTTTCCTCGGCCTTAACGCACTTCTTCAAGAAGACTAGGTTGTGAAATGATTTGTTAGGGAATTTGATCGAATGAAATTATTCCGGGCTATTTGCAAAATATTAATTTTATCAACTGAAACTAAACAGGAGCAGTGATATGTGTTTTGCACGTTTTTGATGATCAGGCCCAGTTAAAGGGTTAATGGCATAGCGAAGTCGGCTTTTGATTAACCCCCGTTTTACAAACGCGGCTCCGTTTATAATTCCAAGCGTTCCCTTTGCCGCCATTCCTTTTCCCTGTTGCCGTGTGAAATCAGCCATAAGCCGTTCATCTCGCGTTCGTCAACGAAACCACGAAATCCTCTTGCTCGTTATTACGGCGAGTGATCAATGAAATGGTTCGTGATTCAACTAGCGATGGCCTCGAACCACCTTTCAAACGGTTTTGCGCAAAAAGCTTGTAAAATATCAAAGCGTCCCACAAATTCCTACAAAGTACTTTAACAACGATTTCTCTAAATGCTCTGATGCATTATTTTTCAATTCTTCCGCTGAAATTTTTGGGGAATCTGGGCGAGAACACTTAAGCCCAACACTACGAGGAATTGCAAAAATGATGGAACTGATCGGTTCGCTTTTTATCGAAGGTAAAATTCTGTCGAAGCGTAGCATGGCGGAAAATTGATCTCTGAGGATGGAGGAAAAAGCCGCTTCCAGTTGAAGAACGGTCAGCGTAAAATTGTGAATCAAACAGGCTGAAAACTGAATTCCAGCATGGTCTCCGTTCGTGGAAATTTTGTTCTTCGCAGAATAATAGGCGTTCGTTGGTTAGAAGAGAATAAATTAATGCGATCAAGCAATCAAATTCGTGAGCAAGTCACAGTCTTCATCTCACTACTGACCGATGCAATTCCAACGTCGAGTTTTTCAAGCTCAGAAACCGTAAATCAATTCTGTAAATTAAGGAAGTTGTAAATTAATTTAAATCGAAGAAGAAATTCGAGCGACATAAGTAAACATCAATGCAGAAGATTACCATGAGTGATTTATGAAATAGTAGAAAATGGAAGAGCTTCTTTACGACGTTGGAAAACATCTGTCAGTGTTTCAATGAGAAGTGCGACTCCGTTCAAATCAATTAGTCGCTCGTTACCGTCACAATCAGCGTTGACTTGTTGCATTTGCTATAAGCATGACTGACACTCAGTTTATCAGCGAAACTCTCCAAACCACGTTCCATTTGGATCCTCAGATTCTTCCTATTTCTTAGGAACGATTAAAGTTCCTTGTTCTTTAAGCGGAGGAGGAGTATCTTTTTACTTACCGCACTGGCTCTCATCTTCTCCGTTGCGACAGTCGATGTTTTGATTGCACCTTTTGTCGATGCTGATGCAGGTCCCGTCCAGACATCGGAACTGATCTCCACTGCAGGTAGTCACTGAAAAGATAATATAGATAATATAGATTATATTTTAAATTTACGTTTTTAAACGTCGCTTTAATACTTATACTGTTTGTGGTTTAAGGACACGAGGCCCTAATTAAATTAACCAGATCAGACAAACAAATATAACAAAATTAAATGTAGTGAAACAAAATGAAACAAAAAATACCGCTGCAATTGTATTCGTCCGACCGATCCCGACAATCTGACCGTCCATCGCATCTCGCAGCGAGGCTAACGCAACTTCCGTCAGAACACATGAATTCGTCCTGTCGGCATCGTGCTGTACATCGGAGAAAAAATAAAGATAGAAAATAATAGAATTTCGAAACGAAACAGCGAGGCGCAACTGATTGTACAATAGAATATAAGAAGCTATCGGATTAAGCTCTGTTCGATTGAAGTTCGAAACGAAATTCCTGATCAACTGATAGGTCGTTAGAGATGAAACGAACCGGGGACCATTCGTTTATCGGCCGATATCCGTTCACTAGGATAATTAGGCGGCGAATCGGATTATTCGCGCGGAGTTCCATTGCGCCTCGCCGTCGACGCGGAAACAAGGGAGATAAGAATCCTGGGGAAAACGAGCGACTCGAAACTCTCCCTGGACCAGGCGACCGTGCAATTAATTACTCGAGGAGCGTCCATAATCGGAGCCAGCGCTATATTCTTCGGTTGAATAGGCTCCCGTTCAAATCGGATGTCGCGTTTCTTTTTCTACTTGTTTACATATAGGTGTTCCTCTGACCAATGCTCGAAAAAATAATTAATAAAATTATGGAATTTTTTAACATTGAACTAATGCATGTACTTCGACAAGTCTAATTTATCAAGCAGAGGTTAGCGAAGGACCAACGCAATCAGCGGAGAAAGTAATTTTACACCTACGCACTTGTCCAGGAGTCGAGTCATTCGTTCACAGGCGTTTCGATCATCGTCGAACAGCTTCTCGCTTTCGGACACCACGTTAATTCGAAATGTACCGTCTTCGCAATGAAACATGTAATTTGTTGTACAAAGTTGCTACAATGAACCTTCTACGAAGGCGAAACATTTCAAAGTATCGTGGTTAACAGTTGGGGCGCTTAACACGAAGAGAATTTCATCTCTCGATCTGCCAATTTGAATGAAACATTGTACCATCAAAGACTGATTCATGACAAGAAAAATGGTATTTTTCATTTGTAAAGATTGGCCTCAGAGCACCCTCCACTTTGAGGCCAGTTTCACACCCTTAAAGAAAGGTAACACATGAATGAGATACACTTTCTCGCATCAATCTACAAAGTTTCAATCAAATTCGCAGTATTGTATCGCTTAAATTCGTCAGCTATGCAAACAGGTGTTAGGACTCTTGGTTAAAACGGTGTTCGTGAGCCACTTGCGAAATCAGACACGTTCATGCTTCTTTCTCATTCTCATGCTTTCACAGGCAACATATTGATGAACTTAGCGTTCTCTTTCCTCGAGAACCGCCGCTTAATTCGCAATGTATTATATTCGTACTCTTGTTCGGACAATTTTCCTCATCCTTCCCGTTGGTACAATCCATGATCCCATCGCAGTGTCTGTCTTTATCCACGCAAAACCCAGGTGTGCATTCTAACTGGTCTTCTCTGCAAACTGCAATAATTCATAGAATTCCATCTGATATAGGACCAAACATTTGTTTGATACCTCGTTGTTTTGCTCATCGTAGATTACAGAGTCGAGAGATGGCATATGAAGAAAGCTGCCACGACACATAATATAAAGAAGATGGCGCTTTGACGAAGACGTATAGGGACACATAAGGCAAAACACATAACATGATGGTGAAATATAAAGTAATGTAGACAGTAGATTTTAGCAAAGAATGATGATACTCTGTACTCCCTAGAATCTCCTTAACTTCCCTAAAGACCTTTGGTTCTCTTTAACTTCCATCAGAATTGAAGACGAAAGGACTCTATTCTACGTTTAAATTATCCTTAATTGTAGTCCTCTGACCTACAATTTAAGAGTTGACCACCAGGTCCATCCAGTATCTTTGTAAGATCTTTCTTCCGCAAGTAGGATGGTAAGAACCTTCGATTTCCCAAAGAGAAACGATAGGTGACTGAACGTCAGAGGTAGTTCGAACGTACGAAAAAGATCCAAGACAGGGAGGGAAAGTAGCGGGGTTAGAAAAGCAGACATAGAATTAATTAGTGGGCAGACAGGGGAGGAGCACGTGAAGCGAGCCACCGTTGGCCATTAATTAACACGCACCTGAGGAAATTTCGTGGAAGAGATTATAAATGAACAAGGAGTTACGAGGCTACGTGGCTCTAATTTACGGCGGCAATTAGCTAACGATCGAGGATGAACGACTCTTCGGACCGAGTGCACTCGAAAGAATGAAACGGAAGCCCCGTAACACTTGCCGTTTGCCAATGTCTGATGAAGATTCTTTGTGAAGAAAAAATAGGGAAACATCCCGAGTTCGACAGGCTGAGAGATTCGACGCGTTACGCTACATGCACTGGGTGCATAGAAGAATGTCTCGCGAAGAACGAAAATATTACGAGATAAAACTTTCGAATTCTGAAGAACAATGAAGACATGTTGTAGAGTGCCATCCTTCAATAATTTCTCTTATTGTAAATTAAAATATCGAGTTCCTTCTGGTAACCATTAAGTAAAAGATAAAAAGCTTTGCCGGTGCCCTCTGATCTGCCGGATTAATTCAGACTCTGTTAATGCGTTTTTCACGATCGCGTGCAAAGGTGTCGACGTTCAGAAAAAAATGTATATCGTATAAACGTGACTGTTTAATGGAAACACGGGACACGCTCGTAACGCTGAAGCTCCCGTGTAATTATTGCGCACGTGAGAATCGTGCTTCGCATGTCGAGCAACAAACGCGTGACGGTTGAACGAATTCGTTTAACGAGTCCAAAGGAGAAAATTGAAAAAGAATCCTTTTAAAAACCATTCCGCTTTGTCCTCATTAATTGCTCCCTGTCGTCTGTTAACCGCACATCGTCGCATGATACTTTTTGGCGCGAATAACCGGTACATAAACGCGTGTACGCAATCAGATCTGTCTTTGAGCTTCTTTCATGCTTGCAACTTAAAAGTGCCAGACCTTTTTCTCGCGTACTGTTTGAACGCGCGAGAGACTTTGAAAATTCGAAACAGAGGGCGAAGGAAACGAGATAAGATAAAAAATGGAACCAGAATTCGACTTGTCCGGCAGACAATGCGTTAACTGCGACAATACCTCAATTTTCGCGAGTGTGACACCGCGAAAAGTGGAATACATTGTTCGGTTTTGTCGATGACCTATTTTCTTTTTCGCACGTTCGGTTACCTCGATCTTATCGCGGTGATAACTTACGCGCGCATTTTTCGCGATACAGTTGTCACGTTCGTAAACAATATGCGAGTATTTGGTGGCGCTGAACAAACATGTATCACTGTTTTTGCATTAAGAGAGACATAACGCGTGATAATTCCATACGTATGGATTCTACACGTGCCTTAGGATCTACGCATCATCCTAATTTTTGTGGCAAAAATTAAGGCAAGTTATCGAGACACGTAGGTTCGTGATCACGTCTCCATAGAGGTCTACGTGAAAAAACGTCGAAATTAATTCGATTCCGTGAAAGCAACGAATCGAACGGAACGTGAGGCCACGGTCGTTCCCCGGCCTCACGAAATCCAGTTACGATTTAACGCGATTTGCCAACACCAAGTGGGTGTCCGCTCGCTCAGCGAATATCGCGACCTCGAAATTGGCAAACGTGCTCGCGAGAAAGCACGCGACGCGTGACACGCCTCGCCAACACACAAAGTTCAAACAGATTCTGCGACTTTCTGACATCATCTCAGGTTCAAGGCTCGTCTCGCCCGTTGCTGTTCCTTCGTAGAATTGCAAACATGCCTCACGATGGAATCCCGATAACCTCTCCTCATTCAACCACGAATTCACCGGTCTTTACACTTGCCAGTTGCATACAGGGTGGGACAAAAGTCTTCTTAATTCTGATAGATGAAGGGATTATCAGTTACAGAAGCTTGTAACTCTTTACATCTTTTATATGATTGCCTGTAAAATAGATTTTAAAATATCAAATTACTGACAGGTATTTTCCATGAAGGTATTTTATATGAGACAGACGAAAAATGATATTACCTATGTGTTAAGTATTTACAAAATGTCAAATTTTGTTTGAAAATAAAACGAAGAATTAATGGAATGCACAGAGCTTCAACTAACATTACCATCCTGCATTTTTTGCAAATTGTCAATAAACTTCATTAGCGGCATTAATACCGATGTCGCAAAAACGAGCAGCGCTCTCACAACCGAATTTAAGGCAGCTCCTGTTGCCGAACGAGATTTACTCGCGTTTATTAAGCCGCTCTAATAATCGGCTGCAATTTTAATCCGACGTTAATCTCCAAACCCAGCCGGGTTTGCTCGGCCCTTACGCGGGCTGCACCCTGGAATTTCGGCCGTTTTCATCGGTTTAATCCAATTCTGACTCATGATGGACCCTCTGTGAAACATGTGGACAGACGTGTCCGAGAGTTTTACGTTTCACAAAACTAATCGTACCAAATTTGGGAAAATTTGTAGCAATCAAAATATTGTCGACAGGAAAAGACATCCTAATCTCTGTCTAATAAGTGCTGTTAGTATTTCCCTCCGAAGCGAGAGCATTCCAGTAGCAGGAACCGGTTAATTTTCATCCGAATGTTTGACAAGGCAGAACCCAGTTTTCTCGGCGACACGGGCCAAAAATGAGGGGCAAAGTGTCGCTAAGGGGTGGTTAACCGTCGACGTGCAGCGTCAGAGCGTGCCTCTGCAAAAGGCGATGGAAATAATAAGGGGTTGGAAAGACAGGAAGACAGAGGGTAGCCGAGGAAGGGGCAACAAGTGCAATGGCCTGAAAACACTAGGCCAACCGCTCTCCCATCCCCTCGACTGACTCTCTTCTTTCTCTGATCACGCTATTGTTATTATTGTCACAGCTGTTGTAATTATTCAGCTCATCGTAATACCTGCTCGTTCACGATTAACTCCACCGTAGCCGCATGCAAACTTAATGATAGACAACGATAAAATCGGCCTATATGAGTCTTGTTTCTTGCTAGCCGACGCGAATTACTGTGCATGAGTATTGTGTCGAGGAATTCTTGCGTTGTACCATGACTGGTGATTAGGACGAGCAGTGATGTACATGTTGAGAGTCCAATTTTTGTATTATTTCAATGAAAATTAATGAAACGCCAAGGAGTGTGCAGGATCAATGTGAACTGAAACATTTGGTACATGAGATGAAAGCAATGTATGTTGTAATATGGCAAAGAATGTCTATGAAACAGTGTGAGTGTACCTTTCTGAGCTCAATGATTAAGGCTTGAGTAATTTTGCTAAATGATAGAATAGTACATGTTATGTATAAACTGTATGAAAGTGTGTTAATAATAGGCAATAACAAAGATTATACTTGTAAATTAAATGTACAATAGTTGTTGAATAATGTAGTTTCCCATATAGGTGAGCATGACTTTTTAGTTGACCCATTTACAGTGGTAACGGGCTCACAGCATTTTCAAATCATGGGCACTAATAAAATTTATAACAATAAAAGAAATTGTTCTTGTATTAGAATGTACATTTGCCCCAAAATATATGTTCCGAATGAATTAAATAATAATTGCTCAATGTTCATGCGGCTAGTATGGCCTTAGTATACGTATACCTATAGATTCACTGTGAATGGGTTAACAGTTCATAGATGTACTTGTATTTGATTTGTCTGAGACATGAGTGAGTCACACTCACTGCTATCTATGTGTGTGATCTACAATATAATTTAGCAGTTTAAGTTAACTTTAATATATTAAATTATTTGAACATTTAAAAGGTCATTAATTGCCATTTTCAACAAATAAATTCAACAGCAAAATAACCATAGAAATTTAACCATTGATGCAACAATTACGATTAATCGCAACGTGCAGAATTATTCACAAAAGCGAACGCGCAGCCCTTTCGAGGGATTAATTAAAAAAACAAAACACGCGACAGCTGACGTTTTTCGACAAAAAATATCGTAGGCTGCGGTCGTCAATTCAAAACTGTAGCGAACGACACGTGCAAACTGTCAACATGGATGCGTCATACATGCACATACACGCGCTCAAGCACACTGAAATTAAGAAAATCGATTACAAAACATGCAACGATAAAGAAATAATAACAACACAAGATTTTTTCAACTGGAAAACGCGTGCATTTTATGTACTTACGGCAGTTAACTTCGTCGCTATGGTCATAGCAATTCTTGACACCATCGCAATGTTCACTACTGTCGATACATTGGCCATTTCTGCATTTGAATTGCGTGGAGGTGCAAGCTGAACATAAAAAAGAATCGTGAAAATATTAAATTAAAATAATGCGAAATTGACGGAGAATTGCGTTGATAAATCACGTTATTTCTATATCAAACATTATAGCTTTTAGGTCATTCCATCCACTAAAATAAAGATCCAATTTTATTTAGTATTTTAAATTACATGTCAAGTATTTCTACGCTTGGATGAAGGCTAAAAGACTTGCTAACGATCCAATATACCAAATTTAACAGTTTCTAATTTCGACAAAAATCGAATATGGTAATAAATTCATTTGCTTAAAAGTTCTGACTTTATTTTGAATCGGTACAGAATTGGATAACGAGTTACTGCACTTGTCACGAAAACGCGCTTTTAAATTTAACCTATATTTACGAATTTAATTCGACGTTGTAAAATGATAGATTAATAGAATGCAGTAACTGCATAAATCTCGTAGTTTAGGTAAAATAAAGATGAAATATTTGCTCTTAAGAGTTTTGGTTTACAAAGAAGGGGTAGCACTCGAATTTCTATTCGATGCACGGCAAACAAATCCAATACTGCTTCACGATCGACGTTTAATATTCGTAGGGACAGATACGACAAGAAGAATCAGGTTTCAAAGACGAAATCGTATGCATCGGATCGATATCTTCTATAAACTTCTAGTATTTCTTAACCCGTTTATCGATTGATAAAACAGCGGGACATAGAACCGATAAAAGCATTTGTTTATAGCATTCCGTAATAAATTTTACCCAACCGTTCATCTTACCTAATCGCCCAACTCAACTGTGCTTATTTTCCAAGACTGACATTCATTTTTTCTGATTCCAACATCGATTTTGCACGTTTAGTTCTTGCTAATTCAACACTTAGTATTACGTCATTTTCGATTTTGGAAGATACCGGTGGCTCCTTGCTTAATGCGTGTCATTAATCAGAACTATTCATTAAGGCAGATTTCAAAGGACACGAAGTATATAAAATTGGTAACATAAAGAGTTTATACTCATAATTTTACTTTAACAATTCTTTAAAAAGAATTGAGAATATTCTGCATAACAATATCTTATGTATCGTTTTAATAAAGTGTTATCTTACACGTAAAACAAATTACGTAACAACGTTTGAATTTACCGCGCTAATCGATCAGTATATAAACAATCGAGAATTTGGCGGTTACAATTAGTTCGATCGAGTGATCGCGAGGAGAGGGTTCTGTACCAAAAAATGAAGTGCAAGGTACGTGTTTATAAGAAAACAAGCTAATACGTATATCGCTAAATACATTATAAAGGTAAAATGTTTTCCCCTGGATGTTTTTCAACAAACAACGAATGTTTCTAGAGTCAGTTAACCTGTATACAGCGATGCGCTATCAACTCTCGGATGGTTGTCAAAAGTGCTCGGAATTCGAAGGTATTGCATTTCAGATAAATACAAGCCACGAGTCGGTCCAATTTCATTTAAACCAACGCGGTGTGGCGGACATGTTTTGGACCGTTTCCACTTCTACGATACGAATCTGTTGGTCATGGTGTTGTTTCAGCAACTGGATCGACGGTGGGTCATCTCGTTTTCGCAATTATGTCATGTTCATTCGAGACAATCCGCTTTGGGTAACGTTACAGCGACTCGTATAAAATGCTCGGCGTCGCGTTTCGCTGGTCCAAATCATTTTCAACGTTCCCGCGCTCGATTTACAGTGATATTGTTACCGACCGATATTTACCTCTCGAGCGATCTATCGATTCTCGAGTATCCTTATTTGAAAAATCGAAATGGTCGACCGATATAACGGTTTTCTCTTTTGTAACTGTAAGTTTCGTTTAATTTTTGTATTCATTTGCAGGTGTAATTGAGGTTTAATTTTAAATGTGCACCAGAATTAACATTAACTTGGTTACTATATAATGGGAGAACATAATTATACCCTCTACATACTATCTTTTAATACGTAATATCAGATTCGGCGTTAATCAGGTATGTATAATTACAAGTTATTCCATTGTAAATCCTACTAATGTACTGTCTGCTAAATAGTAATTATTTAAATTATTATTATGAAAGTGTGTAAAATTATATACACAATTAGAATAATGAACTAAGGTATCTAAAATTAGATCAGAATAAATAAAAATTCTATTATTAACAAATTCATGAAAATGTAATTGTAGTGCATAAGACAGTTAAAAACTCTTCATTGCACATTCAAATTACGCTGATAATGAATGTGCAATGTTTGCATACTAATTTATTGTAATGTTAAGCTATTGAGGATCATGTTTGAATATCTGGTAACCAAATATTAGTTGTCAACAGGTTTACAAAGCGGCCCTTGGGATTTTCCTCTCTCATAGGCATGATTACCACAACACCATGCGGTTAGATGGGGTAAAGCAAGATCCATGGTAACACAGTTAGGGTTAAGGAGAGCTCCTGTTAGTCTTTATGGCGACACGTTTGTAAATGACGAACCAGCGTCAAGTGGGGTGATTGAATAGCAGTCTCCCGTATCACAAAGCATACCCGATTCCCCGTGGTCATCAAAATCTGATATCTAGTCCTTTCTACACTCTTACAGCCCCTATCTGCACTTCAGTTCGCTCTAACGCTATGGTTAAGTGCTCCAGCTGGAAGTCGTAGAATTTCAATGGTTTTGCAAACTTTGGAGATTGTTGATACAATACAGGAGGATTCTATTTTCGAATCTTTTGTGAGAACACGTAACAAGCGGAACGGAGGTTTAGCAGCGTGCAAGTCCGAACTCGCGACATGAAATTTCGGATAATCGAGTCGCATCGAAATGCGGCATTAACATCTTTATCGAAAACAAGGGAACAGAGTGCGGGTAAACCGCGCGAGAGTGAAATATTGAGGCGGCAGCTCGGGAACTAAGGTCGATGGAAAAGTTTGCATGGTTCTTTCGTTTTTTTCTCCCTCCACGAAGCTCTAAAGATGCATGAGAGCATGTCTCGCGGCCGGAAAAGCCCGCCCTCGCAGTGCAGCTTTTTACAGCCGCGATTCTCTCATCGCGCTCCTTCTCCTCCGACGTCACACTTCTCTCCTTTCCTTCGATCATCACTATTTAAAGCTCGAGAAGTTCGGGAAATCGCTCGCTCCACCACCTTGTAACCACTTTGACGGTAGCTTTATCGTCTGGCGTCTAAAAACGCGCAAATTGCTGGCCTTGAAACATCAAGATATCCTACGTCAGCTTTGACAGCTAATGATCACTGACTACCATTCACCTTGATCAAACTATGTTTTTTTTTCATCTTCTGCTCAGCACTGTTTCCCCATCTGTCTTCGTCAATTTGTACAGAGTGACAGGAAACTCATGAAATTATAGCGTTTGATGCTTAATTGATTATCCCTCGGACATTTTTCATCTCTTTCGACTGTTAATCCATCATAACGCCACGTTTCGTAACAGTCGTTTACAATGGTGTTTAAGATCGTGGACCAACTGAATGAAGGAGATCAATTACGGACCACGAGGAATACCTCCGAGCAATCTCGTTCCTTTTTCACTGACGGTGTTCACAGTTTTTCGACTGTCATAACGAGGACATTAGTATCGCGTGCAACAGCCCGTGCAACACTCAGCGCAGCTTGCGGAGCTTTTTCATCAAACGTCCAATACGAAGAAGCCGGCAACGATGTTCAAGGTATCAGAACGCGAATTAATTTACCATGCAAGCGCTTACGAGACTCCCTAATCTTCTGTTTCCTCCCTTATGAAAGATTTCTTTTTTAGGTGGATAATTATTCAAATATACTGACTGCACTTCTCTTGGATGGTAAAATTCTGAACTAAGCGATATCACGAGTGGACAGTATTAACAATAGGTTAGGTATAATTTTTGAGCGATACCAGAATAATTTAACGCCACCAATGCGTAGACACAACGCATGATAATGTAACGTACCTGTGCAACGCGACACGATTAACAATTGCACGGTCGAATAACGCAATACACACTCGAAAGATCGTGTCACATCTCTGAAACGAGAGGTTGGAAGCGTAACACGCGAGAAGGGGGATGGAAACACCATAGGGACTAAACTTTGCCCGCTAGCAGTCCATTAGAAGTGCACGGACGATTTAGCAGAGAGAGGCTTTGCTCGCTGCTTTCCTAGTCTGCCTTTTAGGTCCAGCAATTTGATGCTGCTTGCCTGTCATGCTAATATCCTAAGCTTTATATCGAGTCGAGTTTTTCCTTGCTTCTGATATATGTTTCCTGGTAAGGGTACCTGTGGGACGCGTCGTTGAACACTCTGCATATTACTTTTTATTGTATGTTACTAGACGATTTTTCTTCCGAGAAATCTTGTTGCGAAATTTTTCGTCTTTTGTACGAGATACAACGATACAAATTGTGCTTCTCTATTTTTCTTCTATCTTTAGTTGGCACATCTTTTATAGGGGTGAGTTCGAAGATAAAATTCTTGAGAAATATACTTTTTAAAAAGAAGGTACTTTGAAAAGAAGAACTCTTGCATAACAATTTATTTTTGTTTAAGATTATTTATAGGATTGATTCATTGATATAAATATGTTTCATGTATTGCAGGAAAAACACAATGAACAGTTTCCGGAAAAGAAGGAACAACGTTTTGCGAGTTTAAAAAAACTGCCTGGCACAGTAAACTATCCTCGTTCCAGAGAACACTCGCGTGATTTAACGGATAACGAGTTCGGGTTTGCTCGTCCTAATGAGACACGGAAACAGAAAGGGCGTGATTTCCCTTCGAGGAACAGGAAGAACCAATGCTGCTGTGCTTTTTTGAAAACTCATATCTAAGCTTTCTTATGGTATATCTTCAATCTTAAATTTTTTTCACAATGACTACATGCTTATGAATACTGTTACAAAATGGGTGATTCATCACTGAAGTAATGCATTGACGGGTCATTGTTTGCTGTAATTGGCAATTAGTCATTTTGTATTAACAATGTTAAATAGCTTGTGCAGTCATTTTTATTAAACCTTAAGCTTCAAATTGATATGTCATAAGCATTGTATGATATTTTTATGTCATCAAATTGCTTTTGATATTTTGAATTGTTGAAACATAACCTAAAATCACATTCAATAGATTTGCTAACCTATACAAGTATTTTTACCTAACCTAATATATCAATGATCTATCTATCTTATTATTTAAAAATGTAAGCAGAAATTGTCTTCTGCTAATGAGAGAATTTTTATTAAACCTTAAGCTTCAAATTGATATGTCTTAAGCATTGTATGATATTTTTATGTCATCAAATTGCTTTTGATATTTTGAATTGTTGAAACATAACCTAAAAACACATTCAATAGATTTGCTAACGTATACAAGTATTTTTACCTAACCTAATATATCAATCTATTTATCTTATATAAAAATGTAAGCAGAAATTGTCTTTTGCTAATGAGAGAATTTGAAGCAGGACAACAGTTTCATTGTTTAACATTACCATCACGCAAACAATAATCGTTACAGAAAAATGAGCATCGATTTGGTAAATGAATTTGCATGAAAAATCACCGTTCGATGGGTAACGAGCGTCCACTGAGTCAAGCAGATATATGAACGCGATATATAAAGTTATATTTCCCGTCATACACCGAGGGTGTGGGGGTGTAGAACGTGAGACCCAGTCTGTACACGCCAGGGATTCGACATATTTTAGTGGCCGATTTGCAATTTAAACGTTATAATTAATGACGTTCTGTCGCGAACCACGAACGTGCGGCGAAAAAATAATTTCGCGTGGACCGAGGGGATGATAATTGTTCGGATTCGGGGGTAGGAGACTAGTCAAAACGATTTCGTAAGACTTCCTGTTGCTCTAGCATTAATACGTTGAATATTGCGCTGAAAATTACCATAGATAACACAAATTATTTTATAATGGAAATTATCGAGAATATGGACGTTAAACTTTTTTATTTTTTATTTCCAGATAATGGTTCCTCGAATTCAACGGAGAATTGAAAGTGATTATTTTCACATTGAAATAATAATTATTTGCAACTACGGTCTCTCATTATATCGCCGTGAAAATGGAAAATTGTCGCAGTTGGACAAAAATGTTTCTTCACCTGCACGTATGACAAAATAACGAGTCACAATACAGTAATTCAAGGTTTTGGAATACCAAGTGCACGAATGACTTACGTAATACCTGATATGAAAGAGAAGTATTGTTAATCATTTCACGAGAAAGGCTATCAACGTTTATTAATGCAAACAGTCGATATAAAGCTAGATAGGGAGATTTTGGATAGAGATATCGCTAGATCGATGGAATCTCTTTTTCACGGTGAAATTAAAAGATTCAGGGAAGGCAAAGGTTGTCGAGTAGCTCGTCAGGGTCGGAAGTAGCGTTTTTCGAGGAGGGCCGCGAGCCATTTCGCGTTGGATTTCACGAGATAGCAATGATCCAAGCGTGGAAACGGGAATTATGCCGGGCTGAATCGCGATAAGCGACCGAGAGACGTACGTTTAATCGTGGTTATCGCGAAGTTTACGCATACAGGCTGGCGTAGATTACGCGGTTGATTTTGCACGCGCCAAGGACTAGATGTTTCACGCTCTAGAAATACACGCGGTGTTCCGTAATAAACTGGTTGAAAAAAAATTGTAAAGTCAAAAGTATGATGCACTCTTTCATCTATCTGAACTTCGTTAAATTAAATAAAGATTACATTTGAAGAATTTACGATCTATCAATCTCTGTTTTATCTTATCTTTATTTGCAGACGACATTAATACAATTTTTCTTCTGTTTTTAGGGAGATAAAATTCAGTTTCATGAAAGGAAAAGGGTTATTGAACGTGACAACAACAATGTATAGAAGATACCGTAACTTTCTAAGAAATGTAATACACAAAGACGTATTTGTCATTCGACGGAAAATTAATTGTGAACGAGTTATCGATTGCGGCTGTCGGTGCCAGGGGTTCATTGTGCACATGATTGAAGAGCCGCGGATTTATTTATCGATTTCGTCCCCTTGATTTCACCGTCTTTCTATTTTTATTGGGCACCTGCGTTCTCATATTCCATCTTTTATTCAAATACTTTTTTCATCGTAGTTATATAACGGAATCTTATTTTTACCCGGTAGATCGCCACGCGTTGTATCGGCACGACTCATCATTTCGCATTCTTCTGGTTTTTAACTACCGAAATTATTCTGGTTTCTAACCACTGAAAGTATTCGCGGTAGTTAAAAACTGATATCGAAATTATTTTAAAAGAACCGTTAGATCGATGTGTCTCTAATTCTGATAGCTTATCAGCCTTAAAATCGTTTGGGACAGTCATCGATATGGACCTCTGATGTAACGATGACGCCCAAGCGTAGTTTCGACAACGATCAACGGGTAGAACCGTACACAGCCTCTTTCCGCCCTCGAGTGTCGTAAATAACGTCCAGGTGAAACGAATTGTCGATAAATAAATGCTCGAGCCGTGGATACCGTGTGACACGCGTGGGTGGACAGCAGCAGCCAGCTTGGGGATCGTTATTTCATAACAGGTCACGCTATCGTTTGTTCACCGAGCGTTATATACACCTATGCTTCCTCCTCTTTCTCGTTTCGTTCCGTTTCGTCAAAGTGACGCGCGGTTTGTTCTTCACAAACGCAATTAGAATTCATCCAACCATCCTTCGTCTCTACCGTTTTCTACGATCTCAAACTTTTTCCAAAACTTCTCCGTCTATTTTTGATCTTGACTGCCAACATTTCGTTGGACGTTTTGACAACTTTATAAACTTTAATTTTGCATATGAAACTACTTGCTGGTTTATTTTAATCGGTACCATCGCTGAAGTATCTTAATTTTCAGGTCGGAATTGCTGGAGGTATTTGGAGGACACGAGGAGCTTCTAACGGATATCCCTTTATCAGAGACGACGGAATTTTTTCGCCTAAGCAGTTTATCCAAAGGTATCGCATTTTACTGCATCCGCAACAGATAGAGTGAAAGAAGGCACCGCTGTCTGGTTTCTCCCGCTGAACACGTCTGCACGATTTAAAACAATTTTAATACCGTTTCTGTAACTTGCTGTTTAAATCTGCTGGTACTCTTTTAAATCATTAAGTTTTTAATCTAATCTAACAATTAATAATTTTTTTAGAATGTTTTTGTAGTAACGTGAATTAGATGTCAGGATGTTTTAAGGGCTTGCAGCGTCTGAAAGTTTTAGCCTAGCTATACTGCCCTTTAAGGATCCATAGAATATTAATGCAAAAAGAGAGATGCCACCTGTCACTTTACAACCCTGCAAGTTTGTCACAAGTTATTTTCTAGCCGTCGTAACTAAACTTTCATCGCTTCTAACATTAACCTCGATAATGAATCTATTTGAGGAGGGAGGAGGTTGTGTACAGGAATATCGCTGACGATTCGATCAGAAAAATCAGATCGAAATCCGATGCGATACACACTTTTAGACACGATGAATTTTTTACGATGACCTCCTATTCCTCCGTTTTATTATTGGATATCCGTGTTCCCCGATGTCCTGCAATTTTTATTCGTCTAAATAATAGACGCTTTATCCGACCTTTACAAATGACCCTCGAATCAATACAAATTTTCCCCGATTCGATTTTCACAGCGATCGTATGCAGATCGCGCACGAGTTCGAATAATTGCCGGCAACAAGGCGTTAAAAACGCTTCCTGGAACGTGATGTTCCTCTGTGCGTTTGCTTTTTCGTTCGACAATGCACAGTTAATTACCGGTGTCGCATAACTTGGCGGTGCAATCATGCATTCCCTCGGTATGTGTTCGACTAAAAATACTACCTTGGTTTTCTTTCGTGAATGCCTAGAACATGTACACCAGCTGCACAGAGAGGCGAGAGAGCAAAGGGGATCGATTGGTGCTTACATGCATCGTCGGTTATGTCACGAATCGAGTGTCGCACGCGATGAGTTCATCGGCTACGACACTATCGAGGAGATGTATCGCGGGATGACATCACTTTTCCGTTCGTCCGATACTCGTTGCACATTTCATCTTTTTTGCTCATCGGGGAGATGAGTTAGAACCGCAGGAATCTACCACCTTTATTATGTACCTAACTCCTGATGCGCGATCGCAGCGAAAGGAAACCGCAGGAACGCGATTATTGGCAATCGTGTGAGTCACGTGCGCCAACTGATTTACTAGGGAGATTATACTCGTATAGCAAGAAACGGTAAATTCCTTTTTGGCATTCTATGGGGCAATTTCGACAAATTTTACTGCTTCGATATGGTTAATTTGCTGTTATTCCCTTCTCTGCAAATATTTCACAAATTTTTACTGGCGATATAACGACCGTCACAATTTAAGTGCTACACAATTTAATATTATATACAAGTTAATCGCTCGATTGTATGATTTATAGGTTAGTATTGACCGTGCTATGATACTATTGATGTTAACAAGTTACCGTCAAGCATTATATACATGTATATGTTATATCCACCCACGTGGTGTACCCACACGCTATATTATTACTTGTTATATCGCCACATTTTTTCTTCGTATTACTATTATCATCATTACTAGAACTAAAAAATAGTACCTAATCTACATAAAATCGTTCCAATACATTTTTGCTAATGTGCATAATTTGTTTCAGCAAACACTGAAAGAGTACAATGAAAGACAGCTAGAAATGGAGCGAGCATTTAGTAGGGTAATTGTTCATCACGCTTTTCCTTGGAAATGATTTGTCGCCTCTTGATTAGAGGATGGGTCGGGTTTCCTAGCAAACATCGACTGTGATGCCGTTTTCCGAGCAGAGACGTGGGAGACAGGCGTTAAGATTCTGTGTCAATATCGTGGAATATTCTAATTAATTTCATAGTCTGAGAGAGAAGCGTATCGACAGCGTACGTGTTAAACATTATTATTAGTAACGTTAGACGTTGCGGAGGAGGTGGCGAGTGAATCAGTTTCTTCCTCGAGTAATCGCCTCTCCGCCCTTCTGCGCTGACGATGATTGACGGGTTGACGGTTTGATTGCTACCTCAAACACAGGAAGCTCATGGGAATAGTAATTTTGTCGCGCGATTTCTTGGATTTTCACGCGGGTTGTTAGTCACAGCTATTTTGAGATTGGTTTCTTAATAAGAAGCAGATATATAAAATATAATATAATATTATCAGCGTATTTCCATAAAATTTAAAACTGTCTGATTCGTCCATTTTTAATTTAACCTCAGAAATCGATTTTCTATTACATATTTCAATCCTGGTTATTCGTTTTATTAGCCACCTACATTCTGTTATCTTTTCAGGTTCGTGGGTGTTGAGGAACCAGCAAAATTACAGTGAAGTGACCAAAGAAGTGGCTTTACGAAATGTACACGTGGGTCTAAATGGACCCGTACAATATCTCCTTGTACAGGGAAGTCTATTCGTTTCATAAATCTTCGAAATTCAGCTGTAAAATAATCCGGTTTGATATACGATTCGAAGATTTTAGAAAGCCTTTGTACAGTAAATCAATTTGAATAAAAATTACGTTTTAGGTTAGGTTTAAAAAGGCAAGGATAAACTCGAATGCTAGAATTACACATGACATTCTAGCACAGTCTACCGTTTGACTAGAGAAACACTTAACCCTTTGTCCTGGAAGGGCGACTCTCTATTTTGTCTAACGCAGTCATTCAAACGGCGCTCGAGGGTTAACTGCCAGAGAATCGTAGAGAGTGCTTTGCTCCCTGGATTGATCATTGACTCCAATTGTTGCCCGGAATTTGAATAAATCTGGAGCTGTAGCTTGTGCAGCTTGTAAAAAACATTTATTGCCATATGAATTTTGAAGAATTGCCTCGAATCGATGTATAGTTATTGAAGGATGCAACAGGTATCAGCTTCAAAACTGTTTATTAAAGTCTCTGGACATTCGTACGCGTAGAGGCGCAATTTAGAGAAGAAATATTCGTCTTAAACTTATAAAATTTCTCCCACTTTCGTAACAAAATTAGAAGCTTGACCTGACCTAACCTACAACTGATTTTCATAAAGAATTAAGATAGACGGTTATAATTTATCCGAAATGGGTTAACCGTGTTTACGATCGCATCACCGTTACCAACCATCATTTTGCTCATATTTTCTTCTCTAGCGCCGCGCGGCCAATCGCGGACGCGCCGGTGTATCTGTGCGACAATAAACTTCCAGACCGCAAATCGTTAACTTTACGGCTCGCCTCTAATTATTGTACTTTGTTTTCCGCTCTTTTTCATTTCTTTATTCTTCGCCGGTGACATCAGCACGAGCCGCTAATTCTTTCCGTTTGCCCGACAGCTCGACACCCACGGCCACGACGATGACGAGATCGACTTGAGCTGCCTTTTAATTAACGGATCGTGGGTGTTCCACGCGGCTCAATTCGCTAGAACGTGATACGAGGAAATCGTGAGGCCAGCTATTCAATTATGCATCGAGATCGCACCGGATAGAAGAATACATTTTTCAAGATTTCGGCAGAAACTTGGCAACACGCGTGATCCGAGTTCGTTACTCCGTTTACAAAGGGGATATCTGTTGCTTGGGATCTGGCCTTTGACTTCTTATTCCGGGTGTGAGCCACGTTGCCAACTGTTGAATTCCCTTTGGTACACGACGTTGCAGTTGTGGAGGTACCGCCATCGATTAACGATACGCCGTCAATATCGTATGCTCACCATGCTCAAATTTCATCCCCACGATATTTGATAACTTGGCAATTTGGGAACTTGAGGATACTTGGAAAAGTTGACAAATTTTGAAGTTAACTCGAATCTCTAAATTTGAAAATCTAATGCCTATATGGAGAACCATATTAAGAGAGGTTAGGTTAGCCCTCTTCAGCCCCGGTTACTTCACATGTCTGTACACTTAAAATAGTTACGCACAGTCTTTCTCAGGCTTACGTCAGTTATTCTAGAATTGGTACGTAAAAGTATGAGACTGTACTTGACGCTCTCTGATCACGTCGGGTTAACTTTCATTGAGCCTAGTCACGATTCGCGTATGCGCGCGTATCGCCTCGAGATTCCTTCAATTTTATCAATGAAATCATCTGACACGTTCTCCTCTTTCAGTATCGGAGTCACGTGGCTCCTTTATCACGATCTAATTGACACCTTGCGAACGACATTACTGGAATTCCTTTCTTTTTATTCCTCAAGAAATTTATGTCGTGCCTACTTGTGATTTATTAGCGGTTACCATTATTTGTTTCTATTTGATGACTGAGAGGAATTGCGAGCATGATTAATCGATTCACATTTGCAATTTGTATTGTTAAATAATGCAACACTTGTAGCGAAGATACTATGACAATAGAAATTATTCATCGTATCGTCTCACAATTGTTACACAATTTGTCTTTAGAGGTTATAAACACAATCTAATTTTATTATTTATTATTATCAATACAAGTCACAATTTGTCTCATAATTAATTAGTCGAAATAAAATGTACAATTTTATTGCTAATATGGTTCCTAACAAATTGTAACAGTACAAAGGAAAAGATATTGTATCTTTCAGCAGAATTCGAGCTCTAGAACGTTCAGATATAAAAGCAGTATTCTAACCTCTGCACGAATAACACATCTCATCTTATTTCTTTAATGACCATCACAATAATAGTTAATGCAATATTTGTAACACTTTCTTATTTTTCCAGGTCAAGGTCTCAAGAAATATTTGTAGACTCCCCAGGAGGCATTGAATGACCCTGGCATTACAGAAGCCTGCGGATCAATCGACAGATGAAGGACGAGGTCCGTTTATTCAACCACCATTTAACTGCGTTAATGATCGCTCGATCAGGTCCATAATCGCACTTACGCAAGGGTCACTCGTAATTGGCGTTGAAGATGGAAATTTAATTTGGAATGGCGCTGTTTATATGGCATTGAAATTCTAAGAAACGTGACATCACTTTGGAGAATCATTTTTCAAACTAAAGACAGAGGTATAAGTTGTACCTATCCATAAAATCTATCGTAGCAGACTTGTTTCGGACGTGCATTGTTCACTTGAGCGAGAAAAGTGTATAGCATTGTGAATACCGAAAGGGTGACTTGTAATCCGAAGTCACGGTCGTAAATCTCGATTGGCCAACGCACTGGATGAATTGTCACATTGTCAGTGATGTGACGGCTTCGGAGAATGATCATTTACAAAAGTTGCGTCACTGTAATCAACATATTCCCTTGCAGCGTTATCTGCTCATCGTTGAAGGTATATCGTTACTTGATATGGTTACACAAGTTACACCGGTGACTATCGCGATACGGTGCAACGAATTCTTTGGGAGTCACCGTCGGCTCGTTTCGATCTACCGGGTGGTGCAAAAGTCTCGACACCCTCGACTGAATCTCAGTGGAATCAAGTTCCAAGTGAAATTGAAATTAAAAAAAAAATTCAGTACAAGATAAATATCCTACACCATAACAGAAAATTCTCTTAGTTTAAAAATATCCATAGAATAATTAATAATGAAGTTATGGGCAAAATGAGAGTCTCAAGCGCCCTCTCTTATGAGAAAATAAACTACAATACAATAATGAAGTTATCTCCTACTTTAAGTAGAAGGTTCCAGAGGAAATTCGTCTCAGAATGATATTTTTAAGTGTCATCAAACGTCCCTGAGACCCGTGTAACGCGATTAAGTTACACTCGCGATTTCTAGCGTTTCATCGTGGTAAGAGCTTAATAAAATATTGAGCGCTGCATAAGCATCCATTTGCAGGGGCCGAGAAGAAGCGAGGATAAGCGTGGCTGAGAAATTCGGTGGACATTTTTGCGCGACGCTCACGGCGCCGAGAGTGCACACGACTATTATGCGCTCGAATCGCCGTGAACTCTAATCTCGTACCGCCTGGACGGAAGAACGTAACACCCACTCTGTTCATTTCGTGTGACGAACGTCTGGCTCTTTTCAGGATTACACTAGTCCTTGTAACGTTTCTAACTCGTTCGAGGACGAATTACTTCTTGAATGAATAATTTTATTTCTCTGCACTTTGTAGCATTCAGTGTCACGATCCTATACACATTTCTCACTCTGCTTTTCAATTTTGTAACGTTAGATACGTCACTTTTGAAGCAACTTATACGGGACAAATTCAAATAATGTATGAAGTATAATAAAAATATTGTTATAGGTTATGAAATGATGTGAAGGAAAGAATATAAGAATTGAGTTATGAATTTTTAAGTGTAAATATTTGAATTTGTTTTTGTAAGGGGTGTACCAATTTTGGGACACCCTGTACAAGGAAGAAACATCCCTAGTCTAGTTATAAATATACTTTCAGACAACGCGTTCTCGAGGCGAGTGTTTATGAGGCTCTCATCAGAGGAGCGGTAGATCAAGGAACGCAGTGAGGACGGTTTTCCTGAAACCTGGTTCATGGCACTCGTGTAATCTGGATTGCGAACACGGAAGCGGGAATCATGATCAGATAACGGCCTCGGGATGCCAGCAAGCTAAGCGGAAGTGCCGATGAGGAATGACGGGCGGCGCTACGGGACAAAGGAACGTTTTTGCGCGTCCAACCACGCGTGTAACCGTACGTTTCCCCCAATCATGCGTCAAAATTATAGAGGAACCAAACCATCGTTTAGAAATTCCCAGGAAGTCGTTAAAGGTTCAGATTATCTTTAAACTAGATATTTAATTTGGTAACGTAACCTCGATGGAAGTCCGCCATTTTGTCTTACTTTTGGCAAAGAGAAAATGGAGGACTTTGAATGTCAGGGAAGAAACATTTAAAGTCGTGATAGGAATAATAGTATATAGGTTTAATTTGGTAACATAGCCTCAATGGAAGTCCGCCATTTTGTTTTACTTCTGGCAAAGAGAAAATGGAGGACTTTGAATGTTAGGGAAGAAACATTTAGAGTTGTGATAGGAATGATAGTATATATTAATTTAGAGTTCACTTATTTTTTAAAAAGTAATCAAAGTTATTATAAATTTCATTGATCATGAATGTTCGCGGAAGACATCCTATATGTTACAAAACTACGAGTTACACGCTTTCACATCACGCTTTTAGGTGTAAAAGGTGTGGCTAATGAGTGTATGGCTGAAGAAACATTAATTCTGCTGCTACCCTTGTCACCGTGCTGGAAGACGACAAACGAAAATGACTAAAACAATGTACAGAAATTAAAGGGAAGGCCAATGCACTCGCAAGGATGTTAAGAAGAGAATCGACAGTTCCGGATGAAAGATTGAAAGCTCTGAGCGGAACAGATGTCGCCATTGTAGATCGACTGCATCACGTCGGAAACATCTTAACCTAGACGCGTGCACACACCTACGATAAAGCTGTTACAATATGCATTAGAACGCCGTTACATGCCAAGGTGAACGCGAACGAATAATTTATTGTTCCATCGGTGTGGAACTCTCTCGTTTCTAGACTAAGCATTTCCATTGTAGCGTATATTAGTTTCACGGTTATCTTTTCTTTTATCCTTCAATTTGTCTGTCAAACTCGTTCTCAAAAATATCGATCTAAAGAGATGGAAGCCCAAACGTAACCGACCGGGGAACCTTATTCTTGCAGTTTATTTTAGCAAAGCCGTTATTTGAACTATATAGTTTTTGTGCGATTGATTGAAACATTTAAAGCATTTTAGTGGTAAAATATTTACGTCGACCTACATTTCTAGATCCTGTCAAATTCGTTTTTTCTTCCGAATGAAAATGTCCTTCATATATAGCTGTTACGTATTCACACGTCATCAAAGATTCATAACAGACCTTCGTTTCGAATTTGATTGATTTTATTTGCGGGTTTTATCTGATTCGCCCGCGTAAATATTGATCGTGGCTGATTATAGATATCCTTTCACTAAATAGTCCAAATGAGAGCGAAAAGTCTACTTTCTCTATCGTCACGCAACTAGGCTAGGTACAGCTCCTTAACCTCTTCAAGGACACCACGCATGTTTAGATTTCTAGCAAGTGTATAAGGAATGGCCACACATGCGTCATTTCTTGTACATTATTAATGCCTTTGGAAGTTCTTGAAGCAAGAAGAAACCAGTTGCAATTAACCAGATCTCTAGTGAACCTCTTCAGGGAGCTAATGATCAATAGAGCATTCTTCGTCGGCAGGCTAGAAAGCCGCGAAGAAGACACTCATGGAGGTCGACTGGCCTCGTAAATATCGCAATTCAAAGCATAGCACGCGGATTCCGTCGCGGGGAAGAGGTCGATGATACCCGCGACAAGAGGCGGTTGCTCACGCAGCCGGAGACTCTTCGTGTCCTCTAGTGGCAATTTAAAATCGCTTAACGAGCGCATCGCTGACGATATTCGGGTCAAATTTGCGGTTCGAGTGACTCGATATTTTGATCGATACGTCACGCTGCCGGTTGTCGAGCTTTGAACCGACCTACCTTGAAATCTCTCTACAGCTGTTTTGTCAAATGGACTCTTCATCTTGATGCCTTTCGACAATCAACCCCAGTTCAAAGAATGGGTTTTAAACGCTCTCTTTGATGAACATCTACAGGCTTTTTCACGACAAATGACATACTAAACTTGAAGAATTATTTGTGGAAAGAACGCCACGTGGAACATCGTCAATTTAATATCACATAATTAAATCTTGGAATCCCTGTTTCGTTTCCTTCGATCGTCAGGACAAAACAGGGCCAAGAGAAAGAACGAAATTCGATGGAAGGAATGCGGCAGCCTACTACGTGTGTTCGTCGAAAAACGTGTTTACCGTGGGGGCGGCGAAAGTCGGATAGAAAATCTAATAATTCTACAATAGATCAAATATCTCCGCCGAGGAAAACATTGTTGCTACCTGCAGGCTGTATTTCTTCTCTTCATTCTTTTCTTCTTGATATTTCATGAGAAGCGAGTTAGGTTAGGTCAATTGATGTTTCGACACTACTTTATTTTTTGAGGTTAGATCTGAATAAGATTTAGGTTAGTTTGCTTGTAATGTAAGGTTAGGCTGTTTTAGATCAGGTCAGGTTAGTTAAGCTACAATGTTATGATTTATTTTGAACATGTAAGATAGTCAATTTCATTTTTTAGGTGCTTCATATTTTAGGTTATGATTTGTGATTATTTTCATATAAACACGATGCCTTAATACTTTTTCCTTTTTCAGATAAATGGACTCTTCAGCTAGTACTCTTGAAAACATTGAAAAGAGGGGAAGTCATCGATAAAAGAGATATCAGATAAATCCTGTGGGTTCAGGAAGCCATGATCTTGCAGTGGACCGGAAAAGGTACGCCATAAGCATCCCACACTTCCGTGTACCCTTCAAAGCCACGAGCCACTAATCATTAACAGCATCTGCCTCGATGAAATCGATATGTTTTCAAACACCATTGATTTATACGATTCAGGAATCTCGAGGAAGAGGTTCCAAGAAACGCAAACTTCTCGGACGAGATTCCGAGCTTGTTTCGCCCCGTTCCACGCGGATGCTTTCGTCGCGAAACAATTCGTTCTTATCGGGTCGAAAACAATACGGTGCTCGATGAAACGTCTGCGACGGATATGCAAGCGAAATGGAAGACGCCCGATTGCTTCTTGCAAACTTAAATCGTTTTTAGTCTCGTTAAAGAATCCCAGTACCGCACTTGACGTTGACAGAACCCGGTACTCAAACTTCCAAATTTTCAAGTGAAATATTCTTAATTTACACTTTTCTTAATTAACCCTTTCTTAAAATTTTCAAATTCGCCAGAAGCTCTTACTATATTGTCATTTATAAAATCTAGCGAGAGTCAATCGTACTTATCGGTGTCCATTATTGATCCAACAGCATCGAACAGTATCTAAAGTCATGTCAATTTTTCCAGGAGAGAACTAGCGATCCTGATTCGAGTCACCTGTCTTCCTGCAGAACGGAACAACGAACTTTTCAACGCCATCACCGAAAACTGATACAGAAGTCGTCAAAGAGTATTGGGAAAATACGGTAACTCGCTCAATACAGTTCAGGACAAGAATATCCAGTATTTTGTATCGACGTTAGTAACTGAAATAACTAACGAAATTCGGGTCAGGGAAAAGTTGTGCACTATTATTTTTAACCTAATGTAGAAGTCTTGTATGCTGGTTAATGGAACTTGACAATTATTGTCTTTATGCAAAGTACACGTGTATGGAAATATTGTAATAACTACATAGTATGTTATATGATGAGCACAGTGTTAGTGATGGGTATAAACACTTTGTTTTAAATATAGGTTAGGTTTGAACTGTAATAAGAATAGGTGGAAGTTAAGGATATGAAACTTGACAATTATTGTCTTTATGCAACGTACACGTGTATGGAAATATTGTAATAACTACATAGTATGTTATATGATGAGCACAGTGTTAGTGATGGGTATAAACACTTTGTTTTAAATATAGGTTAGGTTTGAACTGTAATAAGAATAGATGGAAGTTAAGGATATGAAACTTGACAATTATTGTCTTTATGCAAAGTACTCGTGTATGAAAATATTGTAATAACTACACAGTGTGTTATATGATGATGTGTTAGTGATGGGTATAAACGAACTTTGTTTTAAATATAAGTTTGAACTGAAATCAGAATTAACACGGATGTGACTACGCGAAGTCGGAGAAGTTCCTCATCAGATACGAGCTAAATATGCTAAGTGAAGTTAGGTAACTATCAATCGTTTCTGAAATGTGTGTGTTACACAATTGGATCTGAATCAAGGTCAGCGATTACTGTAGACATCTATCTCAATCGTTTTTAATCGAGATGACATGGACCTTAATTCGTCTTTGAATTACACCAGGAAATTAGCCCTAAAATTGTGGATGGATTCTTTACATAAGAAATTAACTTGAAAGTGAAGGTTAAAAGGTTTGTTCGATTCAAGAGTAGCGTTCAGGTGAATAGAAACAACATGTATATCCGAACAAAGCAGTTCTCACCCCAAAAGTGTAAACGTCCCAACGAGGGTCGGGGTCAAGCTAAATTAAGCGACCAAAAGACATTCTCCACCGAGCGAAAGAATAAATCTCGCGGAACCCGGAGAAATATTCAAGGATTCGGACCATAATCGCACCATGACGGAGTAATTAAATCCTTCGTCGATTCGTTCGTCCGTGCAATATGCATGAGCAGATTTTTCGCCCCCCTCCGCCCCTTTATACCGTTGGTAAGAAAGGGAACGACCACAAAGAAAGAATAAATTCCACCTTACGAATAATCTCGCCAAGAATTTTCACGGTATTTCAAATGTAAACCTCTGAGCTACGATGGAGAGGAATTTCTTCATCCCCCATCCCTTAACTCCCTCTTAATCTTTCGTTTTGCTCTTAATCGAGTCAGTTAATTGCGTGCTGACAATTCGTTGCACAATACAAATTTACGTTTGTCCAATCGACTGCATTGCAATCATTCGTGTATAGGGTGGCAAGTCTTCTGCATTACGCAAATTTACCAACAAATCGTTTAGAGGATTGATCAAAGATATTCCGCAATATTTTTTACGACCCGAGCATCAAGGAATTTAATGAACACGTTCCCGGATAGTCTTTTCGCTGGCCGACGATCAGGAACGATTTAATCGGTGAACATTAAAAGCAACCCCCGTCCCTTTTACTGGAATTTAAAAAATTTATGAGCCAGTAAAAACAGTCATACGGCGATAATTATTCTGGGAGATTTACACAGATTCAAGCAGACTAAAAACAATAAAAAATTGACCATCAAAAGTTCTCTAGGAAAACTGTCAGAAAAATTTGTGTAGAATTCCTAAAATTTTTTAAGAGCAGGGTGGAATTTGCGTTCTCCAAAATGGCGGGAAAAATACATACAGGGACAAAGAGAGCTCGGTACGGGTTAGGTTAGTATTATGTTGTACACTGAGTCCACGTATTCAAAAGAAGTTGCTCGATTTTTATCGCTTGCCAAAAATCTTTTCGCGCGCAACGAGAATACGCTATCGGTAGGGGATGATTCACGCACACAGAGAACGTTCATCTGGAAAGAGACGTAACGAAAGGCCGTGTACATGGGAAGCAACGGTCGGCACGATTGTTTCATCCCGAGAATGATATTCACGGGCCGCCACACCGAGCCGCGTAAAAGGACCCCGGAGCTTCCAACAGCTTCTCTCTGCCGTCTCTTTCTGTCTCCTCCCCCGGACCTCTCTCGCATTTGCCCGCGTTCTCCCGTATTTTTTAGCAAGAGAAATAGCATAAGGTTTACCCTGAAAATACATCGTGGCTCCGGCATCATGCAATTAAACGTGAGTACGTCGGAGCGCGAGAAAAGGGTGGGAAAAACGAGCAAAAAAGGCTTCTGGTATAGAGAGGAGGATGCTGATAAGGTTGCGGAAAATATCTGTTGTCGTGATAAATCACCTCAAATTGTCCTTGGTTTGTTCGTGACGATATGCAACTCTTCTATGTAGATGTTACTGATGTTAATTTTCTGCGCCTGTTAGAACTGATTGTCTGTGCAGTTTTTTGAGCGAGTTTACTGTAAATTGATTCTAGGAGTAATGTTGATTAGACTTGTAAGATTTAAAGATCTCTACGATAATTATATTGTTAAAGATGTTAATGTTATTGCTATAAAGATGTATATTATAAAGATATATATTATAAAATTGTATATGTTTGTAGGTGTTATGTGAGATTGGATGGATCAAGTTTGCTGAGGTTTGGACTGAATGAAGTTTGGATTGCATTTAACCTACACCTCACTGAGCAAGATGGTGGATAGCTAAAGAAGTTAGAAGAGTATATTTAAATTAGATCTAAGTCAAGGTTAGATTGTAACTGATTTTTAAATATTATAAAGGTGTATATTATAAAGATATGTATTATAAAATTGTATATGTTTGTAGATATTATGTGAGATTGGATGGATCAAGTTTGCTGAGGTTTGGACTGAATGAAGTTTGGATTGCATTTAACCTACACCTCACTGAGCAAGATGGTGGATAGCTAAAGAAGTTAGAAGAGTATATTTAAATTAGATCTAAGTCAAGGTTAGATTGTAACTAATTTTTAAATATTATAAAGATATATATTATAAAATTGTATATGTTTGTAGATATTATGTGAGATTGGATGGATCAAGTTTGCTGAGGTTTGGACTGAATGAAGTTTATATTGTATTTAACCTACACCTCACTGAGCAAGATGGTGGATAGCTAAAGAAGTTAGAAGAGTATATTTAAATTAGATCTAAGTCAAGGTTAGATTGTAGCTGATGTTTAAAACAACCCTGCGACATGATCATTAAAACTTCTGATCTAATCAATGCTAAAGTTACAGCATGGTATCAAATTATTAAATACCATTTTTTAACCAAGTTTACATCAAAGATCAGTCCAAATCAGTTGAATCTAATAGCGATGATCGAATCAGGTTTGCAAGTGATGTGCATTAACGTTCGTTTTTAACGTACAAAGCATAAAATAGAAAAGCGATTTTTTCATCGGAAAATGTAGCCGTTCCGAATGGTGGTGCAATCGATAATGTCACCTTCGAGTGCTCTTCGTTAAAGTGGAGCATAATGTAACAACGACACGAGGCGCGCGATACCGGCGTTCTCGCGCGTTTAAGATCGAATTTAAGCGGAAAATCTCCCCGCGGAGTTAACCTCGACGTGAAAACAATCGTCGAAAACGATTCAACCGACACACGCGTAGAAATTTGACGCGGTGGAACGCGCTGCATCGCGGGTAATTGTTTCGCGTCGACGCGAGACTTACATTGAAATTCATTTGAAAATAAACACCCGCGATTTGCCGAGCACCGTTGAATCGATCCATCCCTCGAGTTTATTTCGAAAACAACGAAACTCGATTCTTTTTTTGCTCGAAATAAAAACGAACGGCACTTTGGGCCAACGAATTTAAAATATTGATCATGCGCGGCTCAAGATTCGGAAATAAACGTTTCTAATTCTTGCTCTTCTGTTTAGAGAGTGCCGGGAGTTTTAGAGGTGCCGCAGTTGACCCCCCTAATGCATGGAAAAAAAGGAAACGTGTTCAACAGGTGTACGAATTTGATATTTACCTCTGTTTCGTTGGCGATACGGTCTTCTCTGCCTCTGGCCAAGACTCGACTGGGTCACAGCCAACAACAGCAAAAGGATCACGAGGAATCTCCTCGCGGGATGTCCCATCTCACTTCCGACTATCGTTCACTGGCGTCTCATTTGCCACGCTCGATTTTCGTGTACGAAAATCCCCCTGTCTCTCTCAATTGCCGTTAGCGGACAATAGAGCGATCCTTTCCAGCTAGATTGCATCAGTCGCACGGGTTAATCGAAAAGATTCTACGGACAAGAATATCGAACACCTTCCCCGAGATTGGAGTGTCTTGATTTCAACGAAAACGACCAAAATAATGAAACTGACTACTTCATATGGAAGAAACCTACATCAGTGAATGAAGTGCTAGGCAATATAGACATAACGAGTATCATAAAATAGGTTAAACAATGGTGACATAGATTGTACATGTAAAAACGTAACGATGACTCCTTCGCCGTTTCGCGATACGATGATTCGTTCTTGAGATATAAGCGATTAAAGATTAGACACTCGACTTCCGGAGTGTCTCGGCTGAGAAAATGGCGGCTGTGTCACGTGACGGTACCAGCAGCCCGGAAGTCGATCTTTAATTGATGGTATCACAGAGCAGGCTATGAAAAAAAGGTTCAGGACTTTTCGATTCGTTTTGAAAGAATCTATTAGCTACAGGAGAAACTCCTTGTCTGTCAATAATTCTTTATATCTTTCTGCGGTACATATAAGTTTAAAGAAACGACCGAAGGAGAATTTGGATTACAGAGCATAATTTCGATTAATTATTTTTTAGTCCTGTAGAGACGATCGCTATTAGAAAGAGCCGGTGTTAAACGGTTGAACGCGAACAGCTTCTCGTTAGTTACACGACATCCATATATATATTTTTTCCTCTGTTTTTTCCATCCGTACCCCTCTGCATCTTAACCGAGCGACAATTCGGTTTTTGTTCCACGGGATTACGAGGCCACAGGGGTGTCGGAAAGAGAGGGCGAAGAGGAAGGGGTAGGAAAAAGGCAAGGAAATTGTGCACCGTGCAAGCACAATGCTCGGCCACGGCGACAACGCGCTGTGTTTTTCAATTATTTTTAATTATTTTCTGAAAGCCGCGGTAGAACCGCGCGTTTGATGCACACCACGCGGTTTCCCCTCCGTTTCAGCCATCGCTTTTTTTTTTCTTTCCACCCTATATCGATCTATCCATCTCACTTTTGCACCGACGGACTTTTACTCTCCCCGAAGCGAGCCACGTCGACGTCCAATTTAAAAATGTCCACCTCTGTGGCTGGGTGTCATTGCGACGACACCGACAAAGAATCTGGACTCGGATTCGAAAAACACCGCGCTTTCAATTCTGCATTTGCCAAAGCACGATGGTCTAGCCTAAGTGAAAACTATGGCGCGCAAATTTTCGATGGGTACTTCACCAACATTTTGTTAACCTTTTGATCTACGATTGCTTTTTTTCATTTAACTTCGTTTAATCACATGAGATTAACATTGTATGACGTAGACTTTTGACGTAATGTTTATTATGACGCAATATTTTATTACAAAATATTAATTTAATTTAATTTCAGGGAAAGAAAATGAATGGAGAATTAATTTGAGTGATCCTGCGCACTGATCCTGAACATGGGGATATAAATGATTTAATATGTACGTATACATCTTAATAAATTATTCATGCAATGTATTATTGAATTAATAACAATGTAGCTATGTGTCACTGTTATCAGCTGCAGTATATATCTCAAATAATTACATGGATTATCAACTTTTAGTTGAAAATTGATTATCCGTACAGAATATTCTGAACTATTTCAATAATACTTTGTTAAAATAACAACTAATTTGATTAATTATCTGAGACTCGAAATTCAAAATCATAAAGCAAAAGGTTAACAATTTAATGAGGTTAATAATTTTATGTTTTATCATTGAATTTTTTTAAACAAAATTATGATTTCACTTTGATTAGGTGCTCTGTATTCTTGCCATTGAAACGACTCATCGATGACTGGCGCCTCGAAAATAATATAATCGAATAAACATGACTGCCACAGCGAAAATGGACATATGTAATAAGACACAGCAAGCTTCTATATTGCAAGCCTCCAGAATTGGTGATGTAACAAAAGTCTGCTACATTGAAATGTTAAGGACATAATTAAATTAAATTAAGGACATAATTAAAATTACTAATATTTTCATTTGAAATTATTATTAATATAGCATTATTATTCATAATATTTTCCATTATGTTTCAGATGTCGTGATCTCCAAGGCAACGAGTAAACAAATCCAGAACCAATTATAAAATTGCCTGTGCACATTTTAAGAAACAATTAGATTTAATCTTACTTCATATGTCCTCACTGCAGACAATGATGTCTCACGTTTCAAATAATCAAAATAAACGAAATCACTGAAATCGTTTCAGTCGCGAAAAGAGAGCAAGAGTGTCACTGCACTTACTAAAAGCATCGAATGAAAACTGGAATCGATTCTATGAAACATTTATCTTCTAGCTATTTCTATCTTTAACAAAATAAAAGGCACAGCCTCAAGCAATATTTTCCGTGTCATCCAAAATTAAACCGAGACTGATACCACGTGTTTAAACAATCACGGATCAACCGGTTGGAAGATGAAAGAAAAAGAATTTTGAAGATCTCAAGACACTCCACGTTGAAAAAAAAATGTAGAAGAGTGATAAATCTTACGATCCTCGAAGAAGGTGTTCCTTCGCGAGCGGAATATTTCGAGTCGGACGGCGGACGAAATTCAATGGTAGCCGGTGTAACGGAACGAGAAAAAGAAACGGACGTGTGCGAACCGATGAACAGAGAGCTCGAAGAAGTAGATACCGCGTTGCCCGAGCCTGACAGACTGGCAAACTAGTAGTCACCATGAACCGAACGAAGAACAGGCCACCCCACCTCCTCCGCTGTCAACAAGGGAAGCGTGGGAGGCACTAAGCTACTTTAAATTTTTTTTCTTCCTTCCTTGCGTTAACTTATCGATGAAATGTGTTTCTCTTTATGTCTATTTGAATATTTCGATTATTTCGATCGCTTCGATAAGCTAATTTGTAAATTTCCTTCTTGGAGATTTAACTGCGAGATAAATTTGTGGCGCCAAGGATGTTTGGATCTCTTGCATTTGAATTAGGATACGTCAGGACAACTAGGGATCTCTAAAAATGTTTGGAAACTTTATATTATCTTCTGCTCAAAGATTTTAATTTTGCAATGAGATAATTCATGAGGCAATTAGGGATTAGTTTTTAGGGATTAGCTAGGATAAGCTTTTTAGGTTAGGTTTGGTATTGAAGGACCTCTCTATTGTTACATAGAAAACATATTACATACATTACATCCATGTAAAAATTAACTTCATTCAAAATGAAGTAATTTAACATAACTGATATACTAAATTTGATTTAGAGTAGCTATAAGAAGTTCTAGGAAAGAACACCTTCGGCCTGTTTCTTAGAGACTTCAACGTCGCCATGAAACGTATCTCTTCCAATACTTGGAACATCTGAACATTTAATTAAGTTGCGACTAGGTTTGGCTAAGCTCAGTGTTAAAAGAGGATAATAAGATCGTGACTCAAGTTACATTACTTCATCGCCTATTATAACATGTTCGAGTTTTTTTTCTATCAAGATTCGTCTTAATTACTTAACCTGATGTTCCAGGAGCAATTCCACTTTTTAATTGAAACCACCTTGCACTTCTTTCATTCGAGCACATTCAGCAACTTCTCTTCTAAAAATCTTACCACCAGTTTCCTCGAATATCCCCCTGTTTTCTTCCTGCACGAAACATCTAGAAATAGATGCCTTTGTTCGCTATTATTTGAGCCTTCAATGTCTTCATCGGACTGTCAAATTATGCTTAGAAATGTAGAAGCTATATCGAGATCCTTTCACAATTTCTATACAAGCTTATTCAACGTGCGATCTAATTCGAGTCTCTGTCTAAAACTTTTCCTTAACGAAGACCCTTGTATTGTCACTTTTGTACGAGTTTATTCTAATAATAGCATGTTACACGTTTCATAATCACGTGTTAAATTACTTTATAGCTAAGTGCAACTCAATGTATCGTAAAACAACGTACAACTCAATGTTCTCAGCGTATTGTTAATTCAACAAGCAGTGACTCAACGCGTCGTTAATTCAGTAACTGATTTAACGCGCTGTGACTGCGCTAGTGACTGACCGTGTCGTTAACTCAACCAGATGTAATTTGACACGATGCGGTTGATTATTTTAGTGTAACTTGATACTCTGTTAACTTGACGCTGTGACTAACCGTGTCGTTAACTCAACCAGATGTAATTTGATGCGATGCGGTTGATTATTTTAGTGTAACTTGATACTCTGTTAACTTGACGCTGTGACTAACCGTGTCGTTAACTCAACCAGATGTAATTTGATGCGATGCGGTTGATTATTTTAGTGTAACTTGATACTCTGTTAACTTGACGCTGTGACTAACCGTGTCGTTAACTCAACCAGATGTAATTTGATGCGATGCGGTTGATTATTTTAGTGTAACTTGATACTCTGTTAACTTGACGCTGTGACTAACCGTGTCGTTAACTCAACCAGATGTAATTTGATGCGATGCGGTTGATTATTTTAGTGTAACTTGATACTCTGTTAACTTGACGCTGTGACTAACCGTGTCGTTAACTCAACCAGATGTAATTTGATGCGATGCGGTTGATTATTTTAGTGTAACTTGATACTCTGTTAACTTGACGCTGTGACTAACCGTGTCGTTAACTCAACCAGTTGTAATTTGACACGATGCGGTTGATTATTTTAGTGTAACTCGATACGCTGTTAACTGAACGCCGTGACTATCCGTGTCGTTAACTCAACCAGATGTAATTTGACACAATGCGGTTGATTATTTTAGTAATGCGATGTAACTGACTATGTAACTTAATATGCTGTTAACTCAACGACTGATTACGTTGATAGCTCAATGTGCTGTAACTCATGTTAGTAGTGTGTCGTTAACTGAACTGTTAACTTAATACTGTGACTGCGTTGACAACTGTGTATGATGTACAACTCTATGTACAGTCTGACTTTGTTAACTTAATACTGTGACTGCGTTGACAACTCTGTGTGTGATGTACAGCTCTATGTACAATCTGACTTTGTTAACTTAGTACTGTGACTGCGTTGACAACTCTGTGTGTGATGTACAAGTCTATGTACAATCTGACTTTGTTAACTTAGTACTGTGACTGTGTTGACAACTCTGTGTGTGATGTACAACTCTATGTACAATCTGACTTTGTTAACTTAATACTGTGACTGCGTTGACAACTCTGTGTATGATGTACAATCTGACTATGTATCATCAACATATTTTTTAGTATAATATCAGAGCAGAAAAGTAACGTCGCTAAATTCCAGAACCCGTTAGCGGCAATATAACGACAGTCTGCACTCAAGTTACAATAAATAGCCGTTCCGTTACAGTATTAGAGAACCGTAAAGAACGAAGATAATCTTATTACACAAAGTTGCAGGAATGGACCTCGTGAATGATCGACGAGCGATCCAGAGGCTTAACTTCCGACTGATGCACCGGTGGAGAAAGCGGCGAGAATTTGTGAACGGCCGACAGTTTCGAAAGATTTACAGATCGGTCGTGAGCAGCCAATGCTTCGGGGAGATTGGGCGAAGAGGAGCCTCGTTCTGGTACGCCCCCGCGGAACTTGTAACGCGACACCAGTTATGAATAGAGCGATCAACTAAGGGAGAAAAAGAGGAGGAAGAAACAAATCGAGAGATCAACGCATTACCATTCTTCTGATAGACAGATTTATGCCTAGATTTATTAACTTAAATTCTAATGCGATGCTATATCTTCGGATTTACAATTCATCCGTACACAATGTCATTTAGTTTATAAAATATGTAATTGTACGAGGTATATGTAAGAGGTTTCTTTGTAAGTAGAGGTACAAAGAGGTGTAGGGATTTTGGGGATACAGAGATGTGGAATGTAGGAATATGAGGACATGGGAATTTAGGATATAGCAATTTAAGAATTGTAGATGTATAATTAAAGGAAGGGATTTTTTTCATTACAGTGATCTACAATCTGTAAGTGTAAGAATATAGGATCCACAGATGCAAGGATGTACAAATCTAAGGAGCTGCATATGCAAGGAAATCTAAGAATCAGATGTAGACATCCACGGTCCACAAATTTATCTACACTTCAACTTACAAAATAAACCCAATAATCTCGGTAAGTACCTATTTGAAAAAGTACCGACTAATTCATCTAAATCTCCCACAGATTTCACGAAAACGTTACTCAAAGAAAGGAAGAATCACGATCGCCGCTCGAGGACCGATTACCGTTAACGTTATCCGTCGAAAGAATACGCGAAACGAAACGACCCGTGCTGTTTCGAGCGAGTAACTGGCGAGAAGAAGCGTGGGAGGTTGTTGTAAGCGCCGCGGCTCCGCGGCGTAATGCGGGAAACGTCGGGACGCCGAGCGTCGCGTCGTTCGCAAACACCCGCCAATGAGTGGTGGCGTGATCGTGCGCACCAGACTCCGCTCGAACGGAACGGAATGGCAAACCGGCAGGAAAATTGAAAATCCTTCGATTATTACCACCGACGGCAACAGCTTTATCCGGCTTTTAAATCCTCCAGCCAGAGGGTAATTTTGTTTGCGGAAGGATTCCTTTTTTGTTCTACGGGTCAATAGGCTGGTCAAGGTACTAAGGGATTCGTGGACACTCCACCTGTTCAGTGTTATAGTTGCGGTTCGTTAGGGCTCAGACTGATCCTGATTGATTGTTGGGAATTTTCAGGGGATGAACGGATCATGCTTTTTCTACTGAGATATAATTTTATTGTGGATGACTTGTTCATTAAAGGGAAATTATAAGCAGGTAAATATAATTGATCCATTAAAATATCAAGGCTCTTACTAATTTATGTTACAGCAATTTTATAAACGAGGTAAAGATATGTACACTAACGTTCATAAGTATCCGACGAAATATGCATTCGCGTTGCATGAAAGTTATTCAAGTATCTAACTAAAATCGATTTTTTTTCTGCGAAGGTCAGAATACTGGAACGTTTTTCGATTGATAATTCTCGTTTGGAACTCGTATCTCGATGGAAAAGAAGCTACAGACGAACTAAACCGAAACTGTCGAGTGCGTAGCGTTACCTCCATTCTTATCTCCATTGAGGGAACCTAAACATCTACCAACAGTTTACAAACACTTGAAACATATCGAAGAACCCTCTGAATACGTTCTGCGCCATAGAAATGAAACACAGTAGAAATGAAAATTTT